TCAGCTATCTTGTTAACGGCACATCGGTTTCGATGAATTCGACCCGAACTATGACAACTTCCTTCTGCTCACAGATATATAACCACGTATGGACTACTTCGAAGTCAACGGGTTTACTTTTCAATTCCATGATGTGTCTCAATCATGGTATCAGTCTTGGTTTTCAATTCTCATCAAGTACTTTCACAGATTGGGATGAGAGACCTTGCAGTTCTTCTTTCGAGGCAGCAGTGTGATACGCCCTCTAGGAGAAATTATTTGCCAATGCCGAATGATAACTCTCAAGGCCCACGATGCGTTCTCTTTAATGCTTCACTACACATCGCACATATGATCATATGGATTGTCCTTGCTTGCGTTGCTTCTATTGTCTTTTGATACGATGGATTTTCTCTTTAATAATTGGCGTCGGGGCACCATTTCTACCCACAACCTCAAGCAAGATACATAGGCTCGCACTAGGTATGTACATAGTTGCACGAGGAAAGGCAATAGGTTTCGGATCATAGTCAGGACCTAGAATAGAATGGTACCTAGTCAAATAGCTTTTTTCACTGTTACTAATGCAATACAACGTTTTCTCTCTGTAATCCATGACTTCGTAATTAAGGTACTTAGATACATATCAGGCCTTCTCTAGATGTAATCGTGTTGCTAAAGTACGAGAGCCATGTGAAGTTATTCAAACCTAACTTTAATGGTAATATTAGGTAGGGTAAATACCTATAAAAGGCTAACGACTTTGTCATATACTCAGCTGCTCGCCATTGGCAATTCCAAACCCTTTATTACATAGGTAGGTACTAGGTAATCAGCCCCTGAGCTAACCTACATATGTTAAGTGCTCCTCCTTATCTCGTTACATGGTGGACATGTTTCTTATTTACCTTGACACGCCTACGCTTCTAGTTACATCCCCGAAATAATAGGCCTCGCACAACCTATCAATATTCCTAAGATAGTATGCAATTAGGTTATTCGTGAATATTAGGGCCTGCTGATTTGTATACGGATGCAGAGCTAGGTACTGGGGTGGCAGTATGTAGATATACAGTCATAGCAGTGAGGTTTACTTACTGTATAATTAGCCGGCTAGTTAACATCAACGAAGGGTTTTTCACTAAGACATATTGCTGTCTTGAAGTTGTTACGTAGGGATTTTCATAATATCAGCGAAGCATTTATCTCGGTCCCTCGACTAGTGTGGTGAAAATAATGTACTGGCCACAGTAACGACCTCCTTCCGCACTTTGAAGTAGAAATCTCTCTCTGGCCGATGATTGTTAAGGCCTTAGCTAATTGATTGGCTTAAGTTGGTCTACAGTGTAATAGAGTATAAGCCCACCGACGTGCGTGCGCAGGTCAGCTATATCAGCGGCGTTAATGCATAGATGCAGGCTACGGATGGAATGGTCTTCAATATCCTACTGCTAGAGTAGATTCGTTAGTATAGTAAACCTAGTAAATACGGCACTTACAACAGGTTTTAGGTACTATTCAGTGTTTTCGCCGCGACGTTCTACCTCTTGTCGTAGTAATGCTTCTCATCCCAACTATTAATCTTCTATGCTATCCAGATAGGTGTTAGACCCGTATGTATCTTAGCTGATAACAGTCAGTTCCCAATAGTACGCAGTAACCTCTGGAGCTACGTGAAAATTGTTGGCTTCCGGATTGCATTCCAATGCACGAACATGATCCGCTTAGCGCAGAGGACGATTTGCCTAAAAGACATCCTTGCCTTTCTATGTAATAGAAATAGGGATAGCGCTTGTGTGGCGATGCTGTGAACAGGACGTACAAGGTTTTACTCCTCCTCACTTCGCTACTGGTAACCGACACTACACTAGAATGGTTGAACCAATCATAGCTAAATATGAGGCACCCCACTTCCCTAATCGGCTTGACATTCGCGTTCCTGACCAATCAGAACTTTACGCTTTGTCAAATTTATGCATCCAAGCGCAAGCTACCGTGGTCTCGGGTCCGGGGACTGATGCCAGCATTTCTACAACAAATTTAAATCTATACAAGGACCAACAGATGAAAGGGTCGCTTGCAAGCACGAACATGGTATGCATCTCTTAGCAACGAAATGGATGCGATGCTAGCATGTAAGCACAATTCTACTACGCACCCACCGCTTGTTTTCAAACGTCGATCCAATGTTATCAAAACAGACCGCGAAGAAGGTCATGCAATTAGGCCAGTAGCTTTACCCCGGATTTGCGTAACTATGTCGACCTCCCCCACAATTCTATTCTTAGATTAGGTACGTAGGCGCCTTGGTGAGAATGAAATTGGAAGAAAGCTATCCGGCAGCAAAAGCATTTCCGATGGCATCTGTGCGACGACAGGATTACAACTAGGGCTAAAAACACCAAGACGCTAACCATAGCATTGCACGAGGAAATGACCGGGAGTCCAGTTCTGTACATTGTGGCAAAGCTTACGTGGGAAATAGGAACCGTGAGATGATGCCATCGATGATGAAGCACGCAAAGGTAACGGCCTGCCAACGATCTTAAACCACCCTGGCGATGCAATTGGTCTCGGTTCTTGGCCGGCTACTCCCTTTCAAGCACTCGGGGAACTTCTTACCCAAGTTCTCCGACTTTTCAGACTATTTTTATAAGGTATCAGCAAGATAATACGAATGGTTCAAGATGAAAGAGGCTCTTATGAATTTATACCCCCCTTCTAAAAAGATACGCTAACCGAGTGCTCTTTAATGATTACAAGTTTCCCAACAATGCATCAGTCCCTTTGCTCCGCTCGCCATCGCTTCACATACCGGAAGTCATCGCAGCCGGTCCCAATGTCTCCGGTTGCTAGTTCATTGTTCCCACTCAATATAGTACACAGCAGGATATCTATCCTCGCACACTAGGTCTCGATCCATTTCGGCGGTGGGTTTTCCACCCAGAGTGGATTTTACCCCTGGAAAGTAAGGCCACGCCTTGACGATAGTATTTTCGGTTTTTTGGAAAACGTCACTTTCCTCCCAGGTCCCCTGGAAGTGATCCTCGCATATGTCCCTAAAAGAGTGAGGAGTTATAATCTATTCATAATATATTACGAACGTGGATGTCGGTGAGTGGGCATTACCTTCTAAACAGGCATTTAAGAAACTCGAAAGGAGGGGCCAATTCGAGGGTCTGGAGCGTTATGGGAACCAACGTATGAATAATCGAGAAATGACGGGAGCGCCAATCAGGAGTATCAAAATATCTAGTTAATATATACTTAAGCTCATATCTATTATCGTTAGTATTCATTTTTTTACCCGGCTCTGGATATAGCCTGCAAGGCGTTATGATGGTTGACTTGGGATTATGAGGCTTGAGAAAAGCGCCGGGCCACCTCTTGAGACCTGAGGGTACGACATATGAATGCGTTTCTTCTTCGGGAAGCTTTGTATTTTAGGTAGTTTGTCAGTAAATTTAACCCGCCTTCGCCTTCTGATTAAATGCGACCCTAGGGAGAAACCCGTACGTACCAAGATGCGATCGAATGTGCACCCATTCAAACTGTTGAGGCAATTGTGCTCTATGCTGAACTCGATATCGAGAGTGCGCATTCGGGTGTGAAAAGTAGCGATAATTTTTTGCAAGTAATAGAAAAGCTTGCCGTATATATCGTTCATTGTAAAGCCAGAAAAAGTCTTCTTGAACTCGGATCGAGACCACCTACGCTCTGGTCCTTTTGTGTCATCAAGGAGCCATGTACCTACGCCGCTAGAGAAGTCGAAAAGGGTGCTGGAACCGAGTTTTCGGAGGGATTAGTTGGCATATGAGAGGCATAAGGAAAATAATAACGTTTTAGGACATAAAGCTTTTAGAGGGGGACTCACACGTTAGGCTTGACACAGTCATGCAAAGGCCGACCCATGGGTAGTAAGATTCCTTCCTCCCTGAACCTCACATGACAAGGACGTTCGGCAGGCGGCTGTCTAAATAAATAACGTTCTCTGTTATCTAGCCTGCTTTCACAAGCGACTACAGCGTTCCGAGCAGATCTGGCCTCCTCACATAATAATTCCCTTTCTAGGTACCTTGCTAGATAAGGCCAGTCCGTATAAGCTAATTTGAGGTTGATAGACCCAGAAATACCTGCCAACTCTCTAGTCATCCTTGTTGAACACGCGCCACTTATTGAATCCGAGAAGAACCTCTCTATAGTACTTGGCTCGAATCCATGCATATCTCGAAATTTGTAGGACTCGGTGATAATATACTCATATAGCGGACCGCGAATCCAATTATCTAACGATTTTGGTATGAAGGCAGAGTACCATAAGTGTATGGTGTTCTCCGCCGCCAGGAGTACATCGTCGTGACAGAGAAGATAAGTAAGAATTATGTAGGCGCGGGCAACGACATTGAAATCTTTGTTACTGATTACGATTTTGACTTTCGCGGGATAATCCTCTGGGATGCCGTTCACAGTCATCATAACGTTTCTGAGGTCCCCACAACCTATATGATAATAGATGTTAATAATGCTCTGCTATTTGACCGGCGCGTGATAGTACGTGCCAATGAATAGTAAATCCAAGTCTTCATGGAAGTCTCGTCCCTCGTTAGATCCAAGCTTGAGTATATCGAGTGCGATAGACCCTCCCTAAGGTTGTCTTCGAGCCGAATTTAGGTGCGGAGGACTTTGGTTGAAGAATGTGGGTAGTCTATTTTCTTGATACCACATGGGACGCCAGCTCAGGTTGCTGTATGGAGATTTGCAGACATTCTGGTGCGCAACATCTTTGTTTTGGCATTCTACTGAACAGTATTGTACTAGGTAGCAGGAATGGCAAGCAAAAAAGGCGGGCCGGTGACAAGACAATCCATCGCAGGAAAATATCTGTAAAGACATGATGGGAAAATGGTACTATGGACCGTGAAGTTGAATAAGTGCTGTTTGATTAAGAGCCTAAGTCTAGAATTCAAAGCAGATGCTGACCGTCGAATAGTTTTGTTCGCGTATAAGTGTTTATAAGATGTGTGTATTGTAGAAGATGTACTTACATAGGTACCTCTTACATGTAGGAGATAGGTACTTGCATATAGGTAGCTTGATGACGTCGGGCCAATGTAGGTACCTCTTACCTAAAAGTACATAAAGGAACAAGGGAAAGAAACAACAACTAGCTTATGTATATAATGAGGTAGAAAGAGCACCCATATCGCATAATAAATCGTGTCATAGACGTCGAAACTTCCAAGGTTGTATCAATTCGTTCATTCATTTCGCTTCTTTGGGTATCATAGCTGCCTCATCCGTTTTCCACTCTCAAGTTGCACCACTTCTAGCCCTTTAACCTTCTCAATTCTCCCTACACTATGCCTGCTCGCCCCCGAGCTGGATCGTGATATCCTATCACCATTAAGTAACGCCGTCTTGTTTCCTCCCATCCCGACATCTGCGTCTTCCTCGTGAGCTTCTGGTACGCTGTTTAGACTATGCGCCCTTGCCATTTCGATTTGCGCATCTAATGATGCTGTGGAAATAGTTGTAGTAGTGGTCGTGGTGGTCGCGGTACTGCCATTTCTACTAAGGCTCGCCTGCAAGCTCGCCTGTCTTATTGATAGCGAATCCCCCCTAGGTCTCGACTGCAATACAGATACTGCCCCTGCGCTGATCACACTGTCGCGCTGATCACGAGTGTCCTCCCAGCCGAACTCTACTCCCAGTGCCCGCTCTACATCAGATTTAGTATACGAGCTTGACCGGCGTCGTACATATTCGTCGAATTGAGTATCACGCTTATGATTGTAGCTCGCACGGCGCTCCGTCATCGGCTCTACGGCAGGCGGAGTCGGTTGTGGTGAAGGGGGGTGGCTACTAAGTGCCAAAGAGATATGGCGACTGGCGGCGGATAGCGATCGTGGCCGAGTTACCGTTACGGAAGGATTTGTTGGATCGTACGGCACGGGAGGTTCAAGCCACGACGATCGATATGCTGTTTCTTCAGGCTCCTCGGAACTAGCATAGCCATACGGCTTGATATTGCCGGGGATATGGTAATCATCATAACTCAATAGCCGACGATAGATGGTGACCGAGTAGAACGTAGGGATAATCGTGAAGAACCTGAAAGGAACCCCGTCAGCAATTCTGTCCCACCTCCTCGAGATGTTTACAACTCGTGCTGTGGCTTACATGAGGATGCAGTCCATCACCAATCCAATTAATGAGTATCGCCTGTCGGCGTACTTAACATAAACCACAATATCAAGTGCTAGAACAGCAGATGTAAGGGCTAAGTTTATGATATTTCCAAACAGCAACGGCAGTGGTGTCAACACCTCGGCGATAAACCTTGCTATCGAAACGAATACTATAACGAGGGAAATGAACGAAAATGAAACGTTGACCATTTCCCATCTGCAACAGTTTAGGTTAGCTCACCCGTCTTTTGTAATTCATCGATAGGTACCTATATCAAAAGCTAATAACCAAAGGTGAATGTCTTTCAGCACTTACACGAACTCCACTGTAGGATCCTCGCCTTGAGCTTGTTGATCTCGCCACGTTTTGGACGTCCTAGAAAGTCGATAGGAGAATAAACCCATTATCCCTAGCAAAATTAAGATCTGGATCGCCCAGCATGGTAGGAGTATCCTCTTCCTCCACTTTGCTCGATCAAACTGCGCATTGTCCCGATGTGTGTAACCCATCTTCAACTTTGAATGTGTCCAATGCCTCCCTTGTATATTCCGGAATAGCGGCCTATTAATCTCGCCTTAACACAGCAGAAAGGAGTATTTGGCTTTTCTTAAGCTCTTGACTGATGTTTTCCTATATAACCGCTCTAGGACTCCATCTTCTGAAGTACAAAATAGTTAAGAGGTTACGGCGATCGGTATCGTGGAGCGACTGGGTACGTAATGTAAAACGGAATCTAATGCAGCCTTACGAGACAAACCCGCGTGGGAGGGATAGGTTCTATATAAAGCCCCTCACGAAAAAGAAAACTGGGTAGTAAAGCAAAAATGGACCACAAGCATAGCCTCAGCAATCCCCATCCCGCAAGTCCTATCCAAAGCAAGGCTCTTATTGGAGCCTCCAATAGGCGGCATTGGTGGAAATTACCCCAACCAGATTCTATCTTCAGCCGGAGGAGGTGCCCGTTGAGTCTTGACAAGACAAAGCTTGTATTATTGCTAATACAGAACCGGAGAAGAACGCCTTGCGTTGGTGCCAACACCGGCTTCGGTAGCAAACAATAGTGATTGGATAACTACGTGATTCGTCTGACGACTGGCATCCACCGAATCCACATCGTGGGCTCTTGCTAACCTGAGATGGGCCATGGTAGGGCTTGGTGATGCGTTGCGGCTGAGTTTGAGCTGGAAGACCCTTGTCAAGTCGGCTAAGCTGCACTTAGGTGCCTAGGCCAAGGACCCAATCACGCCCATTTCTATAATAGGGAATGGAGACTCGATGAACTGTTCAACGGGACCGACGAATTGAACTTGGAAACCTGGCCCTACTTGCAGTTTGAGCAGCATAACGGCGCGGATGCTCTTCACATGGACTAGCTTTATGCAACAACGCATGAAATTCTTTACTCGCCCTACGCGATAAAAATCTATGGATCATTTCCTCGGTATTTGGAAGCTAACCCTAGGTTCGCGAAGCTCGCATAGCGGGCGGCACGGGTTTTGAATTGGCGATCAAAACATAAATTTCCGGGACTGTCAGGCTCGTTTACGATGCGGTGCTGAGATTTATTTGTCCCGTTTGTCCCGGAACTCTCCAATGATGTAAATGTTTCCCCTGTTCGAAAATTGTCGGTATTATTTACCCCAGTTCTTCTAAGGTAGGGACATCTTCGTGAGCCAATAAGGACTCTAGCCCCATGGAGTGTTGCTAAACTTGGATGTAGCACGGTTATAACAAACATCGATGTGCTATGTTAGGGATTCCATCGCGCGGCCCGCACCTGGGGCTGTGCCTCGTCGGGATGACTCCGAATTGGTAATAAAGACCTTTTGGAATGAGCCGAATTTAGAACTTGCAGAGTATGATCATAATTTGGAATGAAGAACTGAATAGCATCTCCATACTTAGAATCACCTGATTAAAAATCAGGCCATTAAAGCGAGGGAAAAAGGTTATGTCATTATCCTTCGTTGGCAAGTTCGACACCCTGGAACCCAGGCTACCAGAGCTGTGGTCTATGTACAAAGGTCACCCGAAATTCTGGATAGCTAGTTCTTCGCCGACTCGATAAGCACGAATTATTCCTTCCACTGTACATATCCTGTTAAAGGCTACCTTATTGAAGATAGCATAAGGTATTACCTTCGTGGTTACGGAGGATTCTAGCACACAATATGCTACGGGCATTCAAAGCTAATCCATCACGACGCAAGATGCAGGACAGTTCTAGGTTTGGGTGATAAATATTAACAAAATATTCACAGATACTCTAGGTATAAGTTCAAGCTCGGCTCGTAATATCGAGCCCTCTCCCACTCTAATTCCGTTATTCATGTGCCTCCTCGGTGTGGTTACTATTCCCTTGACGCCAATAACCATGCTTCATTAAATTGTATTTGAAGTGTTGGGGTGGATTCCGAATATACACGCCAAACATACGACGACCCGATATTCTTCACCCGCGCTGCTTATTCTGCATTTAAATCACGCTTATGCGGCAGGGTCCTTGGCGACACCAGCAGCGTTGAAAGCAACGACATTTCCGTCAGCGTCGACCATGGCTGCGGTCTGGACTTTTTCTCCAGCCTGTCGTGCAACGACAGCCTTCTGCGACCGGGGAACTTTGGCTGTGATGGCGGTTAGCATACATACATTATCCATTGCATCGGATTCCCGTCAGCTTACTGAGCTCCGCCATGGCGACGGTGGTGAAAAGACCGAAAATAATAACTGAGACCTTCATGTTGACTGGTTTGAAGTTGTTCGGAAGGTTGAAGGAATGGTATAGGTCGGCCGGCGACGAGCTTGTGTGAATATGCTGCTAAAGCGAAATGAAAATGTGATCAACTAGAGTGACTATAACTCGCAGAGGATGAGGAAAGAAAACAGAAACACAAAACGAGACGTGAGCTAGACGCCCTTATGTATGATTATGCTGGGACGAAATTAATATGTCTACGGAAGACAAGCGCCTTCGATTTCACTTTTCCAATACTGATCTTCGACACTTGAGACGTACGGATAGCCCATTTCCCGCCAGTACTACTTGATCGGGTAACGACTCTCAGGGACGTTTAGGGTGAGACTGCGCCTCAACATGGCCCAGAACTTGGATTGTTATTGAAGAAACAAACAATAGGCCCTCGCAGTCCCAGATGACAGGAACACTGGCTGCCCCGCTGGGGTATAGATCTACATACTATCAAGATCTTTCGAAAAGAAGGTTGTTAGGCGGATACTACATCAGAAGCTAAACTCCAAACTCCAGCTAGAGAGGATAAGAATTGGGCGAGACGCGCGGAGGTCATCGACAGACAAGGGTATGAGACGATGCTGTAACAACTTGCAATGCTTATTTGAGCCGCTCTGTACGGATCTGTATCTAGGTAGTATCGGTGCTGCTGCAATGCAACGCTGCGGGTGTAAACAGTCAAACAATCTTGGCATCGAAAAGCTGATCAGGGACGGCACTCCAGCTTTCCGTGTTCCAAGATGAACCTGGAGGAGGACTAGGCCATGCCTTTTAAAATTTGGGGGTAACTCCTGGACGAAAAGCAGGGACAAAAGAAGATTGAATATTCGTCATCGAGTTGGAGTTGGGACGTACGGAATACATATTCGGGCTATCGGATTTAAGAACGTCTATGCGGAAAAGGTGAGACGAGACGAGATCATCAAAGTCCAGACCGCTATCTTCTTTAACCCCTTCTCTGATTTTCGGGTAGTTCCCATACCCCCGTACTCTTATACCCCTGTATTTGTATGTAGTATGTAACTATCCATTTCTATGGAAGATGTTTAGCCACAGAGCATGAGCCACGAGCCACATGCCACGAGCCACAAGTCATAATGAAGCTCCCAAAGTCCAATTTTATTCATTTTAGCTAAATCCAAGAATGACAAGAATTTGGCAGTCAGCCAAGAGCCATGTTCAAGCTCTTAGGTGTCGGACCAAAAGTTTCAACACCTCTAATATTCTCTTTGTCGAAATCGCCAAGTTGGCGCTGGCAACCTATTTCAAGTCTTACTCACCGAAGTTGGAGCGCGCCTTGTGGCCCGAACTTCCACACGATGTCGGTTGTTGACCTAGGTCGTCTGCAAGATCTGCGACACACCAGACATTCGATAACACTTTCTAATGGCAAGCGCCTTGTTCTCTTCCGCCTGCCGAGAATTGATCGGCCGGATGTAACGCTACCAGCTGTGGAAAGTCCAGATTCATGGAATTACTATGCAATGGAGGCAGAGTGTCCTCACGCCGGTGGGCCAATGGCAGATGCTCACATAGACATCGAAGACTCGTCCTACATTGCCTCTTGCCCGTGGCATGCGTATGACTTCAACGTAGAGACTGGTGAGTCTAGTTATGGCATCAAAGCCTGCACGTTTCCGGTCACTGTTCAAGATGAAAGAGTGAGCATACAAATTGCAGGAACCGGAAATGTCCAACTCGACAAGATCGAGCCCGTCAGCGAGAAAGTGAAATTCAAGCATGGTCCCAGAACTGATCCTTCAGGTCCTGCAACGTATCTCGGTGAGGATGCAAGCCTGTGCGATTGGTGCAACCATATTCTAAATACCTCTAATCCCGAGCACAAGATCGAACTCACAACACATCTCTTCTCCTTATTTGCAACACGTGAACAATCTTCTTCGCTCATGGAGATTGGGGCTGGTACTGTGATTCCTCCCCAAGAACCGCCAAGACAAAACTTGACCCAAGTGAAACCGGGGCAGATGCCCAGAGCTGGCAAGGGAGGGAACCTTAAAAACAGGATCATGATGCTCCACGCTCTGGCAAACATTGAGCAGTGGGCCATCGATCTCGCTATCGATATCATGGTTCGGTTCGCTTCGTTTCAAACAGCAACGCGGGATGAGAACGACTACCCACGTCCACTACCGCGAACGTTTTTCTACGACTGGCTTAAGGTCGCGAATGATGAGGCAAAGCATTTCTCTTTACTACGGGCAAGGTTAGAGGAGATGGGGAGTCATTTCGGTGCTCTGCCAGTCCACCACGGTTTATGGGAATCTGCCGTAAGAACATCGCACGACCTGCGCGCAAGGATAAGCGTCATCGCACTTGTCCACGAAGCTCGCGGCCTCGATGTCAATCCCAAGACGATCGAAAAGTTCCAAAATGCCAAAGATAGCGAAAGCGTCGATGCATTAAACATTATTCACAACGACGAGATTACGCATGTCACTACGGGGCATAGGTGGCTCACTTGGATTTGCCAACAAGAGGGCACCGATCCGGTTCAAGTCTTCCGAAACAACGTACAGCAACACTTTAGAGGGGCCGTGAGGGGTCCGTTCAATGCTGAGGCCCGACAACAGGCTGGTATGGATAAGAGCTATTATGAAGACCTCCAGGGGCTCCCGTGGAGAGGTGATATTATCGCTGGTGGTTAAACTATCTATATCCTCACATTTTAAGTTGTCTTCGTCTAGACTAATCCTGTTGGATAATGCCACATAGAAGAATATCAAAGCATCACTAACCTGATACCAGCAACGCTAAACTGAGGGTTACGGATATTCCGGGATTATCTGAACGACTTATCTCGTGGCTCTTGGACGTCCTTTTTTCTAAATCGCAAAGTTGCCATTGACTACTATTATATTTACATTTACCTTGCGCCATGGTCATTAGTATGACATTTAGGCATACTTTATTCGGAGTTGAGCTGCTATTATTTCTGATATCTATCGAAACGGAGCTATGTAGCTAAAGCGACTATGTACTCACCTAACCTAAAATAAACCTTAAGTCAGTAGCCGACTGGGGGAACCCGCTTTCTAGAATTTTCTAGATTTTGCATTTACATTACAAGATACGAAGATATTCAAGCTGAGGGAGGAAATAAGGCTGACAATTTATCATACTATTTTTAGTATGGACTGATAAGGTATTAGAGTGATAAGGGGTTATGAAAGAATTGTGCATCGTATACTTTGGTACCTATGCACATGCACATACCTAATGTCAGGTGCCTTCGAATGCCTTCGAAACGCCCGCCCAACCTAGGGAAAGCGGGGTGTCTGTTAATTCGAGATGGTCGATTACTACCTCTTATCGCAACCTAACTGCAACTAATCCGTACTAATTCTTTAGTTGCTGTGCTGGTCCACCCGCCCGCTTCCGATCCTCTCTTCTATCAACTCTCACGCGCTCTTTTGACTCCATTCTCGGTTCTCTTAATTCCTCAAAGCCTTTCCTGACTTCCTTCCTACGACACCCCTCGGAAAAGCTAACGATTAGCAAGCAACAACCAACCATGGCAACAGTCCCGCATTGTCTCTACTGCTTCGAGACGCTTGCTGCGTACCTTGAGGGTCGCAAGTCCATGAGCCTTAACGAGATTGTGAACTCGTGGGTCGAGTACAACAAGGATACGGAAGCCGGCGTCGAAGATGCAAGCAAACACGAAAGCCTCGAGAAGCGCATCCCCGCTCTTGGACGAGTAGTCGGTTCTGAGTCCTCCGAAACAAGCAGCTCGTCCTCGCCTTCTTCAGGCTCGACTATGTCCCTTGCCACCGACACAACTACAACCTCTACAGATTCACTCCGAGAAACCATTATTACAGAATCCCCGCTATTCGTCACCTGGAACACCGTGTCCTCTCGCACGGGCAATACTTCCCTACGAGGCTGCATCGGGACGTTTGAAGCGCAGGAGCTTGACGAGGGGTTATCATCCTACGCCATCACCTCGGCCATCAACGATATGCGCTTCGATCCCATCAGCAAGCGAGAATTGCCCTCTCTCGAGGTCGCCGTTACGCTACTAACCGATTTCGAGGACTGCGAGGACTCGATGGACTGGGAGATCGGTACGCACGGACTACGTATAAGCTTCTCGGAACGAGGCCGCCGTTACGGCGCAACTTACCTGCCGGATGTTGCTGCCGAGCAAGGGTGGACTAAAGAGGAGACTCTAGTCAGCCTGATGCGCAAGGCTGGCTGGGCGGGCCGCAAGGAAAAGTGGCAGACCGTTGACCTCAAGGTCGTGCGCTACCAGGGCAAGAAAAAGTCCTTACTATACTCCGAGTACAAGCGCTGGCGCGACTGGGTCAGCCAGAAGAGTGAGGACGATGACGATGACGATGTCGATGACGATGACGATGACGAAGATGAGGCATAGACAGATAGACATTATGCTACATACACTATCACGGGCGCACTCACTGGAGAGTGCAAATACATATTTGATGGACGGCGTTGCGCATGATGGATGGAAGGGAGTCTAGAATTTGGCGTCTAGAACAGCAGCAGCGGACGCAGCAGCATCCTAGGTGGGTGGTTTGATGATACAGGTAGATTTTGGTCTTTTTCGGTGCGTTTCCGTTGTGCATGTTATGTTCGCCTAGTCGTTGAATTTTACCTAGTTAAGTATTCTACGACTTATCACAATATTGACAATATCTATCCACCCCTTCAGCCAGGCTCAGGTATATCTTTAATTAGAATTATAGTCTCCAACATTATATCTGTCGCGCAACTCCGTTGGCCTGGACACAATTTCGCAATTCAGCCGCGTTGTTCGATCGATGAAGGGACATAATCCTCGATGTTTAAGATCTCATGCCAGCGGCGATCTAGGGGATAAGGGAACCAAGTGTTAGATAAATTGATCTATTAAACTAACTAATAAAAATGAAACATTATTATTTTTTTTTACAAACACTCAAGATGAATCTGAATGTCTGAATGACACGTGACGAGCAGTCACGTGTTGAGATGTACTAAGGTACATCTCACACCAAGCCATCCCCTGGCATGGAACCAATGGACCGCCCTTCTTCTAGAACTCCTGGTTGCTATATCGACGTACATTTCTTAAGGAATTCGTATTTCTGCCATGCGAACCCGCGGGATCGCATAAAAAAATGTCTCTAGGGAATGGCCCCTCCATTCTTCAGGTTAATTTACCGCCCATTAGTTAGCGGCGGTCGTCTCCTAGTTATCGCATTCAAATTCCACGACTATTGGTTTAATATACTTCATGATGCGTTGCTTCAAGGGTTTTAATATTGCTCCTTCTTCTTGTTCTGCACACTTGTTTGCAACTACGGTGTTGCGAAACTAACTGATTGACTACTCCTGAGATAGCATGTCGTTTTCTCACCCGCTTTTCTTCATAGCTGCTTCTACGCTAATTGGCGTAGGACGGGCGGTTACTTTCAAGTCGTTTAATGGAACGCATGATGGGCCTGTAAATGCGACGAGCCTCCCGAAGAGTACTCACGAGGTGCTCTCGCTACCCCTGAGGAAGGTCGAACACAAGGGTGTCGGGACGCCTAGTCTGGCGAGACGATATTTCGGATCGGATGTCCTAGGTGTCTACGGCGCAGCGTACTTTGCTGAGTGTATGAGTTCCCATCCTACTCTCGTTCATGTCGTTATCGGGAAAGCTATAGGATGAGTTTCTGACAGGCAAACAGTAACAATTGGTACCAGCGACAAACCACAGACCGTCAATGTGCTGCTGGATACGGGCTCGTTTGAACTATGGGTTAATCCGAACTGTAGCGCGACCAATGTGCGGCAGTTCTGCGATGAGTTCGGGCACTACGATCCTACGCTATCACCTACGTCGAAGAATCTAAATAAGACCTTTACGATCCAGTATGGGCTAGGTAGTGCATCGGGCACTTATCTTCAGGATGATGTATTTATCTCTGGTAAGTTAAAAGCCTGGATAGTTAAGCTTAAGGATGTGGAAGAAAGGGTGGTATACAATGATGAGCTGTTCGAATGACTTTTGTTAATGATGGAAACTTAGGTGCGAAACTCCCGGGCCAACAATTTGGAGTTTCAAATACGTCTAGCGATGTCTGGTTTGGCATCCTCGGCTTGGGCTATGGTAAGGGGCACGGCGTTATCGACTACGAATCTATCGTCGACTCGTTGGCCGCACAGGGTTATACGGATAGCAAGTTATTCAGCTTGGATCTAGGTGGCCAACCTGGGCCTGCCGGTGAGTAGATTCCACGACTTGTGATTGTGTAACACAATATCTACTAGTGCCTTGTATAGGAAATATAGCTACTAACACTTAGCAAGCCGCCATCACGGGAGAAATGGTCTTCGGTGGTGTCGACACCAATAAGTACGCAGGAAACTTAACGAAAGTCCCAACAGATCCTAACGACGCGTATGTTCCCCTATTATCCCCAAGTCCAGTACTTTTGCATATTTTAGATATCTATCGCGTAAGCTGGTATACTCACTTATTATCGACAATTTCTAGACACTACGTCGCAACGCTCAACTCAATCTCCCTCCAAGTCCCCGCTTCCGGCTCCGGCTCCGGCTCCGGCTCCGGCTCCGGCAAGACCATCTCCCAAAGTATCAAAGCAATAAATGATTCTAACTTACCATTACAAGTTATTGTTGACTCAGGGACTACGCTCTCTCTGCTCCCCGAGTCCATGGTCTCAGCTATAGCTGCCGGCTTCCCTGGTGCGGAGCCAGATGGAAATGGCGGATATAAGGTGCCATGCGAGCTACGAAATACTACGGAGGGCCGTGTAGACTTTGAGCTCCGTGGGGATGGCAACGGCAAAGTCAAGATCAGTGTTAGTTACAGCGACTTTATCTGGTACGGCGGCAACGAATGCTTCCTGGGTGCATGGTATACCGGCGATGTGGGTGTATGGATCTTAGGAGATACATTTCTAAGGGGAGCATACGGTAAGTTTGCCCCTTTTTCATGTTCCATGAGACAACCAAGCAAACAGGCAAACTGGCTTAAGGAAAGACCCAAGAGCTAATTTATTCAAAGTAACGTTCGACCAAAGCAACAACGCGTTATATATGGCTAATTACGTCTCGTGTGGCGAAGGCTCAAACCTGGTCCCTGTTCCAGCGGGCCCGGATGCAGCGGCTAATATCCCCGGATCCTGCAAGACGGCGGAGCCGGCACAGAAGGCCCCGCCGCCTGCCGCTACCTTAGCCAGTTACGATCCGGAGTGCGACTGCACTGTATTTTCTTTCTCGACTGCTTTTCCCACTGCATTCATGACAAGTACAGCGACTGCTACTACTGCTACTATCAAGAAGCAAGCAAGCGCAGCCCCGATGTCCGGTTCACCCGCCCCCGAAGACGATGACTGCGACGAGGACCAGGACCAGCCGCAGCAGAAGCACGTCGAGATAATTACGGCTACAGAGACTTTTACGAGCACACTGGTTCGCCATGTCGTATACACGGCTGGCCGCCGGGTTGCTACTAGCTACGTAACAGTCGTGACAACCTTCTGCCCAGGCGACATCCTTCCTCCCGCATCTACAACCCCGGTTCCGGGCGCGGCGCATTCCCAGACCCAAGGCCGAGTTCAGCACACTATTACGCGTCCTATCCTAAGCACAAGTATATCATCCCCTATAGAACAAGTCACGATAGCGGAGATAACCCACGTGGTCGAGACGGCTCCGGAGACCTTTATCACCACAATGAATGCCACAACACAAGTAGCCACTGTGTTCGAGTCGGTTCACATAAACGCGTACTCTTCCCCTCCCCCTCGGACCCCTCCTACCTTCACCGAATCCATCCTTTCCACTTTCCCCCTCTCACCCCCCACATTCTCCTCTTACTCTTCCCCCCTTCCCCCACCACCGCAACAGCAACAGCAACAGCAACAGCAAGGCACCGCTCCTAATGATGGTTTCGGCGCCATGGGCTGGGGTTTCAACAGCACCTCTACCACTACTACGAGCACCAACACCGGCAGCGTCAACTACAACTACAACGTAGCAGGCGTAGCCGCAAGCCAAGCCATCGGCGCTGGCGCCGTGGTCGCGCCCGCAGTGCCGACGACGACACAGATCTGGCACTCGCCTATGCCGAGCGGGATGGCTATGAGTACATCCGAGGCGGTGAAGAAGACGCTAGGCGAGGTAGTAGTCGGGTTATGGACCGTGATGATGGTGATGGTGATAGGGCAGGCTGTGGGAATATGAGTCTGGCTCGGGTTTTCTCTTCTCTTCAGTTCGCTTCTTACTTGTCCTTTGATATTGTTGAATGATTGATTGAATGAATGAAATAAATGTATGAATTGAGAAGTCGATACTAGACAATAGGGGGGAGATAGGGGAGACAGACAGATTGATGAGTTGCTTCGACATCTGGATAGTGGGATATACCTCGGTTTTGTTGCGAAGGAAAGTCGGATAACAGGTATCTTTTGTGGCCAAGGAGAAAAGAGATGTTTTGATAGATCATTCATAGATAATAGATAGCTAAATCAAACAATTTAAAAGTTACCGCCTAACGGTATTCACATAACAAATCATCTATACGCAAATACGTGGATATGTAGAACAGCAAGTCAATATTATTATGCCACATGAAGTGCCTATATTTTTTGCAATGCGTCCCATCCACCGAATATGCAGCCCGAGCCCAAGAGGGAGGAACCCAACAATCGCGAGACTCCCGAGACGGTAGCTAGAGATAAAAGAAAATGAAGACGCCGATGCATAATCACATCTATCGCTTGCCACCATGTAAACGCCTGTGTAGCCCCGGGATACAAATATTGTCTCAGGAGAAAACTCCGCTCGGCCCTTTCTTCCCTCGACTAATACACTGTCTAAGCCAACGTCAAAATCGACAAACAGACTCGAACAACGCGACCTCGGTGTTAGTAATTCATCCGCGCCGAAACAAAACAGTTTCATGAACTCGTTAGGTATTCCAACCGTACTTCCGTAGTACTAACTCCCTTCAACTCGGAATAACAATGCTTTTTTCGTTCGCTCGCTCGCTCGGCACTTTGTGTTGAAAGCTCAAAATAGCACCCTAGCCATATGCCCCTTTTTAACTCCACTCGCCGTATGCGGGAGCCGACCAATTGGTGTCTAAACAATAAGAGGGCAGAATACGCCCTACCAACACCGTAAGCTTCTCCAGAATCTATCCCTCCTACTTCCAAAGCCCACTCTGTGACCGTCGCCAAGTCGTGGGCCCCTCGTCAAACCCGAGCGCCCAGTTTTTTCGTTATCCATGTCGCGGTCATCGCTGTCGCCGAGCGGTGTCAGAGGTTTTGTGACGCCACGGCGGTCCATATCGGTGTTATCGAGGACCCCCATTTCAGCAAGGCGACGGCTTTCGACGACTCGGCGGACGATGAGGGCGAATGTCTCTTCGATGTTGACCTCGAGCCGAGCACTCGTCTCCATGAAACCGCAACCGCGTTTCCGCGCCCATTCGAGTCCCTGAGCCGCTGACACCTGCCGCGACTCTTGCAAATCACACTTGTTACCAGCTACAATCTTGACCGGTGGTATCGTCCTTGCACCGCTACCGGCTCCTCCCAACCCTATACTACCTCTTCTCGCGCCTCCACCCGCTCCCAGGCCGGCCCGCCGTGCCCGTGCTGCGTTATCAAGGCGCGTTTCTGCCTCCATGTCTATGAGGTCGTTGAAATAGTTCAAAGCATCGAGACTGTCGAGCGACGTGATGTCGTAAACAAGAAGGAAGGCATCGGCACTTAGATTAGACGACGCCCACATGCCCCGATACTCCTCTTGTCCCGCCGTGTCGGTCAGCGATAGGTGGTAGCTGGTGCCATCAATACGCCGGGTGATGCTGTAGCTATCTTCGATGGTCGGGTCATACTCGGACGTCCATTGGGACCGAACTAGTCGAAGAGTTATCGACGACTTACCACAACCTCCGTCACCGCATATTGTGATCGATATGGGCACCGGTGGTTGCGAGGTAGGTGATTGTGATTGATTCTGTTGTTGATTGTGGTGCATTTCTGCGTCTGTGTCTTTCTTTCTTTTTGTCTACTATGGTTATTTTTCTCTATCGTTGGGTTCTATCTCTCCTTTACGTGGATAGCTGTGTATAGCTAGCAGATAGCTAGGTTAAAGCAGACCGATCGTCACGACGGGTAAATGGGCGAGTATGTAGGAGAATATAAGGTTCGTTATCGGATGATTGTTCCTCTGCTAAAGGCGGTAAGGACTGTAAAGGTTCGAGAAAAGGCAATGGCGGTATGCGTGATGGAGATAATGTAGTAAAAGATCGAATCACAGCCTATTTTTTCTTCTTGTTCTTCCCCCTTCGCTTTCTACCGCTACTGAAGGGGAACTGCAAGCTGCAAGCTGCAAGCTGCAGGGTACGACAGTTTCTACTTGGCGCTGCTCCACTGACACTTAAAGGGTTTTCCCCGTTTGGGTCTAACCGCCCTTTAAATTGTCCTATAAGATAGGATTTATAGCTATCTCTCAGGGACTGGGCCAGTCCACCGGGTAAGGAATGAAGGGATATTAAGTTACCGTCTTTTATAAACAAAGTTCTCAACGATGGACGCAGGGCTAAGTGTGATCTTGAATACGATGATATGATAGAGAACTAGAGAGAGAGCAGTTCCTGTATATGTCAAAGCGAAGTGAATTAGGTTTGAGTTAAGTCGAGCTAATGCGCGTAGGGTGAACGTGAGGGAGGAAGTGAATCGAAATTGTAGTAGGTATGTAGGATGTGATGTGTGATGCGATTGGAATTTGTCGAAACATGTGCTCGGACGCGAAACCCAACCGAATCAGTTAAATAGTTAAATAAAAATTAATAACTACCTAACCTAGGTAGTTTAGGTTGTATACAAAGCAAAAGGTAGAGTTGGTGGAATTAAATTCGTAGCGAATATCCCAAAAGAGGAGGTGGGAACAAAGTTGAAGATGAAGATGAAGATGAAGATAAAGATGAATGTAAGTTGAGAGGCGAAGAAGAAATAGAGGCACAAAACTAAGTTCAAGCTAGGCAAAAATAGAGAATCGACAGCGGTGATACATTGATACACTGATATGTACCACCCGGATGGCTGGGGCAGGCACAACTTGCTGCAATACATTAGGTGGCTGCAGGTATGTGTGCAGGTATGTGGTTTTGTATCCTGGTTTGTACCTTAGGTACATGTAATACAGTGATGAAATGGGAAACCACCGTGGTGGTAACAGCGGTGATAGTGGGGGTTAACCTCCTTAGTGGGGTAATAAAAGGGGTCTTAGGGTCTTTAAGGGTTTAGTTGCATTAGTGGCACAGCTTGACATGACGGAAATGCCGTTCAATTCGCTAAATTCATCCGTGTTGCCCCCTTCATTCAGTGTCGCTCTACGCTCGAGCCTCGGGTTTTGCTGATCGTCGATATATAACACCTTACATATAATCCCCGAAAGACTAGGAACAGCAGTCTTCTCGCGAACGCCGGGGAAACGGAATAAAAGATCGGACAGCTGATCGACGAAACACAACCTCGAGTCTCCGCTCATCAAGAGATACACGATCCAAGAGATACATATTGAACCGAATTTTTAACTTTCAAAGATCTAGTAAATCTACAAAGTCCGTAAGAATCTATACCTTCTAGGATATGTGAATGGGTTAGGTAGGTAGTTGTAGTAGGTTGATGGAGATTAAAACGAAACATGGAGATGTGGAGAGAGAAAGGCAATGTAGCATTCGCTTGCAGTAAATTACCTTTGCAAGACTGGGCTGAAAGTTATGAAGACTGTGATAGAAAGACTTGGAGACTCATCACAAGTTGACCTCGGGCATCAATCAGCTTGAAGGTATTGAAAAGTCTACATATCACATACATTTAGCTTTACTCGCGATTGGCAACCTCAAGCTGACGTATGTTTAGGTGCGAAATATTAGGTACCTTACATACCTAGATGCATCAATCAGACGACTGTTCCAGTATCTTGGAAAAAGCAAGGTTTATTTCTTTCCAATTCGTCATGTTCGTCTTATCTTAGTAAACTCAAACCACAAATTCGAGATCGTTTGTAAGGTTTATCTCAGTGAACTCAGACCAGTGACGCGAACTTCGTTATACCCCCTCCAGCCACACCTTTTTTTAACCAATCACACCCCCAACCTACCCCTCCCACAAATTTCGCATCTCTGGTCTAAGGCAACTCGGGCGATTTTTGCCACATCAAATTATTTAACATTAAAAACAACATTAAAAATAATAACATTAACGCGTTTAAAATAAGTCTTAATTAATTTAAAACATTTACTAACTTTATCATTAATAAATATACGCGTTTTAAACGTTTAAATACACGCGTTCTAAGCGTTCCGAGCGTTCCGGGATGATAATTAGCCGTAATACCGGTCGCAACACCGGTCGCAATACCGGTCGTAACACCGGTCGTAACGTTTTTGGAAATATACCACGTTAAAGCTTATAACATTATAACGCGATGCCGTACAGGCATGTAAAATAACTAAAAGGCTTAAACAATTAAATTAAAAAATTTAAATTATAAAAATAAAAGGTATTTTAAACGTGGTTATAAGTGTAAACGCGCGGATGTAAATGTTAATATAGCATTTTTAATATTATTACGTGTTTTTAAACGTCGTTTTAAACGTTAAAGCTTAAAATATTATAATACAATGCCGTACGGATATATAAAAAAAATGGGAAAATAAAAAAAACATATTATTAACTTTGAATGATAAAAATAAAAGTTATTTCGTACGTTATTGTTAAATATTAAATCATCGTAAATATAAAGTTTAATTTTTAAAAAAACTTATTTTAACGTGGTTAAAAACGCCTAAATTATCTTAAATTAAAATTCGTTAAAACTCGCACTTATAACCCATAAATACAATTACACAAACCAGGCGTTTTATGGCGCTTGTGGCGTTTTTAACGCAATTAAGCGTAAGCTTAATTTTTAACGAATTTAATTTAAACCATTAAAATAACGTAAAGTTATACCTTTTTTAACCACACTTTTTTTTAACCAATTAAACCCCGGAACAACCTTTTTAAATAATTTTAAATTTATGGTTTAAAATAAATTTAAAACCCCGTACATTAAAATCATACGTTTAACGTTTTAAAATAATAATATTATAATAATATTAATAATATCATTAAAATAATAATATTAACGCGTTTTTATAATAAATAATAATTAATTATATAATAATTATTAATTTTTTTATTAAATTTATTAATTAAATCCACGCATTTTAAATTTTTTAAAATATTAAAAATGGTTATAATAATTACATTATAACGGTTATAACGCGTTAACCGTAATACCGGTTATAATAATAACCGTAACGTATAATAATAACCGTAATAAACGTTAATTTTTAATATAAATATATAAAAAAAATTAAAAAGTTTAAAAAATAATATTATTAATTTTAAATTATTAAAAAAAAAAAATTTTATACGTAATTATAAAATATTAAATTATTATATTTAAATACTTTATATAAAACTTAATATAATTAAAACGTTAAAAATTTTTAAACGTTAAAATTTAATATATAAAAACGTAATATTATATAAATATATAAAAAAAATAAAAAGTTAAAAAAAATATATTATTAATTTTAAATCATTAAAATTAAAACTATTTTATACATTATTATAATATATTAAATCATTGTAAATATAATGTTTAATTATTTTATTATTAATAAAAACGTTAAAAACCCTTGCAATGCAATATAGTTTTAAACCAAATATTTTCAAATGTTTTACCTGTAACCTATAGATATAAACACATAAATTACACGTTGCGTGGCGCTTGTAGCAAAGCAGGCAGGCGAAGCCCGCCTCGAAAATATCGGGTCTGAGGTCACCTGAGATAATGTTCGTCATGTTATATAGGCGTGCAGCCATTCGGGTTCGGGTATCACTTACATACTACGGGACAGGCCGTCGAATAAAAAGGAAAATAATATGTTCCTCACATATCACATGGGAGGTTTGTGTTGGGGGAGCCTCTTCCTTGCTCATCCGACGTCATGTCTAGAGCCGCCGAGGTTTGTGATGATGGTTTCCTATCCGCTTTGATAGGTACGGCTTCCTTTTCCGCCCGCCCTCCCCGCCAATCCTAGTCATCCTAGTCGTCCTAGTCCTTGGGGGGCCACACGCTACAATATGCAGGTCAAGACGCAAAGTGCTACAGTAGTGCCCTTTCGTGGTACCCTTTCGTGGGATCCCAAAACCAATTGGGAATAATGATTCGAGATATAGGGCGCCATCGTTGATAGGTGGCGAAAGACTTCTACATACTAAACCAGTCTCAGATTTGCGGGTAGACTACCTAATGTATACCCAACGATGATTGAACCATATGCTCTCGTATCAACTAATATTTAAGTATAACTAAGACTTGTCATTAACCTGGGTAGACGACCTGAAGCATGGATTCCCCCTGTCAGACGGGACTGACCGCCCCAAAACTGGGTAGCTTCACGATGCAGCAGCCTAAGCCTGGCCGGCTGCATTGGACAGTCTTTTCAAACGTGTTAACCCATGGATGGCCTGTTTCCATCCGGACACAGCTCCCCCCTCAACTTTCTTACAAGCCTAAAAAGCAAATGCTACGAGTCGGATCAGGTTCCTGCAGCTTTAAGTCTTGCAAAACCCGCCACGATGGTTACGGCAAGGAAACGTGGAAGGGTTGACCTCCATGTTGGGTCGTGGCGCAGTTGTCTCGTACGTATTTCGTGTACGGATCCGTACACAAGAGGTAGATTGTAGTCACCAACTTGCCAAGCACCGCTACCAGGGGACGACAGGATAGGTCGGAGAATTTCTGGCGGATCACCACGGCACTGAATAGCAATAAGCTCGGCAGTTTCGACAGAAACAATACCTACATTTTTACCGAGCAAACTATCCACATTTTGCGGACGCCATGAGCAAAACCCGCCGTGTTCTTATGAAAAGAGCCTAGCCTGGGAGCTATTGAGTGTGGAAATGAGGATAAATCTAATACCGCCCACGTGCGTTCAGGGATTAGACCTTTAGAACGGCCATAGCGTGTTCAGAATCCAAGGTCCAGAGCAAGTCCGAACTCTTGTCACCAATCATTGATTCGGGGCGCCTCTGCACCCCGCCATATCCAGTATCTAGCTATGGGAATGTCATTTGAAGATTGCGGTATCTACTAAATATGAGAAAATGACTAGTTACTTACTATATACGGATTACAATACTAGCAATAAAATAAATGTTTCAGCTACCTAGTCCCCTTCTTCAAACATAAAATCATAAGATGTATGTAACAAAACACGAGGCGTCCCAGACATCGACTAACCCATGCAGATACCGGCATATCTTATACACTAGAAAAGAAAAAACCCAATACACTAGTGTACAGGATAGGTTTGAAACGGTCTAGATCCAGTTACATGCTATACTTGCTACTTTAGGTAGGTGGTCATTGCTCGGTGATGGCATCATTTGCGGAGGTTGCGTCGCATCGGCAGGCAATTGAGGCGGGCATACAAGTCTAGTGGTACTGGGACGATGAAGCCACGAAAGTTCAGACAAATGTCATCTATTACCGATTGGCCCAGTGCGCGATGTGCCCAGGCAACTTAATCTCATATCTCCTTTTTGACGACCCAGCGACCCCTGCGCCACTCCGTTTCTCACTACGTAAGGCGATCGTGCATCGACAGGTTGCAATGGCGTCGGTCGAACATAGAACATAGTACTTGGATCGGCCCTATTGCCGGACTCGATCGAGTTCAAGTAACAGGAATTGTTTGTCAAAATTACGACGTGATAGCAGCAAACGAGATATCAATTTGATATTTCATATTTGTGTTAGGGTATGCAAAATAGAGATCTAACGTAGGACTTGCTTTTACGAATCGTATGTGAGGTCCTGTGCCCGAACGCGCACGGTTGGTGTAAGGGGTAAGAGTACGTGCTCATAGCCCAGAGCCATTCAACTATGGTATTAATATATTTTGGTTTAATCGACACCTCGCTGCTACCACTATTCGTCGGTTTGGATGCGATATGTGACGAGTGCCATCTAACGATTCTTTAGGATAAGGCAAATATTTGGGTGTATTTGGGTGTAGGTATATACGATAATTTTCTCGGAATGACCTACTATAACTCTTACGTTTATTAGGACATACTGCTTGGGGTAGTGGCGTATTAAGTCATGCTTATTTTCACCTAGTGAGTCCAGGTTGGGGACTTATAGTCAGGTACCTCCTAGGCATAAGTTCAGAACCAGTTATATTCTTATTCTCTAACTCGACCTGCTAATAGGAGACATCGCTTCTTTCGCGGTAGATATGCCGACACCCCCCTATTCTATTAGTATCGTCGGCCTGCCTATTGTACAGTCCATACGCAACGGAAAGGGGGGCGGTCAAGATGGTCATATCGTACAACAGTAATACATGATATCAAGGTCAAAACCTCTAAGAAAATTGAAAAGGGCGTTAATCCTAACTATTGACGGTAAGGTCTCCCCTTAAGACTTAATCAACAAATCAATCAGAGGTACTGAAAACCATTTCTACAGCTCAAAGTCGAATCATAGGTAGGTAGACATTGCTGCTACTTTGACACCACCGGTGCTCTTAGTTGAAACTAATGAGTCGGTTTGGGTCCATAATATTCCTACTGGCCCTCTGCACGTTCTCAAACCTGGTGTATCCGCAGCTTTCGCTCTCGAGATGATTCATAAGAGCAGCTAGTGAGACGAACTCACGACCACAGCTAAGCCGGTTGGGGCAATGATAGAGATTTTGCTGATCTATAACATCGGTAAGGTGTGAGTAAGGATCACAAAATCTATGGACCAACCCGAGGTAGATTAGCATGGGAAATACTTACGTGTAGGCGAGCTAAGGTGCTGGTTTAGGGAACTAAGTAAGCCGAATTGGCGATGGCAGAGGTAACACTCGAAGGCACATCCATTCCACGATTCGTACGTGGCCTCGTACTTAGGAGAACCTTTCCAACCGAGCAGATTCTTGGAAATAAGGCCGCCTGGGTCTTTGGTTCTGACGAGCTTATATACTTCATCTCGATTTAGACGTGGAGCTCTCGGACAAGCTCCTCCCTCTATGTGATGCGCGAGGCCGGTGGCACATGTGTAGGCCTTTTTGCAAAAAGGACAATTGATGTTTATGCCGCGATGGGCACGCGAGTTAAGATGCTGCCAGGTGTTTTTCATCAGTTCATCGACCTTAAATGGCATATGTTGAAAACAGGTGTCAGATAATGGATTGTCCAACTCACCATCTTGATATCGTTGTAATTTCTAAATGTCCGGGAACAATCAGTACAGTGGAAGTGTTCCTCCATCTCGTGCTCTCTTTGTTGTTCTTCAGTTGGCCATGTTTCATCGCAGAAAGTGCATTCGTAATACCAATGATTCTTTGCGTTCATGTGATTGACGACGGCGCTGCGGGAATTGAAGAAACGCGAGCATCTATCACATTCATGATCGGGAACCGAATGATCTAATGCATCCATATGTTGTTCTCGACTTCGCTCAGTGGTAAATTCTTTCCAGCATGTTCCGCATGTCCACGACATCTTGTTGCTTTGTAGTTGGCACCAGCTAGGATCTCAGTGGGTATGAAGGGGCTTCTGCAAGTGTGGGATCAAGGTTGTCAGAAGAGACAACCAGTCGGTAGAAGTAATATAGTCAAGTCGTAATAGACACCTGAGAGACACCTGGAAAGACCCAGAAGGCCAGGCGGGGGCTGTCATTAGTACGGGCTTACTCGAGAGCTACCTGCGGTATCAAAGATTTTCAACCCAAGGTAAAGATGTGAGCGGTTGCCTAATTAGAAAACCAGCTTACTCGGAATTTAATTGAAAAAATCATTCAAGCTTGGTACATCGAGAACGGAATCGAAAAGAAGGCAAGTACGTAGAGAGGGCTTGTTTTCGTTTGGTTGCTAAGGTGAGGGGAGAAGCAAGGCGTTTGCCGCGTTGCTGCATTTGCATATTTGGTTACAACGCACGCCCCATCGTTACACCTTCAATATTTGATTCGTCATATTTCTACGGATATTCTTAGATCCATGTTTAGTTGTAGCTCCCAAATACTTTATACTAACGCTAAAGACCACAGCCAAAGACTTACCTAGGTAGCTTTAAATCCTAAATAACCTATGTTTATCAACATAAATACCTGTTATTCATTATGATAATGCACTAACTGATATTTCTTAGTAAGTTGATTTATATGTATTCTCCGTGTGATCATATTTCCCTTCCTTTTGATTTTTTATATAGCTCGTTCTTTACTCGTCGACTTTAACTAAGAGTACCAAATAAATGAGGCATACCTAAAAAACTAAAGATAATGAAACAGCGTGAGTTACGGCAAGCAAATACAAGGAATTTTAAAGAAACCATTCGAAAAAGCATCAATATAAAAGCTTAAAAGGAGATGCTATCACAAGGCTGAAACCAAAAGGTATCATATATTGAAGATGACGTTCCGGGTTTTACATCAGATCCTTGTAGCTTGCTGCAAGGCCTTGTTTATATACACAAAGGAATTAAGTTCCTGACTGACTTAGGTACTGAGTCATGATGCTATCTGGCGGGCCGTTAGATAACATCGTGACTCTTGTAGTAACCGTGATAGATGCACACAAGCATAGGTAATCTTAGCAATTACTAAGGTAATCAGCGAGTTTCCAAATAACTATTAACTATCTTAAGAATTACTTAATAAGGAAAGTTATTTAATGTCTTTACAGTTATGCCGACCTATACCTAAGTACCAATTCTCTTTTATTCTTACCTTGTGATATAAGATAGTGACCCTGCACTACGGCTTTGTGTTAGTAGATTTGAGGAGACCCACCTCACATCGTTACAATCAACTATGGGAGAGTTGGGTGGGAGATGCTACTTCTTTATCTCTCCTATAAATAATATCTCGCGGACTTTGCTAGGAATTTTAAATGAAAAAAGTTTGCATGTGTTATATGTGCGAATACTTTGTAATGTACATAACGTACACACAAATGTATGGTCATTTTAAGACGGTAATAGGGTTTATAAGACCAAATTTCGAACACTAAGCACTGACCACATGGGTGGTATAGTATAGTGGATAGTACAACACGTTGTGGATGTGCAGATATACTGATACCGTGTAGACCTGGGTTCGATTCCCAGTACCGCCAATTTTTTGTTAAATTCTTTTTTTTAGGCACAAATAATACCATGTTATTTGAGGGCGAAGTAAAGGGTGTAATAGATATATGCATCACCCACGTAGAGACTCAAACAGGGGTTTAAAATCTGCCCCATAAAACTTAATCTCGCTACCAGCTATTTCATCCAGATCTGATTGAGCAAGTGGCTTGAGTGGTTCAGGTTTTTTTTTTTTTGGTTGATCTCAGATATAGACAGATTTGCCAAGATGTCACCTCCGCCTGAGTTTACTAACATAAAATCTGAGTCTTTGTATATAAGTGATGATCATATCTCTTTGATGAAAGGGATGCTGATTCAATGGGGCTAAACGAACTTATCGAATTTTAATGTATTATACCTACCAATATGTCCTGATATTGTTCGACTAACTCGGTTATAATCTATCTTCAACCACCCGCTCAGGATAGTCCTTATGCCATCCTGATGTTTCGCCGCTCTCTTCGACGCTTCGATCGATCGTTACAACGGTTGTCTTGGTAATTCCATTGGGCTTCTGCGTCAAGATGCTCTCCTCGCTTATATTGTCTGCCAAGCTGTTCGGAACAGCTACGCGTCGGGCGTCTATCTCTGTCCTTGTCTGGGAGTGTAAATATTTAGATCCCTTGGTGCCTGTACCGTGAGCATAATTGTGGAGATTGTACGTGTCTCTCTTGCGAGACGATCCGTAGCGAAGAGAGCTGTCGAATATGGTTTTGAACATCGGCTTTATACATGGTAAACACGCAGCGATGATTCCCGTGTTTGTTTCGACTCTGCGATAGAACAGGCGTCAGAGCTGCTCCTTGCGAGAACTAGGGGTTTCAAATGCTTACGCGATCCATATAGTTAAGTTGGCTGAGTCCCACAAGAAGTCACCAGTTTTTCCATAGTTTGAAATAAAGGCAGCTTTGACAATGGCTGCTGCGCATGCGCTGAAAAGAAATCAGATTAGTGATTCGAAAACAGCGGTAGAAGGGGGCTTTACAAGACACCGAGACCGAGGATACATATAAGCGAAGCCTTTTTACGAGCATTAATCTTGACATTCCAAAGCATTGGGATTGGTAAGAGCGCAAAGAATATATCTGTAACAATGTTGACCGCTTTATTCGATGGTTTGTATCAGCTCTAGTCATACCTATTGAGGAGGATAAGGGAGAGATTTAAAACTGACTTGAATTGGCGTAGCTTAGTCCTTGGACAGTCGACTGTGACCAGCACGTCGTCTGAATACGAGAGTCCCAAAGCACCGCAAGGTTGTTGCATTGCAACATCAACGTCATGAGGCTAACGAAAGTGTACGCCATGAGAAACGTCATGACGCCCTGCAGAATTCGCTTGTAGTAGACGGAAGGGCTGATACGGAGTAAAAAGAATCCCACTGATAACTTCACTATTGGGATGGCCCATAGGTATATTGGCTGTGAGGCGAAGTTTAACTTAAGGCCAAATCTGTTGACTTCGGGGTCGAGATATGCAGCATGGCGACCTGCTCCGTAGTGAACCTGGGCGATAACGATTCCCATTCCAACGAGGGAGAGAAGCTAAGAGCGAGTTAGCCTCCTGTCTCCAACAGCATGAAGTCTTTCTGTACCATAGCCGCGAGCATAACATAGTCCTAATATCAGTCAGTATAGAAATAATACTCTTAAGGGATCAAGATTCAGCTACGTACATCTATTCCAATACTCCGAATCATTCGTAAGCGGACGTACATCCTTGCGCAAAAGACGACCAGCGCAGCTAGAGTCGTCGATACCACGGCCCCAGCAATCTGGGGTCCTCGATTTTCATCGGGCTGATCCGCACCGGGTAGGGGGAGTATAGCGGCCGACATAATCGAAGTTAGGTATCGATTTCCCAGCAGAAAGATAATCGGTCAAAATTCGTAAAATTTAGAGTTAATCTACTTTTACCTGCTGTTGAGTGTATTATATATATATATGATATTGCTAATAGCTGTCCACTTTAGCCTTTTTCTTCTTCTATTCAGCCGAGTCTAGAGTCGCTAAAGTGCTAACGTACTTCTGTAGTAGGAAGGAGCTCAAGTTTTGCTTAGACCTCTTGACAGGGACTTGGTAATGGCATGGTAAGTACCTAGTCTGTAGGAATTCTTTTCACTTGATGGGCAGTGCATGGCCGGGGAATTCGGATTGGACTACACAACGGCGTCGGCCCCTTAAAGACTGGGGCGATAAAACGACGGCGTGCACGGAAAGGAACTAATGTAGGCAAGCAACGCGGTTATGCCAAGATGTCTAGATTGCATTTCATGCTTAAATAGTGACTAAATGTTTACATAGTTTACGCACGTAAACAAGCTGGAACCCGGAATAACCCTGTAGAATTGTAGCATGTGCATTCCGCCCTGAAACTTGCCGGCCCTGATTATGGCATGATATCCTACCTTTCGTCGAGGGCAAAATGCTTTTGTTGAAAGAGTTCATATACACTAGGTAGATGGAAGGATTCTAGAGGCTGCAGCTTAACGTGGGTCTATCATCTATGAAGCTATCCCCTTAACTGGCCTAAGACATCACCCCTCTTCGTAATCGGTAGAGTACCTAACGTAATGTTCAACACGACTCATTGAAATAAAAGGAGAAGACCTTGCGATGTGCTTCTATAGTAAATATGATTGATCCATTTAATAACTTAGAACATGTTTATCTTGGACGTGTATTTGTAGAATGAGAACTAATCTTGAAGGCATCACAGGCCGAGCCGGTATGCTCTTAAGAACACTAGTGAACAGACTAAGGTCATTAAGGGATTGGTGTTGGCCTTGTCGATATTTGACGCACCTCTCGCCTAGTCCGTTAAGGGTAAGTGAGGTCCGGTTGGCACTAGTAGGGCTGGGTATGGACCGGACTATTCCCATGGTATCGGGCCTCGAAGAGCCAAGGATTTCTAGGGTTGGATGTCAGCCCGATTGGTTTTTAGGTCGGGTAGGTCCGATTTCGTCAGATGTACTTCTGTCTTCACCACGGGATAATAGCATAGTGCGCTATAACGAAGATACTAAGATAGTCTGCAGTGATCTAGACTAGGTAAGATGGAGTAAGATTTCAATATACCTAGCCGAACTGCATTAAGTCAGCCTCTCAAGGGTAAGCCGTTGGTCTTGTTATGAATAAAATTAAATATCTTTCGATGAATGTACGGTAAAAAGGGGACGAGAAATTCCTATAAATCCGCAGACCTTGCCCACGATCCAAGATGATCTTCCATATCCACGTGGTCGATTGTTTGTAGATCGTACACCTAGGCTAGTCTGATCTCCCGCCCCTCGTCTGGACTCAAGTAGTTCCCTCCACCCATTATGCTTTTTCGTCGCTTAACCTGTGCTCTACTGCTTGCGAGAGCCGCAGCAGCCCCGACTACCGACAAAGACTCCGAGTCACTCACGGAGCTAGAGAACCTAATCGAACAGGCTAGATCAACGCAGGAGAATATCTTGGATGATGACAGAGCAACTGCGGCTGAGAAGAGGGGACAAACATGCACTCGCGATAATCTCACGGTGCGTCGCCCATGGTACGTGAAACAATGATTTATCCTAAAACTTCGGGGCTAAACATGTTTCCAGGGGCTCGTTAAGTGAAAATGAGCGCAAGGCCTATACTGACGCCGTACTTGTATGTACTATGAAACGTCAAAACTAGCTGATTTGATGGAGAACTTTTTACACTAACTCTCCGCTCAAGTGTTTACAATCATTGCCGGCGAAAACTCCTGCTAGTGTAGCTCCTGGCGCTAAATCGCGGTATGACGACTTTGTAGCTACTCACATCATCCAGACGCCAAATATCCACTACTCTGTAAGTACTCCACTTCGCCAGGGGGGGCTGGTTAGATGATTTAGCTAATTGTTGGCGATCTTTAAGGGAACCTTCCTCGCGTGGCATCGGTGGTTTGTGTACAACTACGAGCAAGCCCTCAAAAATGAATGCGGCTACAAAGGCTCCCAACCGTAAGTAACTCTGGCCGATAAGTAAAAGAAGTTGACACTAACATATAGTTAATAGGTATTGGAACTGGGCTTTATACGCGAACGACCCGGCCTCGTCACCAATTTTCGATGGCAGCGCGTATAGCATGTCTGGGAACGGCGAATATATCCCCAACAAAGGTCCCATAACCCTGACTCTCGGGGACTTTTCTCCGATATACCTACCTGCCGGCACGGGAGGAGGATGTGTTACATCCGGCCCGTTTAATAAAATGCAAGTAAACTTGGGTCCTGTAAACCTCCCCCTAAATAACGGCTCAGTCTTGGCGGGGACCGGCTTGGAACACAACCCACGATGCTTGAAGCGAGATATCTCCGCCGGAGTTAACTCCGCATACGCAAATGCTACCTCCGTTGTCAATCTCATCCTCAAGAACAATAATATCGGGGACTTCCAAATGGTCATGCAAGGTGCTCCTGGTTCCGGCTCGATCGGTGTACACGGCGGTGGTCACTACACCGTCGGTGGCGACCCAGCCGACGACGTCTTTGTCTCTCCCGGAGAACCAGTCTTTTACCTTCACCACGGAATGATCGATCTAGTATGGTGGACGTGGCAAGCTCTTGATTACAAGAATCGCCGGGATGCCGTCTCAGGGACAGGCACTTTCTTGAACAGCCCGCCATCAGCCAACACAACTCTCGACGACATAATTGACCTTGGATATGCCGGCGGTGGTCCGATCACAATGAGGGAGTTGATGAGTGTCCACGATGGGCCGTTCTGTTATACGTATGTATAAGCGAGCTACGATGAGCAACGGTTAGCAATTGTCGAAGAGAGGAGTACCGCCGTCTCTTCAATGTTACAGCCTGTGTATTACCTAGCGTGAATAAAGACCTATCAGCGATGTATTTTAAGCGATTGTGGGAAGCATACAGTTATTACGAATTGCTATTGTCTCAGTACTAATATAAATATAACCTTTTTTCACCACACAGACTTAGTAGTGGTATTAGAGAATAGAACTTTGAAGTTTAACGGTCAGGGATCATGATCCCTGAGTCTTGCGACTGCTTGGCGCATGCAGTCCCATAATATTCCCCATAATATAAGAATACAACACTATATCCCGAACTTAAGGGGGGGGGGGGGGGGGGGTATACTATGCCTCGTAAATCCTTCCACCTATTGGAGAGTTCCCGTTTAGAGGCTTACCTATTCAGTCTACCCACATGTATATATGAAAGCTCAAGCTCGTACCCTGGGTAAGAGACGATGTACAACTGCCACCTTATAGCGATGTATAAGTGCGTCACTAATAGAGATCACTTCACTTAAGCCGGGCATATGTGTTTATGAGAATTAACTAACTCCTTTTAGATTGTGAAACTCGTGTTATACCATAGTTTCAGTCTTCATATAGAGGTTAACTGTTTAACAAAGGCATAGCAAGTCTAATTAATAGTTTACACAATCTTGGGCGCCTCGGTAATGCCGTCATCACCTTGTGAAGACGTTGTCGAAGCAACTACATGTCTCCGTCTCAAATGTCCGGCTTCGTCGTGGTCCTGGTCCCATTTCTCCACTTCGTTTAGAGGTACTTTAACTAATCGATGAGTCGTGGCGCCTTGGTCCTCGACGCTCATTATTTCTGGTCGTATCTTATACCCTCCCCATCTTGGTAGCGCATAGATCCAGATGACATAGTATATGCCGCAGGTAACGATAATAGCAATACCAACGACACAGTACGTCGCATACCAGAACGAAACTTCGCCGGCGTACGGGCCTCCTTTCGGAGGGATCCACGGCGTTGCGAGAATGTAGACCTGGAGCAAGATATAGAAAATCAAAACCACGTCCCAGGTCCTGAAGTCGGGTGCTTTTCTCCCCAAACGCTTTTGCCTATAGCGAACTAGGTATACACCGACTGCAAGAGCAAGGTGGAATATTCCATCCGGGTAAGTTCCCAGACTCACAACTTTTCTGCTGTTAGCACTATGCAACTCGGAAAAGGGGCTACGAGAATTGAAAACATCCGATAAAACTTACTAAATTGAAAAGCGTCGCCAGCAGGGGGAGCAACAATCATAATAAATGTCATAACCCACTTTAGGAAGTATGGGCCGAAGGGAGTACCGAAAGGTTTGGTGGACACCCAAAAATTGGTAAATGGGAGCACGCCTTGTCTATTATAGAGCCTCGTTATCAGTATCTGTAAGAAAGGCGCTCAAGAAGGAAAAATGCTCACCGGCCAATTTCGCGGATCACTCGGGACTGGCCGATCAACACAGCAAGTAGATTCGCGAAGGCACTTAGCAAAACCAAAACGTTTAGAGCCTGGTTCGCGCGGCCCCTACCAAAGACAGACACGAAGAACACGGCTGCGGCAATTTCTTTAGACTTAGCGAATTCGTCCTTGGACACTATAGGTATTATTAGTTAGCATCTACTTGATATACGCGAGTGCTTGGTTTTTTTCATACCGGCAGCGAAGTATGCAATGTTGCAGAGCATATACAGTAAGCCAACGACCAAGATAGAGATGGCACCGTTCTTTTTCAATGTCGGAATAGGATTCTTGATTTCGTTGACCACGTTGAAGGCATTCGCAAAGCCCGTGTACGAAAAGACAATGTTAACTAAAGCGACGGCGAGATCGTTTCCGTTGGTTGTTGTGCCCTCGAACGCATTTCGGAAGTTGGCTCCGGGGTCGGGAATATGAGGGACGTTTCCGCCCAAGACCACGAGGCCGGTTATACTAATGCTATCGAGGAGATCGTGTTAATCGACGGACACCCTTCCCGTGGAAGTTCATACATACAAGATGAGAGTAATGATTTTGACAACCCCGAGCACATTCATTAGCCATAGAGAGTATTTGTTATGAAGAATCACGCCTGTGCATACTTGTTAGACCTAGGTGACAACTTGTTCAGACAAGGATAACCTACATAAGCTTGCTACAGTATACGCAGCAACCGCAACACCTTTCAATTGCCAGTCGGTCGGTGTAGAACCCGCAATCTGATATACATATCTGGCCAAGACTAATCAGCGTTAATAACTGCCTATTCTTGAGATGTCATGGATACGCACCGATAGCGTTACTGCTGCTGAAGCTTAGGATTACGGAGTAGACCGCAAAGGTAACAGGGAAGAAATGTTTCGGCCTTGGGTATTCTTGCTCCAGGTAGACAACCTCAGATCCTGACCTATTTGGAAAGTAACTCGCGAGCTCAAGGTAGACACTGAAGCCCGCGATAGCTAATAATATGCCAATTGTCCAGTAGATAAGAGCAAGTCCGACAGAACCAGTACTGTTAAGAATAGTTCCAGCTACGAAGGAATTAAATGTCAGTTCTGCTTCCTCTCATTTTAAGAATCTGGATAGTGGTAGGAGTATCTTACGCGTCGAGAAAATACCGGTACCAATCATTTGATTGATATTGAGAAAGAGGACTGTTATCCAACCAACGTGGTACCCTAGTGGCGACTTGGATTCGACAGGAGCGCCGGCTGCCTCCTGATAAGATGGCTTCGATCCATTTCCTGCCTTCTCTAGAGTATACGCGAGATTGCCGTCGTGAATCACCGAGATGTCGGAACTGGATGGGTGGGTATCAACCGCCGGTACTTCGGTCGTGTCCGACCGCACCCAAAATTTCGGGATCCCCATTGCCTCAAAAGCTCATCCACTTGGTCCCAATGATGATAAGTTGGGATGGAAAGGTGACGTTCAAGCGATCCAGAGTATTGCTGTTATAGAGCGTGGGAAACAGGACCGCGACGAGATGTACTTATCGCGACAGCAGGTCGTAAGCTTTTAATGAGAATGCGCCGAGGCGATCCTTTTTCGTACGAGATCGCCAGGCTCGATGATACAATCGGTCCTTGGAGCACACCGTACGAACGTCTAGAACATATTTGGGGCATTAGCCCGATCTGCCGAACCGTGTACCGCGATCTGAATGGTAGATAAAGCTATATTCAGATGGTTCTCCCAGACTTCTTGGAGACTGTCTGGATAAAACTGTGCGGCGACCTTCCTAGGTGAGAGGGGCCGAGAATCACGCAATACTGGTTGATCATGACAACCATGCTGGATTGGGGGCACGATGTTACGGAACAATCCCAGAACGATTGAATGTGCTGGGAGGCAAATAAAACTTTGCGTAATCCTAAGCATATAATCAAGGTATGCTATGTTATTTTTTACGGGCGCTAGAGGATTATAGTCTCGAGAAAACGTGGGTGCGTATAGTTTTGCAGCGAGTCTTGTCCGCCGCGTTGATATCGAAGTGTTCCAATATCACCAAGCTATTTCAATAACCCCGAAACAGACTTTTGTTGGGGTGTGCCATCATAAGCCACACGATATGTACGCCAAGTGATACGAGACATGCCGTTATGACTTTTTCGGATAGTAGTTTTGTTGGCCATGGCACTACAGGATTGTGTTCACAACAAAACCTAAGTATCATTTTGCATAGTTAGTCTTCAATTTAATACTCGGATATTGAAGAAAAGCCGATGGAAGCCGCTCCTTCACTGTATCATTGGGTGTATCATTGGCTATGCCCGGGCATGTTTACTCTTGATGGCTTATATATATATTGATTTGGAATTCGGTCTCGCCAAGATCATCAACCCACTCGACCACTCTTGTTACCTGCAGTTCGAATATACGGCTCAAGCGGCAGAACCTCAGACTCTGGCGCTCTGTCATCATATAGCAAAGCCCACCTCTCCTTCAATACCTCCGGCGTGTCCCATGCATTCTCCGGATCGCGTAACCAGAACCGTAACAGATGTCGCCTTTGAGCATGTTCAGTTAACTGTGCTAAAGTTATCTGTATGATGAATAGGATCGACTTACTGCTTATCGCCTTCATTCCTAAACCCGTCCCGGGCGTGAAATACAGCCAAGTTGTTAACATACTGAATATCTCCCTTTTGGAAATACGTGTCGACGCAGAATTTCTCGCCAAGGAAGTGTAGTGTGTCTAATGCTTCCGCTTGAGCTTCGGTGATTGGCGGGATGGCCGGACTTCGAGGCAAGGCACCGAATCCGACGAACGAACGTCGAGCATACTGGAGAATCACACGTTCTGGCGCTGATTCAGTAGCCGGCTGGTAATGCATAATAGGTCTTGACTCAAACGGCTGCTCGTGATTACCAAAGCTTGAAGTTCCCTACGTGTTAGCTAGATACCTTTGAATTCAGCTCCTGGTCTTATTCGAAGCAACATACTTTTCCGGGTTCCAATTCTCCGTCAATGTGTGAATAAGATCGGGGCGGGTACGAGCGATCTCATTATACACTCGCCATGTACTCGCGAGTTTACTTGCGCCACCTTCGGCAGCCGTTTCGAGGACGAACAGGGAAACGATATCACCCGAGTCAGTGTGGAATACCTGCTTGTCGGTAGTGAAAGCCGGGCTACCGATTATCTCATTGCGACCGGGACCACTCAAATCCTTGATATGAGACAGCGTAACAGCCGCAGGCTTGCCGTCGAACTTGCTGTCCTGGCGGCCTCGTTTAGGAGCAATATGCGCCGATAAACCCGCGTAGATAATTATGTTCTCTTCGCGACTGTACTTGTCCACGGGAACACCGCGAATTACGAAAAAGCCATGTCCGTTATGGAGCTCGTCGGATAACTTCCGTAGCTCGGAATGTAGGTTTGGCAATGGGAAGGTCTCCTGGCTCACATAACCGAGCGGTAAGTTGAGAGCTGTTGAATACTATCAGCATGGATCTTGCGATAGCCTAGACCATCACCTACACTTGAAATGCTTCACAGCGAGATCTATTTCATCGAGCTGGCTTTGTTCAAGGACATATGTCCAATCGTATTCTTTTGCAAGCGAGTCGCCCTCCCAGACCAGCTTTCCGGTTAGCTGCCGGGGCAATCCTTTAGGAAGTTCCCTTGGCAAGCCACCAGACTTAACGCGGCTGTCTCTTCGCGCTTCATATTTCTTGAAATCCGGTGCATACGAAATATCGGGCTGCCCAGGGGGCTTCACCGCCGCAGGGGTAACGTACGTGACAGTCGCCATAATAGTTGGATTTGCCTCTCATCTGCTAGCGGAGTTGGACTCGGCTGCGACTTGCCTCTTTATGTTCGGTCAACAAGACTTGGAATGGGCTCATGAACATCGATTGCGCCATTTGGAGAAAATATCACCCATCGCATATGTCCAGGTTAGCCACCAACCAATGAAGCTCTTTGACCCTATTTTCCCCATTCATGTTGGAAATATGTAAGGTAGGTATCTATAAAGAGCACTGCATGGTGCTTCGTTACTATGCTTGGAGGGGTTGTCGTGCGCTTCCATCTTTTGAGACGTGATGTGCACTTTATTTCGGGCTTATCTGAGCCAATTATCGGTAATTCGAGATTCGCTATTAGTTTCAATTGCGAAATTGAGGTCAATGAATAAAAGCTCTGGACCCTGAGTTCGGAATGATTTCTACTTGGCTATTATTGAAACTGGATGCAATGCGAAGAAAGTCGAATGGCCAAATTACTCGAACCAATATAATCATGAATGAATCTTGAATCAATTACGTGCTTCGTAGACGGTCTTGAGGCGTTACACCCACCAGGTTGGTGACGCCCCGATCGAGCAAAGCGCCGTCGCTGTCATCGGCCATTAATTTTCAGTTATATTGTGAGTAAATAGTATTACTATTTTGTATAAATCAATACGCTGGAAAGGATAATAAATAACCCGTATATTCCAAACGCCACGTTCTTGCTGGTAATTCCGCTCTGTGACAAAAGCAGCGTTCGACGCTATTATTCAATGTGATATCAACTCCAAAACCACCGAAGCTGACGGCGCTTTAAAAATGATTCCTTATCCCAAGTCCTTCTTGGCAACCCCATATCTCGGCACATACAGAGTGTATATATCGGCATTGATATTGACACTCATGGCCTCGCCCAAAACCGTCTATACCCACTGTCGGCTTCACGTGCCGTGCAGGCGCCCGCCCTGACCATTTGCGTCGCGATATTACTGACTCTGCGATAGAGGGCCCAGTCGTCCATAACCTTCTTGTGGATGGCGTTCTTGGTGACGTATGGAACTCCGGGCCATTCAAGCAGTTGGAAGTGCATAGCATCGAATTCTGCGATGTTCTCGTCGCTGAAATCTAATTTCTTGGTATCTAGGTAGCGTTGGGTCATAATCACAACCCAGTCTGAAGATGCCTTGCAGCCGGCACAGAAGTCAGAGGCGAAGGGCAACTTGTCTAGGGGACAGCAGCTGCTATGGTGGATGACTAACCTCTGGCAGGTATGGTACTTTTTGTAGTCTGCGCAGGAGTTAAAGATGTTTATCCGGACTTCATGGCCACATCTTGCTCGATATTTTTCCCACTGGTTGCACATCTTGAAGGTGATAATAGTTGGCTATCGTAGCTATTGCCGGCTTGATGGACTTGTTCCAACTCTTAGAGGGGGTATTGATATTACTGCAGGAGTTGAATGGGTTAGTTATGCCTTCCATCATTTTGCATGTAGGAAGCAGTGCTGGAATAGCCGTTATATATTAAAGTAAATGCGGCCGTGGCTATTTTAGTATTTGGTTAGCTGTGGTTGATACAGTTAGTAACTGATGATTCTTTTTTATGTGGAAGTAAGGAATACTGAGTTGTTACAGAATTACACTGTGAAGTGTTGATTGATTCTAAAGGAGTGAGTTAGCACTGAGCTGTCTTTATCATCCTAGTATGGAGAAAAGACATATAATTCATCTATCCGTCCGAATTGTATCGAAATGACTGGTGGATGATTTTCAGAATTGATTCGGGTTGACAACTCCTTTCATCCTAATAGATGGCTTTTGAATATTCTATTGCTACCTACTGTAAATTTTCTAACAGCAGATTTCTATTTAACCCTACGCTCCTGCCTAGAGTTAATATCGAGGAGCGTAAGACTACTATTGGCACGGAGAACGAATTTAGTAACATCAAATGTGGAATTGGATAGGAAGTAAATGTTATAGAAGTCCCTAGAGGTGGAAACGATTTGACAACAACAGCCTTACATAGTTGTCTCCCAAGGAATATATATCACTAGCCGTGCATCTGTATCACCTATAGAAAAACGTATTAAAATTATATACAATCCTATCTAGTATTTTCTAAGGGGCCCCATAAAAGGAAGAGTGCCATTTTTAGGAGTTCGTACTATGATGTAAACGTCTGGTAATAGGGGACGATCTTTATAACGACCCAGGATCTTGCGCAACGAACAAGATCAGATCCGTACCATTGAAATCATATAGTTGAAGAATGTGAATAAAAGCAAGGACAAGTTCTTGGATTAATTTGTCAACATTTCTCTCCATTCAGTATTATTCACAATGCCGCCTCATTTGCGCAGCGCGTCGGCACGCGCGAACTCGGGAAACCAAAGTGGCGAATCCTCCAGCAAAGGCACAGCCAAGACCTCGAAGACTACTACGACGAGAGGGCGCAAGAGAAAGTCCACTGACTCGCAGTCATCGAGTAGACCTAAGCGAGGAAAGCAGACTAAGGCATCCGGCACCGAGGAACCAGAAGAGATTCCCGACGAGAAACGTAAACCGCGCCTAACAACGCCAGACTTGGAGTTCGACTATGATCGTAGTCAGCTACGCGATCCGCGTCTTACGCCCGGACGTGTAAGGCGACCGCGATGGGAAAGTTTCGACATGCCAGAGGGCTTCAAAGAGCGGTTCTATGTTCCCAAGCCAGAGAAGCCTAGGGGCCAAACAAAAGCTATACGAGAGCACAATCTCAGCGAGCAAAAAAACCTCCTGGACCCCAGCGAAATGTTTCATGACTTATATGTGTGCCATAAAAAGGGTCGCGAGGGTTCGCCTACTTACGATGCTGCTGGCTTCCAGTTGGACTGGGAGAAAGTGGACTCCTGGATGCACCCACCATCATACACTAAGTCGGGAGTAGTAAGTAGGATGGAGAAAGTCGTAGATAAAATGGAGCGTGAGGAGCGCGACATGTACAAGATATTCTTCGTGGATGGTAAACTGCCAGATGCCGAACCGACGATAGTCACCGAATATTTGCAAGACCACGTTTCGAAGGATCTCGACGTACCTTGGCACCAGATTGGCCCTAAACATCTTGTCGAATGGGAGAAAAGGGGGTTCCCCAAGCAAAAGGCCGGAAAATGGTGGCGAGAGCCGAATGAGATGGAGGAGCGTAGGATGATGAAGATGTCATCCGATGCTATTTATAGGAAAGATTTGTAGAGGCGCTCCAAAAGTTATGGATCACGCTCAAAGCTCATACAATTTACACAAACCACTTGTATCTAGGTGGCAGAGTTACCAGTCAACTAGCCCGCCACATATGAAAGCATATACATATTGCAATTAAGTATCCCATTAGACCAATCTATTCTATTTTATGCTATCCGTATGCCTCCTATGCCTCCTATGCCTCGGCCCAGTTAGGCGTCCAATCGACCTATAAACATGTCAGCCCCCCTCATTCGCTTCAATAAGAGAATATGAGAAGATGAGTAAGGAGAAAAACTTACGATACTGGGATCGATCTTCTTCAGATCCGCAACCCCCGCGTTCGCAGCATCAATAGCAATCTCGTGCTTGAGGATGTCGATAGCGCGCTTGACCCCGTCCGTGCCGTAGACATTGGCGTACATGAACGGGCGCCCGAGCCCGACGGCGCGAACACCAAGAGCCAGCAGCTTGACTACATCAGCGCCGTAGCGCACGCCACCGTCCGCGTATACTTCCAATTGCGAGAACACCTCGGGGGCTTGATCGCGGATCTCGATAGCTACTTCGAGAGGCGAGCGTGCGCCGTCGATTTGGCGACCTCCGTGGTTGGATAGGTAGACTGATGATGCGGGTTAGTAACTTCCAACAAGGGATTCAATGTCTTTTCAGGTCCGCGACCTCTTGATAAGGGGCTAGTTTCTAGAAAAGGGAGTCCCGATGTCACGTACTAGCTGGAACCTGGTGCTCGACGGCCTTTTGTGCGTCTTCCACCGTCTGTATGCCCTTCAAGACAATTGGAAGGTCTGTCAGAGTGCGAATGTGGTCGTAGAAGTCCCACTAAGAAAATGAGTTCCCATGTTAGCAATTTGGATCCAATTCAAGCCGAACTATGCCCCCGAAACTTCGCCTTGGTAAACTTACGGTTATCAAAGTATAAGCAGAGTCACTATGTGACGTGTTAGTCTACTACACCGGGAACATGGTACTTGGAACTGATGGGCTTACGCAGAACCGACGCCGTAGCGTGCCGCACGATGGCGATTTCCGTCCGCGGCCGAGTCGATCGTAAAAACAATGGCCTTGCTTCCGGTTTTCTCAGCTCGAGCGAAGACATCCTTTGTTGCGGTGTCGTTCGAGTTAAGGTAAACCTGCTGAAAGGTAACCTGGTCGGTTTTCTTGAACGCAGCAATCTCTTCGATAGTTAAGCTAGCTAGCTGGGCAGGCTTTACCGCATCACCAATGTTAGCGTATGTGAATTTACAAGTGCTATAGGTTAGACGAAGTAAGTCAGAATCATACCATGTACAGAATATCTCCCGCTGCGGCTCCCTCGACTAGCCCCTTCTCGCCATCGGTGTTGCCGTAGCCTCCTAGAGCAGCGGGGCTGATGAAGAAGGGCGCGGAGAAGTTGTGGCCGAGAATCGTGGTACTATATCTCCATCATCAGTAAAATGTGTCGAATAAGACAAGGATTACGGGCCAGCGTACGGGAGCGTAGACTCGATATTCGTGACATCCACCATAGTCCTCGGGCGGAGTTTATATCGGTTGAAAACCTCGAGGTTATTTCGGTACGACCACTCGCCCCCAGCGCCATTGCGATAATAGGTGTAGTTCTGAACCGCAAGATGCCTTCTCGCCGCCGCATCGAAATCCGGCAGTCCGACGAGTTTCTCTAGAGGCGGTAGCTCTCCGGCCGGTAGATTGGCGAAGTACTCATCGAACCTTTTTTCGTGTAAGTACTTCTCTGAGTTTGTAACAAGGGTCTGGCTCGACAGGACTTACCCAGTATCGGGCTCGTTTAGAAACGGACGTGCCGCTAAGGCACCTCCGAGCACGGAGAGAGAAAGGAGTGCTGAACGCATATTGAAATGCTAAGACTAAATGAGCGGCTCGAGGCAAGGAGAACGTGAAAAGACCTCTGGATATGAAGTAGATGGTATACAGGTCGTCCTGGGTGGTGAAGATCCTTCCATCTTATACCTAACTTTCATCACAAGACCTGGTCCCCTGTCTTGATCATCTCGGAAGGAAAGAGTCAGCACTGCCACTAGCACGGTGATAACTTTGTAATCATCGCCAAGCACGACCAGCTACTTTCATGAAGTGGAAGCTAGACGAAGGCATGATTCGTCTTACCTCACAAAGTTAGCTCATGCGGCCTCCTTGCCTGCATTGGGGCATAGGTCTATGAGCTTGGATTCCATCAGGATTACCTGATCGTTTCTTTCCTATTCTAGACTGGGTTTACGGCTACGATGTTTGTTTCGAGAGGGCCTTTTGACACGATGTCCTCGGCGCATTACGATACGGGCCTTACCGGAGATTCCGTATAGTTAAAATTCCCAACTCTATTAGTGGGTTCGGCCCGTTGACAAGCTGATAGAGGAAGCTAATGGAAGTTTTCTAATGCAAGGTACAGGCGGGTACCTGAACTGCTGACGATATAAGCCAGTCTACGCCATGTTCTAGGCGATCAGTGGAGACGATGGTATCAATGTGCCGGTCTAGGCTATTAGATTAGTTTGAAGGACCTTAGAAAATCCGACGAGTTGGACGAATCAAATCACTTATTCGGAGACCTCGGATTAGATCTCAAACTCTTGATAAGATAATATCTTCTAGGGTAGCTAAGCTGCTAGGATTCCAAAGAACCTAGTTTATCAATACGATTCAGTGGGCCTCTGTGGGATATTAGCTGCGGACAAAGTACTTGAACGATGCGTACAAGTTCGAATGGCCTCAAATACGTAATAGTCAGTAAGACATGGAATACCAATTACTTGGTTGGTAACGCCACCAATATATTATATAAACTTTTAAAAGTTGTCGAATGACAGATTGACCAGCTGAGATTGTCGCGCCAGTAAAGATGCCAAGGAAATGAAGCTCTCACAAGCTTCGACAATTCTGCAATGAGGTAATCCATTTCTATAACGCTTATCTAAATGAAACAGGCGTGGCCGAAACTTTCCATTTCCTCTCACCTTCAGAGACAGTACTTCCTTGGATAGAAAAAGTATGCCGTCCGAACACAACGATTATTTACAACCTAGTCCCCCGTCGCAGGATTCCTCAAGCCAAAATTAAGCACCCATGTCCCTGAGTGAACTTAAATGCTCCCATAAGAGGAAGCCGCCAAGCCATTTCAGTCCCAAGTAGAAAACAAGACATGGATTTTCCACAAGGTTGAGAAGTGCATGTGATAATTACATGTGTAAGAAACATTGTTTGGAGGGTTAACTTGCATGCATGAATCGGTGATCACTGGGTTGGCAGACCAAGAAATAGAGGTGTTAAATCGCTTCCGCCAAGATGCCAAGAACACCATCTAAGACAACCTAAAGTCTCATCGTATCCCCCATCTTTTAAAACAACTACCATGTAAACCCTTCGTTATGCCACCAAACGTTCCGACCTTTCTTAACCCAAACTCCAACGTGTGATCTCAACTCACGAGCCATTGCCTCCGGTCCGCAAACCAACACGGCGACTCTCTCTTCAAGCCCCTGGCGGAAAAAGTCGTCGACGATTTGCTGTAGGTCGGGCCGTTTATGAACCTGCCTGGGATTAAGATATGAATTACTATCCAACTCGACTGCTTCACGTAAAGTAAGTTCGCGCGGAACGTCCTCAGTTAAGAATAGCTGTACGTTGTCATCGAGGGCATTTTCCGCGTTGTCTAAAGGCCACGACGAATCAGCGGCCCCGCGTACTGCCCAGACCACCTGTACCCGGGCTGTTGGATTTTCATTTAGAATATATCCTATACGATGTTAGTCTCCTGCATAAGCATATTGATTAATCCCTTCTACGAGCATCTAGGCCCGGTGGCCCCTTGTTTAGACACTAGGTACTATTCTAGAATCCGGTTTGGTGTAGAAACCAACGCTAGAAAGGTACTGATGACTTACTGCATTCAGGTCAATATTAGTATGGACGTTTTATTAATCAAACCAAGCGAGAGCTGGGCATACCTGGATATAGGTAAAATGAATGTAGAACCAATGCCGCCAGCAACTAAAAGGATCCGATCAAACTCCGGGCCAGCCAGGTTTGGAAACCATGTCGCGCACCCGTAAGGGCCTTCCATGCATAACGATACTTTAGCATCAGTTAACTCATCTTCTGCAAACTGGGCCAAGGCTCCAGTCATAGGTCCTCTCTGGCGTCGCGCAACTAAAGTCAGTTCTCCTGATTTTTCATCTACCGACGCGATAGTGAATGGGTTATAGGCAAACTCAAATAGAAGGTGCGAGCTGCGGCGGGAACCAAAAGGAATAGTCAAATATACATGCATTCCGGCGTACTTGCGGAAGCGATCGAGTTTTGACAAGGGAAGGCTGGCTACTATCTTGATTAAGTTCGTGTCAGGAATAAGCTCTAGAGTCGATGGCATGGTGACGGTATCAATCTTGCGCTTGATGAGATCGATGAAAAAAACGAGTAATGCCTCAACTAAATACTGCCGGCCCCCGTGATGGGAATGGAAGAAGATGGCCGGTGGGAGTGCCATCGCTACCGTAAGGTGCGTAATGAAAAAGACACGGTACGAATAAGTACGGATAGTTTTAAGGGCCGTGGCGCCCAGCAAGCTCATACCAATGATTGAACCAAGCCCAAGAGCTGGAACAGGACGGACAATTCTTTCAGAGAGAATGCCTTCTTGAATATAGAAGTTTAAGTATAAACCTGCATGGACAAGGAGCAGGGAGTAGATGATCCAACCGAGGACACGATGCCACCGATTGAGTTGCTCATGAGAAGACCCAAACGCGAAGGCGATGGGGTTGATGTTCTTCAATATTAATAAATATTGCAGCGGAAGTTGAGATAGGGCAACTATCCCAAACCGCTTTGCAAGGTGAAGATAATCTGTATTAGATCAGCTTGGGTACCTCTTAGATTATGAGGTAGTAATCAGATCGACCCGACTGCTCGGGTTTGGGATAAACTGGGACACGGCATATTATCCGAACGGTCCTTGTGCTGAAAAATACGTCGAATAATAGGTAGACCTACCATTTCCAGTGCCATCGAAACACAAGAAGACAAGCCACATAGACCATAAAGAGCCGAAAACTATTTGGTCCCTTTGTCCCAAGTTCAGCCCTAGGATGACAACATCGTCGCCAAGCCACCATGCGACACGCCTCGCCGTGATACTCCAATATCCGGCAGGACTCTGTCTCTCGTGCTTGAGTCCCGGAGAGCTCGGAACGGCTGAGTAAGCCACGGGCTGATAAGGTGACACCCGTCTCACCAGAAATACTCCTAGCCGGTAGAGAAAGATGAGGCCTATGGGAATCAGCGCCGAGAGCTGCGCGTAAGCCGCATGGCGGTCAAGCGATTGGCGTCGAGCGTGCTTTTGAGCATCTTCCAGCGCGAATATTTGGTATGGCCAGCTCATTTTTATCTGGGAGTCGCCGGGGTCGACCTCGGATTTCACCAAGAAGATAATATTTCTTCCCCCGTCGCGGTCTGCTTTTGCTTAATAGGTACGCAGATTCTTCCCAAGAATTTAAGTAATTCGAAATACGCAAAACTAATCTTAGAAATTCAGTAGAGTTAGGACCTCTGCGATATATATAAGATATAAATCCAGATCCTTGGGGTATTAATAATTAGGTTGAGAAAGGTTTCGCCCGATTGCGATATGTCAGCTGTGTAAGATAAAAGAAAAGAGGCGCCGCGAAGGTTGCGTGATCAGCCACAAGCCGTGCACCTGGGCACCGATGTCAAGTGCAAGCCACACTTTAGATATAATTCACGTTTATAAGTGAGACAAATGGTTTGCTGACCTTTTTCGATGAGCCGGTGTGCAACAATAATTGAATAAAAATGAAAGACAAGTATTTCTTATTATCTACCTTCTAGCTAAAGTACCTAGTCACTAATCCCCATCCCTCCTATGACTCCCCGCTTGTAGGATGCAGGATTCCTAATGTTGGTTGTTGGCGTTGGTTACTCAACAGATCGACGATCTTCCGGAAAATGCCTCGAGCCACGGGATAGCTCTAGATGACATATACATCGTTGTGCATTGGATGAACGAGATCCTATCGCTCTGCACGTTTCCAACCGAGTACGAGCCGGACTGTTCGAGGATCCGATGTTGCAGAGATATCTGCCCTGTATCTTCAGTATCATCACCGCGTTACCGATCCTAGCCTATCATTGGATCTTTGATTTCAATATGGAGCCACTTAGCGTCGCCGCTGCGTCCGCCCCATGCCCCGGCTCCTTTGAACCGGGCCCCAAAGATTTTGAACATAGCGGCTATTTAGCGATCCACGTTCACATCCAGCACGGTCTGTATTCTGCGATCTACTCGATCCAGCACGGTTTGGTGGTCTAGTGGTATGATTCTCGCTTAGGGTACACCCTTTGCAATAGCATGCGAGAGGTCCCGGGTTCAATCCCCGGCCAAACCCTTTCCTTTTGCCCTTCTCAAGCAAGTATGTTATGGAGGTTTTTTTTTATTGATCCAATCATAAATATAACGATGCTCTCTTACCGTCCTCCCCTTTCAACTATACATCTTTTAAGCGAATCCGCTAATCCTTCCTCAATCGAGAACTTGTGATGATAGATAGGTAGGACTGGCTTTGTTGACTTAAAGCACTATGTATCTATAGCGCACTTATACAACAAGTTCTCTCTGATGTAGATACTGTCCTACAATATAAAATTAGTAAATCGAATTAAAGAAAAAGAAAAAGAAATCAGTATATTCTATAACTCACCGTCATCTCTTCCCAGCCAAACCAACTCAAGATCCAGGCAATTGTCGACGTGGGGCCGTACCAAATGACAGGCTTTACAGTGCGTTTAAGCAGCTCATCAACTACATTCTTCGCATACGTCGCAGGATCTATATAATGTATCCGCTCCAGCACTTCAATAAGAATTAGCCATCGTTTCTTTCAGTAATCAGTCTAGGAACTCGGATTTGGCATTAGGTATAGTCTAATTCAGAAAGATCGGATTCAAGACATAGCCAAGATATTAAGACAAGACATGGGCATCACCTACTTTTCCGACTTTCAATGTACTCCCGCAGCGGCTGATACGGACTGTCCTCTGGCAATTTTGTCGGGGGCGCGTTAGCGAAGAGTCCAGTCCCGACGCCACCCGTCTTAACAGTCACGATACGGATCCCTAGGGGCGCCAATTCAGGGCGGATGGTGGCACCTAGAACGTCAAGGGCAGCCTTCGACGCGTTATAAATGCCGAAGAAAGCTGGCTTAAGCTGGGCGTTGACGCTGCCGATATTCGCTACTAGCGCAGTTTCTCTTCCACTACTATCGCCGCTCTTCCTAGCAGCAGCGGCAGCACTTATGAGGAGCGGAAGAAAAGCCTGCGTCACGGCAAACACGCCTAGCACGTTGACATCGAGAACGCGGCGTGCAGCGGCGACGTCGGTGTGTGCGAAGGGCATAATGTGCAAGACACCGGCATTATTGATCAGGACGTCTAGCTTGCCGTCTGTGAGCTTGGACACGTGCGCCACGGCCTTATCGATCGAGTCTTGCGACGTGACATCTAGGACCATCGTCTCGATGCCGATATCCTGGAGGTGTGTGGGTAGATCCTCCGATGAGGCGATGACGCGGTGGCCCCGTAGATGGAACTCTGTCGCAAGGGCCGAACCGATGCCACCCGGACCGCAGCCGGTGATGAAGACGGTCTTGGGTGACATTTGGATTATAGGTCTCTTAGTAAATAAACGGATGTTGATTGATTATACTCGCCTCAATTATATATAGTTTAGATAATTACCTCTTGGTAAACCACGGTTTAAGTCTGTGAGCAGCAACAGCCTGAGAATAATGTGAACAGCCTGAATAATGTGTGCTGGAAGACTGCGGGGTCCCTGTAAGGGGCCTAAATAAGGTCTGAGATAACTAACATGATATCATATCCATTTCTAAGATGAATTTAAATAATGTATAGGTCATTACTAGGAAAACAGAAAGTCAAATCTTTTTTTAAAAAAATCATTTACCTCCCTAGAAGAAAACGCAATCACATCTACGCCCACGTATTCATGCTTATACTTCGTCACCTCTTTTCGCAAAATACACCTCTCGGAGAAGAAAGGCAACATCATCATGTCCCCATTCCTCTGCATGATCAAGAGGTGTATAACCACAATCATCCTTCGCGTTAAGGTCAAGTGGATAATGCTTGTTTTCAAGCATAAGCTTCAAAGCTGTGATGTTGACGTAAGGTTGCTGGCAAGCCCAATGAAGGTATCCTTCTCCGTCGTCAAGGTAAGTCTTATCTAGCCCTACAGCTAATAATTGAGCAAGGAACTTATTGGTTTTAGGGGCTTGGGACGTGTCCTTAGATGATACGAAGAAAGCACGCTCGATCCCTTCAAATTCGCCCTGTGCGTTAAGGATTTTTGCCAAAGCTTCCGTGACAGCAAACCCATCATCATAGCCAGCCGCCATGACCAATGCGTTGTCCGCCCATATACCATATTCTCCCGAGGGTAGATGTTTTTTAATGAGATGCAATGCATTGCGGAAGCACTTATTGTATGTAGCACACTCAAGGGGTGTATGAGTCTGCCAAAGACCTGTGAAATTCATAGAGACGTCTTGGCCAAGCAAGATATCTATCGTCTCTGTATTATCCTCTGTCGCAACAGCATAGTGTAAAGATGAGCGGCCCACAAAAGCGGGCATAAGTCCCCATGCTTTATATCCATTAGACAATAATATCTCAACAATACGAGGCATGCCTGCCCATGCTGCTAGATGGAGTGGCCCATAGACACCTAGGCCCGGCCGAGTGTAAAGCTCGTCTTGATAAAGGGTGCGCCGGGCCAGAATAGTAGCAGCAGCTTCTTGGTGTGAAAGAATTGCTATAGTTAAAGGGGTAAATGCAGCGTGATAGTACGTCGACGAGTGAGAGTTAGGACATATAAATCTGCCCCGGATCCCTGCGTTCACGAGACATCCCGCATCCATAAGTTCTTGCATAACTTCGACATGTCCACCGGCTGCGGCGTAAGATAGCGGCGTTCGGTCATGTGTATCCTTCACATTCAAATACTCGGGAAATAATCTTAATGATGTTCTAATAGTAGCTCTTGCAACTTCAACGGACCCATGAAATGCAGCCCAGTGCAGAACCGAAAATTGAGAAGGATTGATACGCGATCTTCTTGCATGCATCTGGAAGTCTTTGATGCTTTCGAAGATCGGAAGTTTGTGACGGCTTGAATCTCGATTTTCGGCAGTAGCAGCTTCTTGGGCAGCCTTGACATCTAATACATTACGCCGATAGAGAAGCCCCTTAAGTAGCTCTGCCAGCTGGCGGCACATCTGACTTAGTCGAGAGATTTCCTGTAGTCTGGCAAAGTCTCTTGCAATAAGATAAAAAATCTCATTTGGAAGCCTCTGCGAAGAGACTGCATCACGAGACGGGTTTGTACCGGTATAGTGGAGTGGCATTGTGCGTATTGACAAAGATTGATCACATGTCCCAGGAGTCGACATGGCTAGGGGAGAAATAGTTAGCTAAATTTCGGTCCACACTTAAGGCTTGGGATACTTTACCATCACATTGTGTGTGCATCGAGGCGTTCTGATAGCTACTCCCCATAGTATTTAATTGAGCTTCGTTTATTGCTTAGTCGGATAAATGGTGACGAAGAAGTAGATATTTAAAAAGGGAGATACTACTTAGATTGAGGAAGAGTAAAGACGGGAGAAGCGTTGATATATTTATATCCAAGTGGTGTATTTTCTACCCATCAAAATATGCTACAGTAGACAGCAGATTGGAAGGTTGTGATTATAGTGTTTGTGTATAGGTAAGATATTTTCACACACTACCTTTACTACCTACCTAGGTATTGTTAGATAATATACCTTTGATTGAGGTTATAAACAAAGTGAATGTTAAGATAGATAATATTAAACTATTAACACTTATCTTTTCATCTTCCTACGAGGGCGTTACGCGCCCTTTGTATGGTAGATTTACCTTTGTAGCTACCCCTAACCTTAGGTACCTACTTATACCTTGACAGATACTGAAACATTTGAAAAATCTTGAGAAGATACGCAGAAAATGGGAAGACACTACTGGGAAGATATGGCGATGATAAAGGAAGCTTGGTACAATGCACTGACTAATTTGATCGATGATCCCACATCATAGGCTGACTGGGCGCGCGCCGACTGATAGCATGAGTACCTAGATATTTTCAATTTAGCCAAGTTTCGATTTGCTTTGAAGCTATTCACGTCGCATACGTATTCATTGCGTTACCCCTTTTGGCAGTCATGCAATTTGCTATCTAGAAGGCACATGTAAGTGACAAGGGTCGATCGAACTTACAAACTCGCATGCATGCTGTGTATGTATCCAGGTAACCAAGGTACCTACCTGTAGATGATTCTTCGGAACGGGACGATTATCTATCCGGCATCTATGGAACCTCATATCTGGTTGGTTGAAAGTACGAATATTATTGTTGGTTAAAGCTATTATTCAAGGGCATGCACCTGATCGGTCTTTAGATCCTGGTCTGGTGGGGAAATGTACTATCATCCTCTCATGCCCTGGCAGATAGTCGCGCTCATGGTAATCCATGTGGTATAAGAGGATGTGTCTGGGCTACCAAAGGAGACTTTTGAGTAATTCTTGAGCACCATCAAGAAAATCGCGTTTGTAAACAAACTTACACCTACCCCAAACAAATAGTATAATCAATATCACCGTCCTTAACCACCAGATAGTTCGGGTGGGAACATTTTTATAAGCCGCCTATTTTGATAATGTATGCTACTGCCATAGGGCCTATGGCCGAATAATGACTAGTTGTAATGGGTAGGACGGTTTGCACAATATGTATCTCACAACTAGGCTCGATGTATACATTTATATAAATATTTATATCCTACTGATGGTTTTCTGTCATTCTTCATAAATAGTGGCCCAAGTTATACTTCAAGATGGTATTTTATCTTCTAGATCGTGGAAACTCCTACCTCTGAGATACTACACCTCTAAATACCTACTAGCTATATTAGTCATAATAACTTAGGGATTATTAGAATTAATGACGTCTAAAAATATTCTAGTAAAAACTGAATGAGCAAGCTTGTATAAATAGACTGCGGGATCGGGTGATGTCCCATCCCGACCCGCATGGTTGTCTGGCTTTGGTTAGTGACCTAGGTAGTAGAGATGCTACTTGGACGAGATCATGGAGATAGTCTTTTATATCCGCCAAAACCCGTTATCAAACTATATATACTAGAAGGTTCATATGTCATTATTATCTTAATTGCCTACTATTTTAAGGCCTTTCAACAACGCATGATTGTTCTATGACCTAAAGACATAAATTACCCGTGGCGCTAGAAATGTCAGAGAGAAAATCAACATGGTTAATCACTGGCTGTTCGTCGGGGTTCGGCCTGGCGCTGGCGCAACTTGCCCAAGCTAATGGTCATAATGTTATCGCAACATCCCGTAACCCGAGTCGTACACCGAAGCTGGTAGAAGAATTCACAAAGAAGGGGGGTGAATGGATTAGACTGGACCAAGATGAGCAGGACTGCGGACATGTAATTGAAGATATCGAAGCGCGGGGACTAGCGATCGACGTCTTGGTCAATTCTGCGGGCATCGGCATGACAGGCCCTGCAGAATGCTTCACCGAAGAAGAGGTTCATCAGGTTATGGAAACAAATTTCTTCGGGCCATATCGATTAATGCGTGCGGCTGCACCTCATATGCGTAAGAGACGCTCGGGTATGATTGTGAACTTCAGCAGCGGCTCCGGAATGGAAGCCGTGCAGTCTCTAGGTGTTTACGGCGCCTCCAAGGCAGCTCTGGACGGTAACTATTCTCCTATCTTGGTTGGCTACTGTCTGGACTAACAAACCAAAGGTATAACAAAGACATTGCATAAGGAAATGCAAGACTTCAACGTCCGTGTCCTACTACTCTATCTGGGAGCGTTCGATACTCCCATGGTTACTAAAACTGGAGCGGTATGTAAATCTATTGACCCTGACTATAAAGGGACAACAACAGAGAAATTCTTTACTGCCTTGAGCACGGGAAATTTTGCTGTCCCCGGCGACCATGTCAAAGCAACTCAAGCAATCTATGATGTAGTCATGGGCAAGGGCATAGGTGAAGGTCACGAGAAAGAAATGATCCTCCCCTTGGGAAGAGATATGGCAGCAAGGATAAATGAGAGTAGAGACCGCTTAGACCACATGGTGGAAGTTTTTGGAGAGATTTGTAACAACGTTAACGTCGACGAAGCCCCGAAAGCCTTTTAGTCGAATATTATATGACTCATACTATAACTATACGAGATCAATAGTTTAAAAATTCCCCTAACTTCTGATATATCACGTGTATCTGGTTATTATAAAGACGTTTTCATAGCATAGTAACTACACGCAAGCTGATTGCGGAAGTTAATTCCGATAGGATGTAAATGCCGTTAAGGGGTAATATAGCCATTGATTCTTCAAAGTTTCGATGCTATGTAATAAATTGAGCTGACTAGGAGCAGCTTAAATGGTATCTAGTGCTATATTATAGATGCAAGTACGTAGTAAACATATTTGAATTGAATTAACAGCCTATCTGCGGTCTAAATGCAAATATTTCTGACTATTTTCATTTCATATGTTCATGACTTAGTAATATGTCTTAGGGTTTTTTTGGCTACTCATTATATGATGATGCAGTCTTACTATATCTTATCAAATCTAATGCACATGGGAATGGTGAGGTGTAATCAATAAGGCATCTGCCGTTCAATATGACTAGTTCGATGTGACGTCAAGTCCGGCACATTCCATATTGGATGCCCTCCGGGTAATTCAGAAGACATACGTTCATCGGCTAACAGGATTACTTTAATTGATAGGAATCGCTGGATATTTTAGCAGAAGACTTCATCAACAGCTTCATTTTCAACCGATTACTGGTACGAACTTGATTATGGCTATCCCCTCAACTGAGCAGCTGGCGGAGGGCCAGGGAGCAAAAAAGCTACACTTTGTGATTGTCAGTGCGACCACTGAACTAGACATAAACTTTCACTGATTGAATGTGTTAGGTTGGAGGATCACTCGGTGGTCTCGCAACTGGCCTTGCATTGAAAGCGCTCGGCCACGACACCACGATCCTAGAGCGCAATCCCGCCCCGTTGCTTCAGGACCAAGGAGCGGGAATAGTTGCAGGTGGAGACACTCTTGCGCTTTTTAACCGATACAATCGATGCGACCGACCGTTTGCTGTTCGCTCGGACAGGAGACAGTACCTTGATAGGGACGGCAATATAGTACACAAGGAGGAAACGGTGCAGTATATGACCTCTTGGGATTTGACGTACTACCTCATGCGCGCTAACTACGACGGCATCGAGAGTTCATATTGCAACGTGCCAGAACCTGCGCCGGAGCATGGGAAAGCGACACACCTACATGATCGACAAGTCGTGAGTTTCAATAAAGAGGGCGACGGCATTCGGGTGTACTGGAAAACAAGCGAGGGAGAAGAGGGAAGCATATTTGGCGATATTCTTGTAGGAGCCGATGGACCTAGCTCGACGATACGCAAAATCCTCGAACCGGATGTCGAGAGGAAATATGCTGGTTATTGTGCCCTTCGTGGGACAGTGATCGAGACTGAAGCGAGCGAGTCTGCTAGAGAAGCTTTTAGTCACCGGTTTACTTTTTTCCATTCCCCTGGAATCCAGATCCTGGCGTATCTGATTCCAGGAAAATACGGGACGATAGAGCCAGACCAACGTCTCATTAACTTCGTCTACTACACAAATTTCCCCGAAGGCTCGACAGAGTTTGAAGAGATTATGACAGACAAGGATGGGAGACGGAGACAAATCACTATCCCGCCGGGTGCGATTAACCCAGACGCCTGGGAGAAGCAAAGAGAGCTCGCACGTGAAAGGCTTCCACCACAATTCGCAGAGATAGTCCGTGGAACCAAGAAGCCATTCGTGCAAGCCGTGACCGACGTTCTGACTCCACAGAACGAGTACTTGGACGGCAAAGTCGTCTTAATAGGCGACGCGCTTGCCGGATTCCGGCCCCATACGGTCGCCTCTACTTCGCAGGCTGCTTTTGACGCCATGATTTATGCGGACTACGTCGCCGGAAAGATATCTAGAGAAGAATGGAAGAGAGAGACGATAGGCTTCGCGAGGTATATTCAGAAGAGGGGGGTGGATATGGGTATACGAAGCCAGTATCAGGATCTTCCGCTGAATGAACACATTAATGATCGCAATCGAGCATCAGTACCGCGGGAGCAAGAAATTCTCCCTGAATGGGCAACTGTCATATAGAATTTCCTTTACATATCAAAGAGCTACACGTGCATTTCAAATACAGAACTAGGATATATGCTATTAGTTAGCCGAAACACATCTACTTCAAGAATTTCCACCTAATTCTCTCATATCACTATTATAAGGTCTCGTATTTTAGCAGTTCATTGATGGTCTATTGGTCTCATATTATAAAGAGGCATGGTGATTATCTCTATGAACATACTCTCGTGCCGCACGATCGTAACCGATGCAAAAAGGGGGTGAGCTTCTGCAGCCTATCACCACCTTACAGTAGGCTGTTCATCCGAACTATCGGCCGGACCAATACGCTCGCAAGACTCGTAGTCACCCATTCTAAATTGGCCCCAAGAGTTCCTCTGCGCCGGATCGCACTGCTCCCAAACAACTTTGAAGTCTGCCGTTAGAGCAGAGCCAAAAGGACGACCAAAAACGCCGCTTCCGGTTTTCGAATGACCTTCCTTAGTTAAATAGGCCTGGAACTGGAATTGAACCTGCATATTATCGTCGAATGTGTATTCCTGGCCGGTAAAGCAGGGCGACCAAGCTAGTTTGTTGTTCCGGATGTCGACTTTGAAGTCTTTATCGTAAGCGCCTGTAGCGCCGAAGTCTACTATCTTCTCCGGGACATCCAACTAGCAATTAGAATAAGGCATCATATTAGAAGTGTATTCAAAGTTAAATTAGATACCTATGAAGATGAGAACTTACCAAATAAGAGCCGGATGCATTTTTGATAGTAGGCTGATCAATCGCCCCATTGTTCTTGAGATGCTCCCACTGGAAGTACGAGTTGGCCGCGAAGCTCCGAACCCGTGCACCCCCGGCGAGTTTTGCGTGTCCTGTATACGAGACGTCCGAGAAGGCGAAGCGCCATCCTTGCGGAAAAGCACCTAGTTCGATGGACATTACACATATCGCGGCCTCTGAGTCGTACGGGGTAGCTGGGGTAACGCTGGCCCTCATATCTGCGAAGTCGAATTTCAAACTGTCGGCTTTTAGCGAGAGGCTCATACTCGTCGCCGAGAAGCAGCCCGCTGAGTTAGCTCCACGGATACCAAGGATAGTCGGGATGGTTGCAGGCGCGGACTGCCCGAGAGCGAGGTTAGCCGCAGCCAGAGAGGATAGGAGTGATGCCCCTTTCATAGCGGTCTTGCCTGGCTCTTAGCGAGTGCGGTTTATTTTCAGGCGTAGGAACGAAGTTCTATACCTGGATAGGATAGGACTGCGGGCAGTATTATGGGTACAGACGTGCAAGAATCTGGCTCGTAGAAGATAATGGAGCGTCTTATATTCCAACCGCTGCAATGAACGTGCACTTGCGGGCGCCGAGCACGCAATAGTCTATACTTCGGCATATAGCAGCCTATAAACGGATAATTGTGAGAAGCGAACAAGGTAATACTAATAAGGATGACCTGGTCATATTAACCGGTAGATGGGAAATGTGTGACGGCGATGAATAGAAATCTCGTATGGGCGTTTCACAAAGAGCCGGATAAAGTCAACAATACCGATCATGTAACTCTAGAGACTTATATATTACCTACATAAGCCAAGTATAGGATCAGCATAATTACTATTAAAATTTAATGGCATTCTATCAAAGACCGAATATCGTCGATGTGATAGTTTAGCCTTCGAAGTACACAAAAGACATTAGAATTTGGAGACTGCACAGGCTCAAATTGAACAGGCTGAGGTTGATCAATCTTGTTCTCTCCATCCCTGGAAGATAATGCTTACATAGAAAGCTGTTGTATATGCCATGTTAGTAGAACAATGCGACTCGAGTTAGAATCCATGATTATCAGTATTAGGGAGGTTGATTGATACCTTTTATATCCACCATGACCAGAGCTGGACTTTGTAGGAGCCATCATATATTCTTTCCCTCTACTACAGTCCATGTGCCTCATCCTTGAGGGGTACGACGTTCTCACTACCGACGGTACGGCACCGATTATGATTCGTTCGTTGAGGGGAATGCCAAGACTCTCCGCATATCTAGGTAGATCAGACAACAAAGGTAACAGTAAGCATCATCAGATCTTCGAACGTTATGGCGCCCGCCGTGACTATCGTATTCAGTGGCATGGTAGCTACCTACATTTTTCTTCGCTTTCTCCTTCACTTAACTCAGGATGCCAGGGAACCACCAGCTATCGAGGTTGGAGTTCCCTTCTTTGGCCCCTTGATTGGGATGTTTAGGGAGAAGTCACGCTTCTATATTCGTTTGAGGTTTGCCAGCTATTCTTAAGCAGCCTATACCAATCCATACCTAAATGTGCTTCTTGTTCTGGCAACTGATCTGGAACTTCGAACAGAGACACGTACAAGCTTCCAATATATACCCTGCGCGTGCCATTTTCGCGAATGTACATCGTGAATGCCACCAAACTCATCCCCGCACTGCAGAAACAATGGCGCACCATCAGCTTTGCTGCTATCGCAGCCGATGCGGGTAACCTTGTTGGTATGAGCAAGGAGGCTGTCAAGATAATGCATCAGAACCTAACAAGTGAGGACGGCTTCAGTATAAGTTGGCCCAAGTATATCACGCCTGTGATGGGACCCGGAGAGGACCTCGATGCGATAAACAGAAGATCGATCGAGGTTTTTTCAGCCGACATGGAAAAGCTGCGGGCACAAGGAACTGTGCAAGTCGGCCTGTGGCAGTGGTCACGTCGAATCATGGTCGAATCCACGACGGAAGCAGTCTGGGGGCCACAGAATCCGTACCGAGACCCTGTTATTGCCGAAGCTTGGAAGTAAGCACGATTACTATCCCTTAGCTCGACTGAGCCTCCATTAGACCTATAACCCTGCTAACAATCACCTTAGAACATTCGAGGCGGGCTTCTTGACTCTTTCCGTCTTTCCTTTCGCCTCGCTACTTTTTCCCAGGCTCGTTCGTGCACGTGAGCTTGCGGCCAATGCCATGATTGACTACATGCGCAAGGGCGGGCACGAAAAAGCCTCTGGGCTCGTGCGCAAGCGCTTTGAACATCATCGGCAGCTATTCGGTCTCAGTCTTGAAGATGTGGCGCGAGGGGAGCTCGGGAACACCTTTGCTGTATTGGGAAATTCGACCCCCTGTGCCCTATGGGTCCTCTACCACATCTTTTCAGACGAGCAAGTACTCGCTGATGTCCGCCGCGAAGTTTCTATGCTAGTGCGTGAGGAGAATGATGAAGAAAGGGGTATCATCAACACTGTCGACTTGGCTGGCATCCGCGAGTCTTGTCCCATACTTCTGAGTACATTTCAAGAAACACTACGCCACCGCGCCGTCAACCCTGGCCCACGTGTGCTTCTCGAGGACGTACTCTTAGATGGCCGCTTCCTTCTCAAGAAGGGTAGCATGCTCATGATCCCGGCTCCTGTGCAGCATACTGATGTCTCTGCATGGGGTGAAGATGCCAGGCAGTTCGATCACTTGCGTTTCGTGCGGAAACCGACCCTTGGACACAAGAAACCGAACAGAGTCGCATTCCGCGCATTCGGTGGCGGACATGTCCTTTGCCCCGGCCGCCACTTTGCAAGCACAGAGATCATGGCACTTGCAGCATTATTGGTACTCCAGTTCGACGTGGTGCCTGTCGCTGGCAAGTGGATTGAGCCTACCTGGGAAAATTCGCCGGTCCAAGCAGGCTTCCCCGTCCCAGATGAGGATATCAATGTCGAACTTCGACCTAGAGACCCGGAAAGGAAGTGGCATATAATATTTACAGGGTCAGAAATGGCTATGGGGATTGTATCCGAAGACAGTGTTCCTAATAATAATAATTAATTGGTGCTACATGTTGTCGGTTCTAGATATAATGTAATTAACTACCTGTAGGTAGAGTGTATACCAAATTTCCACGTAACCTTTTAGGGACTCAGACATACTTGGTCACTTCTGGCCTATGCTTAGCTGTCTCTTCCAAGCTGTCCATCACGCGTCCCAACATCTCATCTTAGCACCAAACTACCGCTCAGCCATCAATTCGCCCGATAGCATTGTGATGTGGCGTCCGAAGGGGCCCGATGTTTGGCCAATTCTCAAAGGGGGCAGGGGGTAACTCCAACCGCTGGATAAAGTAGAAATAGTACCTAGGTAGACTTATAGTAGCGGTTTGGCTTGGGACCGGTAGGTAACTCTATCGTACATAGGTACCTCGTAATGCAAACTGAATAAACTCTGTCAAACCACCAGGCGGGAATCTTATCCCGAGCCACCCGACATTTTCCCATCTAAATTCTAAAATGAAGACTTATAGACTAAATAAGCAGTCGGGGTTTTTAACAAATGCCAAAAGGTCGTGTTGGAACGGCCTAGCAAATACTTCCCGCCCCTCCTAAGAACTGCTTTAACACCGTATCCTTAACCATATCCTTAGAAGTATTGCTAGGTCCTGGGGTTCGATTCCCTAGACGACCATACTTTTTTTCTTTTTCTTTTTACGACTTTCTTCACCATATAAACCGGTATTAGACCAGTACCTATTATTGAACACTAAAAGATTATACTAGATAGAAATGCATACTAAAGAGGAAGATCTTGTCTCTAGTAACATTATACAGCTCAATTATACATTCCGCCAGGGTGGGCATCGTGGAAAATATTTCCCACTGTCAATAGCCTTCTTGATGCCCCAGAGTCCACCCAGAGGCCAGAGGGACATTGCCCACGGTCCTCACTTCTCTCTTTCTTTCCTTGAGGTTTCCTCAAGGTCAACTTTGACCTTTTCATACACGGAGGGTAACGTGCTAGCACGGTACTTCTTCCTCAATGTGTCATATGCGTTCTTGTCATAAATATTCCAGAACTCATCTTCTGTGTAGTAGGTATGCGCGTATAACCATTTAGTCCTATCGAACTCCTTATGGAGACGATATTCAAAGTCCCGGTTGAGCACCATACAAGCCGCGCGATCTTGTGGTCCGAAACCCCAGAGCCCGATGTTAATAAATTGCGATATTGTCTTTCCATCCATATGCTGCTGTGTAAGGGCTATGCGTGGACTGAATGTTGGGGACTGGGCTTGTTGGATAGGACATAGCCAGAGCGGCCAAGTATCGAAGCTCTTCGTGGTGTAGATTCAATGGTACTCTTAATACTTGCTCGAGATACTTGCTCGAGAGTGGTATGTTGTTTTTACGAACTTCTTGGCCTCTATTAATTCCAACTCAACCATCGTCACGAGCTCCAACGTGCCGAGTGTTCCGGAGGCACTGTAAAAGAGGTAGCCCCAGACAGCCACCCCCAATCTTCAACTTACCCACTAACCTGAGTTATGTATTCCCCGTAGATCCGTGGATCCTTGTAAGCAACTCCTCTACTTCATCCTTATTCCTTGCGACTCTATGATAAGCTTCCTACGAGAATAGCTATAACTGCGCAATAGCAGAACACTTAGTTATCGTTCTATCAAAACTCCGTCTCTGAATGTGACAATAGGCTATCTACCGTCAAACTATATATGCGCTATACCGTACTTATAAGGTATGGTTATAAACCCGAAATGTCCTCATGCACCAAAAGTTGGGGTATCAACAAGCTTTAATACACTAAAAGCTTACCAGTCTCTGAATAAGGAGGTCAGCTCGGCGCTTCTACCGATTTTATAGAATTCCACAGAGGCGGCAACATGGAACCCTGATCGGCATTGGCTCCCGCACGTTTCACACACTTGCAGAGTCACATCGCTCCCGGCCCTAGCACGCTGCAATGGCACGGGGCGCTGACCATTTCAACCATGCAACGTCCAGTAAGAACATATGTAATGATAATCTGACCTAATACGGCTTCCAGGCTATATGGTATGGATTCGAGGCGAGTGGCTTACCGGATTCCCCGAGGTGGAGTCGCTAGGTTCGGCCGACGAGCTGATTACTATGTTGTGCCAAGTGGTCTATAAAGCCCGGTATCTGATCCGGCATCCCGGCCTCTCTACCGTCTCCTATTTAATGAGGCTACCTTGGCGTTTTCTACCTTGTCCGCGACTCATATCTGATATTGATTTATACATAGCTTAGTTGCGCTAGTTACCTTCCAGACTTGTATACAGGCATGCTACCTAGTCTCTTGCTGTTGAACTTGAGTCAACCATCGGACCAAGTTGGTGTCGAATTGACAAGATGCGTGTCTCCTCGGGCCTCGTTGTATTCTTGGGCACAGTCCCTATGCCAATTGCGGCCATGTTCTACTACCCAAACGTTGCTGTATCGGCCCTCGAACACATCCTCGTGGACAATTGGGGCGCCTATGCCTCTAATTTCTCGTCGGCCATCACGCCCTGCGACAACTATGTCACAGAAGTGGGCCAGCCGGCCATAAACTCTCGCAGGACAACGTCTGCGCAGTGGCTACGCGTTGCGTTCCATGATTTCGCCACGGCCGATGTTGCTGCCGGGACAGGCGGGTTGGATGCCAGCATCGGATTCGAGACGGCTCGCGGCGAGAACTCCGGGTCCGCGTTCAACGACAGCTTTACGTTCTGGCGGCCCTTCGTTAACGAGTTTGTTCCTAGTAAGCCAACTATGAAATCCCGGTGCGATACTAATAGACTTTTAATTTGCGGTGCTGAGAAAACTGTGTTAAGTGTCTGATCTGATTGCCATCGGGACGGTCATGTCGGTACATCTATGTGGAGGGAAATACATACCGTATAAACCCGGTAGGATAGACGCGACTGTAGCTGATCCCAAGACCGGCGTACCAGAGCCGTCAACAAGCCTGGGAGAGACACTGGCGCAGTTCGAAAAAACCGGCTTCAACCAACACGACGCCATCGCCTTGACGGCATGCGGTCACACTATAGGATCTGTAAGTCGCATCATCCTGAACTTGCCACTTCACATTAAACCAATTTAAAGGGAAATATGTATCGAGTTTGATGATCTCATTGAGGGAATTTTTCGCATTAATATAAGTTGGTATTAACCATAACAATGCAAGGTACATGCTGGAGGGTTCCCAGAGGTAGTCGAGCAGTCTGCCATAACTCCGAATAACACCAATGGTGCATCAAACCTTGACGACACCCGGGCAGTGTTCGATTCGGCAGTGGTCCACGAATACATCGACAACACAGGAGCCAGGGGCGGTCCGCTCGTGACAAGTTTCAATGAGAGTAGTAGGTCGGACCTCCGGCTATACGAGAGCGATGGCAACAAGACCATGTTGGAGTTGTACGCTCAAGGAGATGGGTTCCAAGACACTTGCGTCGACTTGCTAGGCCGCATGCTCAACACCGTTCCGTCAAAAGTACATCTCCAATCAGCAATAGCGCCAGCGTTCATCAAGCCGATAAATGTGACTTGGGATGTCACTGGCGATAAACAGCTAGTCCTCTCGGGAAAAATCAGGGTATGTGACAGAGTGTAAGATATAAATCCTATGGTGACACGTGGCTAAGAAGAAGTTAGATGTTGTACTCTAGAGAGATTCCGAAGGACCCGGTCTCAATAACTTTCTCGAATAACTATACGGAGACACTAGTCCCCGAGGACAACTTGGGCACCTCTGTGTTCAAACTAACCGATAACCAAACGAACGCTACAACGCAGTACCTACCCTTCTCGATATCTAGCGCTAAGTTATCAGAAGCATCATCGTTTGCCATCGCGGCAAAAGGCTTCGAGACGCAAGTCTTTCCCATTCAAGATAAAGCGTTTATCGTCCCCAGCTTGACTCGTGTCGCGGATGGCATAGTATCCATTACCATTGCAGCGAGAACAGACCAAGCCAATTTCGACCCATCACAGGTATCAGTTAAAATCTCGACTCCGATTGCGCAGCCACTCACACTTGCACCTAAGATTATACGGACAGATATGCAGCTCGAGAAGGGTGCAAGCCCGTTGAAGGATATAGGTTACTGGTCTGGGACCATCGCAACTGAATCACCTACCGGGGCTGTGAGTGCAACTTTGCTCTCAGGAGAGGATGTTATCGACACCCTATTGCTTGATGCTGGAGTCGCAGGGTGGTAAAACCCTTCCGCGACTTTCAGGCCGCATATCGGAGCTTCATATAAGCATATGCTAAAATATAATTGCTATATGAGCGATACGAAATAAAACTTGTATAGATCTTCGCCGCCCATTTCCATGGCCAAATGCAATACCCTAAGTAGTAAGACTAGCCGTGAACCAATGATCAATTCATGTCACTTCTGCGTTGGCCGCAATATCTGACGTAGTGGGATTATATACAGCGGCATGTAGTCTAGAGGCAATCGACATTTTATGGTCAGGCGGACATAGTGTATCGTAGCTAACAGCATTTGCGGTGATAGGAAGCGTGTCAAAATCGTAATAAAAATTGCCAAGTCATCCTAAGAGAAGTCAGCTTCCTAATGTGTTCATAAGTGCGGTAAACAATGCGACACAGCTAGATAAATAGACACATTCGATTGGCCACACGCCCCCTTGACTGTGTGCAGCGAATTCCTTGCTACATTAGGATATGCCATACTATCTCGCGCATCTCGCGCTCACGTCATGACGGAATATATACCTTTTCGTATATTCCCGGAACGAAGATCTAGGTGATGTAAGATATTTTACAGTTGGCGCTGACGAGAGACATCCTTTCATACTATTTAACCTTCTAGGTGAACTTGATACTTAGGCGTCGTCACCTACTTCGCTGGTTTCAAAGGGGAGGAATAACTTCAACGGCGTACAAGTCCAAGTAGTAGACGACTATGGGACCAGGTGCTCCGATACGGAACAGCCACGGGATTGAGCTGCCCTCAAGGTATGAAATCCGGCTAGTAACGCCCGATCTTGCCGAGTCAATCTCGGCCTTGGGTTTTTTTACCCACTACTTCGATTCACCCATCTGGAGCGCAATATACGAAGGACGCCAGGCAAGCGAAGCGTTAAAGGCTTATCATGCCTGCAAACCTTTCTATGAGATGCCTGAAATGGCGGCGAAGAATGGCCTCTCATTCTGCATTTGGGACAAGGAGTTCGTATTTAAGAGGCCCGAATCAGCTGCTAAGGGTGGTGTTTGTTATTGGAACGACATCGATGTCGACGATCCCGATCTAGAGGTTAATGGACGGCAAAGGCTACTTGATGCGTTGGATTTTCCCATTGTTGGCTTTGGATTATCGTTCGACAAGTTCGCCCCTGGTGACCCGAAGGGATGGGAGGCTGCAACGAAGGCCACGCCTCTGAACGTTCCCATGGGAAAATATTATGAAGCACACGATCCACGACCGAAGGGATCATGGAAGCCTACGGCGGCCGGGCAGGTTATTGAACGGGTCGGTAGCGGAACAAGACATGGATATTATGGCCAAGGGCTCATGAAAGCGTTAGCAAGATTCATAATGCTCGAAATGAAATCCAGGGGATATCGAGCAATACAGATCAACTGCGGAGCGCCTCAAATGCACCATGTATGGTCTAACCCTCCGAAACCGTTCAGGAGTTCTACTCTAGTGACGTTTCCCACATGGATTTTTGAGATGGAGGAAGATGGAAAGAATGTTAGGCCGTACGAAAAATCAAAGTTGCCCAATCTGTATCTCGTGTGGACGGAACTGTTGGATTAGAGATGTTGTGCGAAGTCCATAGTCTATATTTGTGTCGTATTTAATGACGTCTGCGAGGAACTCGTGGTTCTTACCATGGAATAATAACAAATATTCGTTTCCGATTTTACCTTTGACCTCCTTTCCACAGGGACTCAAGAGCTTTGCCCCAAGTCCAATATCGTAAGAGAGGAGGTTATGAGAAGGAATCAGCTCTGTAAAATGATATATAATATGACTGTTTACCATAGTAGGAGGAACCGAGTTTGACTTTGTAAGACATTATACTAACAGGTAACTAACTCGAAATGCCTACCTAAAGTAAACTTGCAAGAAGTAAGTAAGTAACAAGTTTGGAGTGAATTCGTGCTAAGGAAGCAAGTAGAAGTTCGTGGTAGCATGAAGGCAACAGTTCGTCTCCTTTTGTCGTCTGATTTGAAGAACAAAGCAAACATACCATGTGACTACCTATACGTTAGCTAGTATACCTTAGGTAGGTACTTAAGATAAGGTGTACCATAGTTGTTTCTCTTCATTGAGACATACGGGACGATCTTACGTGAATAGAACAAAGTCTGGATTTTGGATTTTGCTTTACGGTGATATACTATATACTATATACTGTATACTGTATACTGTATATAAGTACTATACCCAATGCACCCAAGGTACGTATCAGTCGTATGTTAAGAATATTGCGCCACAATCGTCCAGACGGTTGCATGTTAAATCATGTTGAATCATGTTGAGGTTAGGACGATATTGAATCATATATACCTTGATGGAAATCTCCAACCCCAATCTTATCACCTAGGTACCTAAATATAGTGTGTAGGTAATTAATAATTGGTTGTATGAGTTGTTTTGAGTTCAAGAAGTACTCATACTAAAAGGCTACATACGTCACGTCGTGCTGGTCTCAAAATAGAAGTTTGGGGAATACAAAAAGGCAGCTGCCAACCGATTGGCGATTGGGTTGCAGGGGGTCTGGGGTCTGGGGGTATTCCTAGGGGTATTACCTAGGTCTAGCCCGTCGATCGTGGGGCCTAAGTGAGCCCCAATGCCGCTAGCTATTTACAGTTAAACTGTGGCTGAAGTAGGTCCGGTACTTCGTACATGGCAAAAATTTCCTAGGTTCCATGTCAGCAGCAGTCATGACTCGCTTTTATTTTTATTTTTTCGTCTCTTTCACCTCGTCCCTTTCTTTCTTCTCCAGCCCACTCAAGCTCCGTTCCGTCACGGTCACGTCCACCCACTGCCTCTCGTCAATCTCCTGCCTCTGGGTGACCTGTCAAGTTCCCTTCTATTCTTCTTGCCGTTTTTATTACTTCTTCGCCCCCGCGTGCCTATCCGAGGCGTCAAATCTGGTCCTCTGACAAGTTTAACTGCATCACCAACCGAAGGCCATAAGCTTTATCGCGGCGCAGCAACATCTTTCTCTGTCGGCTCATTACGACTTTCTTGCGGGCTTCCGTCCTACGCACCAGACAAATTATTAACTTGATACGAGTCTACCGAGATATTAACCTGTTTAATATCTTTAACTGGTATTAGGGGTAGCTGTCACCATCGAGTCCACTATTAGGTCAACTGAGAAAAGCTTTTCGATAAATCTACTCGGTTCCCTCCCACGCACGCCCGTTACTTCGAACCTTAGGCAACCTTAGGCAAGAGAATCTTCATACAAACGACAAGAACAATACTTCAACCACCCTGCAATTCACCTTTTTTCTGTGACTTTGACTAGTCATGGCGAATCCATTGCAGTTTGCTTACCGAACTCAGAAGGCTATCGGCGTTACCGACGCTGCGCCTGTCTACGAGCCTCTCCCTGGGTTCGTTAAACCCGAAGGGAACTTGCGGTGCTGTGTCTATTCGCCCTGTGGCCGATATCTAGCCTGGGTATCCAGCGAATGCGTCTGCATTGTCGATGCATCTGTTGGCCATATTTTAACTAGCATAGCTATCTCTAACGTCTTCGATGTCGCCTTTTCTCCGCGCGGTTCCTTCCTAAGCACCTGGGAACGCCCTGCTAAGGACGAGGCTGGTGATGCGACAAAGAACTTGAAGATCTGGCGAACTATCGAAGACCTTCCCGACGACGTCGAGAAGCAACCCATAGGACGATTTGTTCAAAAATCCCAGACTGGCTGGAATCTTCAATATACCTTCGACGAAAAGTTCTGCGCCCGTCTCGTCACCAACGAAGTACAGTTCTACGAAAGCGATGACCTGAGCAAAGTCTGGGATAAGCTTCGAGTTGAAGGCGTAACCGATTTTGCTATTGCTCCTGGTCAAAGCCACAATGTTGCGGTTTTCATCCCTGAGCGGAAGGTTTGTTTGCCCTTTTTGATTTCTCTACTCGACTTGAAGTTGACAATATGATATAGGGACAACCTGCTGCTGTCAAGGTTTACAACGTTCCTCAGTTCACGAACTCGATTTCGCAGAAGACTTTCTTCAAGGGCGATAAGGTTCAGCTCAAGTGGAACAGCTTGGGAACGAGCCTGATTGTGCTGGCACAAACAGATGTTGATAAATCGAACAAGAGTTATTATGGAGAAACCAATCTCTATCTCCTTTCCGCTAATGGCTCCCTCGATGCCCGTGTAACCTTGGATAAGGACGGGCCGATTCACGATGTGTCGTGGTCTCCGAATGGTAAAGAGTTTGGTGTGATCTACGGTTATATGCCCGCGAAGACCACAATCTTTAATCATAGGGCGGTCGCCACTCACTCGTTTCCTATTGCTCCCCGGAACACGATCCTCTTTTCGCCAACTGGTCGATTTACCCTGGTTGCTGGATTCGGCAACCTGGCTGGTCAAATTGACGTTTACGATCTGGAAAAAGATTATCGTAAAGTTTGCACCATTGAGAGTGGCAATCCTAGTGTGTGCCAATGGAGCCCTGACAGCCGATATATTATGACAGCCACAACGTCCCCACGTCTCCGTGTTGATAATGGTGTTAAGATCTGGCATGTCGGTGGAGGCATCATGTACCATGAAGATATGGTAGAGCTCTATAACGTAACTTGGAGACCGGTTCTACCTGAGAACCTACCTCAAGGCGACCCCCTACACCCAGTTCCCACCCCCCATTCTTCGGCTATCGCATACCTAGGCACAGTGAAGACTCCGTCGAAGCCTGTTGGCGCTTACCGTCCTCCCGGTGCCCGAGGCATGTCAACGCCGCTTCACTTTAGAAGAGAGGACGAGGGAGGTGCCGCCCATGTGATGAGCAACGGTGCTCAGAACGTGGGTCCGAACGGATTTGGGAGGTCGCGTCGCCAAGTTCCTGGTGCGGAATTCCTTGAATCTGGTGCGCGTGCCGTTCCTGGTGCAGTGCCAGCCGATGGTGCTAACGGTGACGACAATTTGTCAAAGGCTGCATTGAAGAACAAGAAAAAGCGAAACAACAAGAAGGCCAAAGACCCCGAGAACAGGGATGGAGAGAGGAAGGAGAATGGTGGTTTGGCGCCTCCGGCTAGGGACCAGGGCCCTGGTTCTGGAAACGAGGGACGCAGTCCTGAGCGTCGTGGTCAGCAGTATAACCAACGGAGACATGATCGGAGTCGCTCGCGGCATAACTTCCAGGGTGGTAACAACCAACGTAATCGCAGCAACACGCATCAGAACGGACAGACACCACCCACTGCGCCGCATATCCAGACATCTCAGCCACCCACTGCGGACGCTTTGCTCTCGCCCGGCAGCCAGAATCCCGCGTCCAAGAAACTGCGCAGCTTACAGAAAAAGATCCGCGCAATCGAGGACCTCGAAATGCGACATGCTGGCGGCGAGAAGCTAGAGGACACTCAGATGAAGAAGATCGCTACGAAGGCTTCGGTAGTTAAGGAATTGGAGGTCTTGGAGAAAGAGGCTCGTTAATTACGAGCTTGTCGACGGTGGGAGTTCCACTCAGCTGCTTCGATATTTCAGGTCTGGTTCTGGTTAGTCCTAGTGGGGACGCCTATGGACGGGGGGAACCTGTGGTACCTTTGGACTAGGTGATCGGGTATCATATCTGGCTTATCACTGGCGTTAAGGGGGAGAAAAAAGCTAGCGAGGCCGCTTTTGCTCAGCTCTTGGAGAGGGCATGCGAAAGCGAGTTACCTTTGCGAAGTGTTGCATTAGTTAATTTCACGCGATCCTAGAAAGGACGCCCACATCGAAGTCAGCATGTATTTCACAAACATGTTTCCTTTAAAGCGATGAAATGCGAATGATTGACTTGACATGCAGGTGGCATAGACGTGCATGTTGCAAATTTATTGCGATGGTATTTATAACTAAGTCAGCTCGCAAAAGGGGTAACAAGAAGCTACCGTAGTGGAATAGGGGGGTTATTTAGGGGTTGTTTGTAAACTTAAGCTGTGCTATGCTTATGGCCCGTGACACCCTAGCACGTAAGCAGGCTTAAATATGACTCGCTTGTGGGGGGAACCCCCACTATAATTTGGACCAATCAGGGCTAATCTGAGGCTAATAAGTCATTTCTTGTTTGTGGTCTCATGCTTATGCACATGCTTATGTACGTTTTAGAATGTACAGTAAGTGAAGCTATTCCCAACCTCGTTGTCGCCTCTTTTTACTATAGCGCTTTTAGTGCTTATGTAGGTGCTATATGCGCTGTAATTACAGCGTATATATCCTTTATAAAAATCTTTTTTAGGGCATCACTAAAAGTGCTGTAGTTTTTTCATTAAATGCGCTATAATTACAGGGCACTTTATCGCTATAAATGGCTATAAGCGACTCGAAAAGCACCGTTCCCGTGGCTTTTCAATTTCAGAAAATCGTCAGCGGTTTCCTCGAAGTTTATTGGATGCACGAGAAAGTATTTTAAAGCACTCCACAAGCCAAATTACAGTGGGGATAAGTTAATCAATACCTCCAAACGCATTGCTGATACTTATGCTTACCCTCCATAAGTTTTTTCATGCTTATGTTTACAAACAACCCCTTAGAACCGTTCTAAAATTACGAAACCGTTCCGTGTACTAGGACCACTATATAAGGAGCATTTAAATGTAAACGTTGGAATAGTTTCTATTGCTAGAACAGTTTCGTAAAATAGAACGATCTTGCTATTCACGTGACTTTCACGTGATTTTCACGTGAAAAAGTGGGGTAAAAGTCAAAAAAGTCAAAAAATTAGAAAGACTGGTCCTCGAACCCACAGCTTTTGCGTTTGTGTACCATAGCGGAGGGGGGGGGTTTCGGAGAATGGTTCCACCCACGGAATGGTTTCGTGGGGTGGAACGTTTTTAGGTTTTAAGGGCTCTGATTGGCTGGATTTTGAAATAAGTGGGTCCGGATCCAAATTTCTGGGACCCACTTCAAGATTACCGTTCCAAACTTTGCAAAACCATTCCACTCTATGATATCGTTCCGATTTCCGTAACTGTACCATCAATTTTCTATATGCTTTAGTAAATATTACCTGTTAAATTGATATTTTTATTCATACCCAACTCCATAGTTGCACATTTATTTTATTTTGTTACATTTTCTTTACCACCAATTAAAACCAACCTACAATTTCACCTTTATAATAAAATATTAGTCCAACATGCTTCATTTTTCAGCCAATTCAAGCCCAATTCAGGAGGCGAATAGCCGTCTCGAAGTCCACCTAAACTCCGTAAATGCCTGGCAATCCCGACGCACTTATTCCACCTCTAAAGATGGTCGATATATCCCTTATCAGACCTCTGGTCCAACACGAGAACCTCCTAGGCCACGTCTCAGCGAAGATCAGCGCATGGCTATCCGTACACTACGCTATACAGCAAAATGGAAATGTAAAGAGATATCGGAGAAGCTGGATTATCCTTTAGATCAGGTTATAGAAGCTTGTGCCGGCCATCCCTTCGGGTCACTTGATACACGGCCTCAAAACGCCCCCCTTACCCCCCCCAGGCGCACTCCTCATGGAAACTCGCCCCGCACACCTGGACTTAAGGCCTCCAGATCTTATACATGGATTAAACTACATGTCTATCGTTTCCTCGACAAATATCCTAATGTATCGTGGGAGAAGTTACGTCTTTTTACCGGTGCGTTGTGGTATACCGACACTGAGGCCATTGCCCGGTCCCTGGAGCGTTCTAGCAGAAAGCCTACCGCATTGTATCGTGAAATCGGGCTTACACAACAGCTGCGTGATGTGCGGCTAAGGTATGCTCGTATGGCCTTGGAGCAGAGGCCGCACCCCGATGACTGGGGCCAGGATGCCATGCGAAATGTGCTCTTTAGCGGGTTCGTATTCGCCCATGCCAATCCACAAGACAAGTCTTGGATAACCCCATATGACTGCGAGGAATCAGAGTGGCAGTTACTGGCACGGGAGGGCCATGGCTAGGTGCTTTGGGCCTCTTTCTTTGGTAGGGAACCAGGGCCTTTTTTTATTTGGCCTCGAGATGGTGAGGGTATCACGCCGGAAAAGTTCAACAAGTACATTATACCTCTCCTCGACAGATATGCCCACAAGGTCCCTGGTCTAGTGCTTCAAGTGGAGGATTTCCCAATTTACCACGATACCGGCGTCCAATGGCGTCTTGATGAACTTGGGATTCGCGACTTGTCATTGCCTAAGAGCAGTCCAGACTTAAGCCCTATGAGAAATGTATGGCGTTGGATGAATGGACATTTTATCGACACTTTCCAAAGCCAGAACCTTAACGTTGACAGTCGAGATCTTGATTTAGTTAAGGTTATTCTATCCCAATGTTGGCAAGCAATTGACCTAGAACTATTGGAAAATAATGCTAGGGGTATGCCGGGATTGTTAGAAGAGGTTATCCGTACGAACGGGGATTTTATGTAGCTTTAATAAAATAAAGGTTATAAAATGTACCATATTATCTTACATCTTTTTGATGTATAAAGGGTTGGTAAACTTCGAGTAAATAACAAATCGTCGCATATATAAAGCCATAAAATATCAACGCATTGGAACATTTCAGGTAAATTGGCATAATTCTTCATAGAAACTCAATTGACCATTCATTGCCATCTTCTCCGCCTCTGACTATACCCTACCTGACCTACCCCCCCTTGTTTCCTTAGATCTGACATTGCTGTGGCATCGCGCCCATAGCGGCGGGCTTGGCAAGTCGACAGGTGGATCCTATGGACTTCCCACTGGGCTTCTACACGGTGGTGATGGCCCAGTAAGATCGATAGGACTTCTACACGGTGGTGTTGGCCCAGTAAGATCGATAGGACTTCTACACGGTGGTGATGGCCCAGTAAGATCGATAGGATGATGCTGTGATCCCGGGGGACTTCGCCATTGAGGGGGTCGGTGTGTGGGACCTGGGAGATCGCCCCGGGTCCTTTCCGGAAAGCTCCGTGTCGATGGGGATGTACGGGGCGCCGAGCCACTCCGAGCGTTCGGGGACGATAAGATAATGGGACTTCGTTCCGATCGTCCCGCGGGGTCACCTGACGGTGTTGGTGTCCTCATTCCCCAATAGTTTCGAATATACTCCCGATATGTGACTTCGGGAATAGCAGGATATCGTACAAATGTATCCGGTCTATGGCCCAATTCACGGCGAAGCCATGTTAACCATTGATCTATCATCGATCGTTCCTGGTTCGGTCCATTATATGACGCGGCCCAGTCCTCCAGCCCTTGTCTCATAAACGCTCGGATGAAATCAATGGCTATCAAGCCGCAGGTCCATCCCATACGCTGCATCGTAATATCGGCAATTCTCCCACGACTTCGCATAAAGTTGTCGCTAAAGGGTTCATTCACTAGGCCATTTAGAATGAGCCATTGTCGTAGTCGCCGCGCAGCCGTATGAAATCGAGCCTCGCGTCTGGGACCCCACGAGTCGACAAAAAGCCAGAACTGATTTCTTGAATCGAATATTACCGCCCCATAATGGCCACCGACGTCGGGGAAACAGATAAGGTGGACAATTAGTCTCGTGTTACGAACAGTGAGCAAGTCCTCGGCACTCAATCTTGTGACGGTATCGTGGTCCAACATCCCACCCACGTCATCGGGAGTCCAGAACAAGAACCTACCATTGACCCTTGCAATAGCACGTAGAAGTGGTTGAAGTTCGAAGCTTGACTGGTATTCTTCTTGTTCGATCCTTCCAATCATATTATAGGCGAGGATAAGCTCATCGTACCAGGCCTGGGGACTTACTCCTTCGGGGATCTGTAAATGGGATTGTGGGAAATGTTGCGCTATATTCGTGCGGCCGACATCATCTCGAGGGATGAAGGTAGGTCGTCGGCGCACCATTTCCCTAGGCCATGGTACAATTTGTGTCGTAATGTTGTCGGGGTATGCCGATCCGGGGACTGGTGGGTGACCAACCCCACGCCGACCACCACGAGATCGTACTGGAGAGGTTGGGTTCGACCGAGCTGGTGGATAGAGAGAATTGAAATCGTCCTCGATTGACTCATCACGAAGGCGCTGGTGGGATGTTGACGGGGATTGTGTATCGCGACCGAGGGAGGAGAGGAAGGAGCTGGTATTATCTGGTCGCCGCTGGGCACGGCTAGGTGGACGGCTAGGAGCGTATTCCATTACGGTTTCGATAGATGGAATAGGTTCGTCGAGCGCCCAACGTCGTCCGTGTATAGGGCGAGGATATGAGTGTAACGCATCGGTCGCTTGGCCACCAGGGCCTCTAGTACTAGCTTGGGGGGGGTTTCGAGCGCCTTCCGCAGGTCTGGAGCTATCCTGTTGGGACTTCCTATCGCCTTTTGCCGATTTGCTCTGCTCGGACATCTGATAATATTAGTCGCGTGATATGGCAACAAACGACATTTCGGCTCGACACTTACCTTGGACTTTAGGCTATGCTGGAGTTAGAGACGTGGCGGAATATTGGGATGGCCGATTTTTAGGTTATTTGGTGGGGGTAGATGGTGTTGATTGATGAATATGATAGATGGTATAAGAAGTTGGCTTCGATATATGCCACTTCGGTAGGTGCTATTGTAGTGTGTGGTAGATACCTCTGTAGGTGTAAAAAGATGGAGGAGTTATTTGTATTGCTTTTGCAATATCAGGTACGAGGAAACTGTGCGAATAAGTCACTTATCGCCCGGATACGGCATGTACGAGAGGAATGTGTGGTGACTAGGAGTGTTACGGGTGAGGGAGATGATAATGATGAAATATGTTGGCTTTGTAAAAGGCTGGATTGATATGGTATGAGGGAAGTTACGAACGTAGAGCGATAAGCCTTTATGTTTGCTAGACGTGATGTGGGATATGTGTGAATGATTATGGGTTTTACGATCTGAAATTGTGTGGCAGAAAGGTGGTAGGTTGTTTGGGGTGGTAGAAGCGTGGTTGAAGCTTGGATTTTGGACTTTTAGGGTGGAATCAACTGGTAAGATGGTGTAAAAGGCAGTGGCAATAAGATTATAGCACTTACCAAATATCCACGGACGAGATTTAAAAGCGATATTAATATATTTTTTAGTAGACCTTGCACGTAAATGTCGTAACTTTTATTAAGTTACTATATCTGATATTGTTGGGACGTTTGGGTTGGGTTGGTGGAGGAGGGTATTGGCCATATAAAACATGTAAAAAATAAAATGCCAAAGGCTTGCATGTAAGGTACACTTGGTAAGGCTGCTATCTTGTAAGAGGAAGGGGTGGTTGATAGAGTGATGTGGTGCTTTACAACCCTGTATTATAGATGGGAGATATGGCATCTGGGGATTTTTCTATGTTGGTTATAATAGAATAGGATATTCCCTTTATATATTAAGCTATTACCTTTTATTGTACCATATTTTAATACTAAATACCACTTCTATATTTAATATAATATTTTTAATATTTAATTATTTACCCTTGTATTAGATGAGCTGATATAGATCTGGCTGGTGTTTAAAGATGGTAATATTTTATTTTAGCTATATGATGTTGATCGGTTCTGTTTATCCAAACCTATAGGTATTATGTTTTAACCATCTTTATTTTTTGTAAGGAGGTATACAAGAAAACGAATATGGATTAACTTATATGGTACTATTACAGATATTATAGAAACCTATAAAGTTTACAGAATTTATAACAATTTTATTATTATTAATAAGTTGTATGCAAAAGCAAGTATGAGGAGAACTCGAGAGGTTTACAGAACTGATGACAAGGTTTTTTTTTTTTTGTATTTTATTATTATGAGCCGTACGTGAAGAAGAAAAACAGTACAATATAAAACAACATAACCGTAAGACACCTAAATGCTAAGGCATGTCTTAATGGTATCCCGCACGATATAAATTTGCTTGTTGCATATAGTATGCCGTAGGACTTACGCTCCCATCCGAGAACGGCCAAACCATATCATCTCTCTTCCTACTATATCCCATATTAGTATCCGTCATATTGAACCTGCCGATGTAGCTGCCCCCTATCCTACTAACCTGGTCACTTGACATTTGAGCCGCCTTTTTCGACGCTCGTTTTCCGCGACTGCGCGGTACACTTGTCTTTTTGGCCTTTCCTTTCGGCTCGGATGATTGCTGTGTACCCGAAGATTCAGCATCGGGCACTGTATTAGACCTGGTCACTCGACTTGGTCTGGTCCGTGTAGAGCCCCGGGTTTTGGCAGAGCCCCGGGTTTTTGTGGACCCTCGTGTTCTTTTGGGGGGTTCAGGTTCCATTGGGGTATTGGCATCTGTAACATCAGCATTATCCTCCTCGTCTCCCTCTCCAGCATGGCTCTCTGTGGCACTAGCAGTGATAGTCTCATCCTGTGAGTTGTCTCCTATATCCACCTGCTTGTCACGTGCCCCCACTTGAGTGTTCTCCACTTGAGTGTTCTCCAACCCCACCTCGTGGTCACGTGCCCCCACTCGAGTGTTCTCCAACCCCACCTCATGGTCACGTGCACCCATCTGAGTGTATTCTACATCCATAGGCCCTGCTCTATTTGGACTGGCATTGTAGATATCTTCCAAGCTAGAATCACCGGACAATTGAGTAGTACTGACATGGAGATCGTCCATAACACCATACTTGCGTTTGGTGCCTGTAGTATTGGGGGCATTGAATTCATCGAGTATATCACCGTAATCGCCTGTGGTGGTTTCTTCAGGTGTGGTGGTTTCTTCAGGTGTGGTGGTTTCTTCCTGTGTGTTGCTTTGACGTTGTTCCGTCGCAGCTGGGAGCTCTTGCTCATTGACAAATAAGTCATCATCTTCCGAGTCTGAAAACTCCAATGATGCCCTCACCTTCTTTGGTGGAGGGGGCTTAGAACTGTCGCGTTTGTCTAAATCCATGGCCTTTGCTTGTATAGTATGAGCAGATTGACGAACCGGCATAGGCGGGGGCTTTGGTACAGGATCGACCGATGGTACGTACGGCAGCCAGTCGAATTGGTTCAATTCGACAAATTTGCTCTTATCAGAAAAGAGCATGGATTCGAAGTCTTCTCGTAGACCTTTACGGGCGGTATCGTCCACATTCCATTTGTTATACTTGGGATTCCCATCTTTGTCGTAGCTAGTGGGAATTCTTTTCTTGGTAGCCTCTGTGACATGGAACCAGCTTAACCCAGGATTCCTGTCCCTCTCGCCTCTCACTAGGATGATCATAGGTGGAGTGAGAGTAGTATAGATACGCTGTAAGAAATAGAACACCAAACTCTTCTTGTCACTAAGCGTGGATTCGACGTCCATAACCTTGTACATTGTACGGCCCCACATGTTCTTGAAGACATTTGTGTCGAAGCGGCCTTCAAGCCAGATGCGAAGAACTTCGGCGTTCACTGTGTCCGCTTGGCTGCGCCCTGTTTCTTCTGGATAGTCTCGGATAAGTTGATCAACATGGGACTAGGTATCTGTTAGCAAGCTTCCATTTATCGCAATTATTATTATACTTGCATAAAGCCGTTCGAATAGAACCTCATGCTTTATATTCCTGTAGTCGCAATATATATATTCGCGAAGCGCCCTAAAGACACTAGAGGATGTATCGACATTCTTGCAGGTCTTCTTGATTATCCAGCCCGCGCATGCTGGACTCTGGAAGGCGAATACATGCTTCCGCAATTCCCAATCCAACCGTTCTTTGGCCTGAGCCATCTCTTGCTTAGACAATTCGGGAAGATCGCCGTTCTTTGGTTTCCATTGGTACGAGAGGTTGGTGCGCGTCTTGACGAGGTTTATAACATTGGCCCGTTTAGGCTTGAGGAAGATCTCTGGCCGTACCTCCTCGAGGGGTGGAACTTGGACGTCTTCCTTGGTAGGGTTTGTGGGGAGTGTCGGTGTAGATTGTAGTGAAGATGTCGCTGCTGCTGCATGTATGGGGGTTGGTGACGAGGCTAGTGCTGTAGTGGTACGACCTGGAAAGCCTGGGCTGGATGAGGTCATGATAGCAGGCGTACGACGTTGGCTACCTCCACGTGCTGCAGCACGAGCACCGCGCGTGGGCATTGGAGGAAGGCCGCCGCCACGGGAAGACGAGCTCGGTATCTTATCGTCCATTTTATAACGTAATCCTATTAAAGATACGTTAAATTTTATTCTTGTTTTAATCGATAATAGAAAATAATTTAATATGCTTACTTCTGCGCTTTACAATACAAACTGTTGAGGTTTTAGATACGGAAGTTGAATTAAGTTTCAATATTCATTGTCCAATATGTTCGGGAGCCTTAGAAGTTACATGCAGTTGGTTACAGTTGTTGGAATAGGGTTCTTACTGCTGCGTTAGTGTGCTAGTTGAGGCATCAAGAATCCGAAACTGCAGGCACGAAAGGCATAAAGTGCCAATGCACCAATGTTGAAGCAGGTGAGGTAACCAACCCACCTACAATGGCCATCTCTTGTTTTCTTTTTTTTTTTTTTTACTAATTCCATTCGCGACTTTCTACACACATACACCAGCATTTAATTCTAATGCGTTAACTGTTTTTAAATACGTTGTTCTACATTGTGTATATCTACGCGGTTTAGGTATTTGCGTTTCGGTTACCATTATTTACGAAAATGCCACGCATAAGACGAAGCGCGAATTTACCCATGTCTCGGGCGCGCATATCTGAGGTACTGTATGATCATACGCGTCCAGATACTAATACTGAGCATGATACCAACAACGATACCAACAACGATACCAACAACGATACCAATAACGACATTGACAATGATACCAACAATGACATTGACCTATATACAAATATTATAGATGCAATGCCAATCCCAGGGATTCTTGAAGGTCAAGATGATATAGCAACCGATAATAATCATGGAGGTATGATGGATGATGCTATGCACGCTAATTATAATAACGACAATAATATACTGGAAGATGAACATAATAGCAGCAGCGAAAATGAAGGTATGTTATTTATATAAATAATGAAATGATAAGCAGAATAATATGCAAACTAATACGTTATAGAAATTATCGATTTAAATGCAATACAGTATGGCAGTGTCGAAGACAACATGGAGCGTATGGCAGAATCAGCTTTAGATCCATCCGACGTAGAGGCTGCCATAGAATATAATAATATATTCGAACAAATAGAACCACCGGAACCAAGGGCATTTGACGAGGACGACGACAGTGATGAGGGAGATCTAGGACTATTGGACGGTTTAGATTCATCTGCGCTATCAGGCACAGCCCAGACCTCGGCCACGTTCCAGGCCTCAGACGTCGACAATGGTGATATACCCGATATTTCGTATCCCCTCGAGAACCGACATAACCAAGAATTAAATATGTCTAAGTTCGAAATAGCAATCGCTGCTTATACAAACCTTACTGGCATGAGTCGTGATGAATGGGTATCCTTACGTGAAATCCTCACATTAATTCGCGATAAGGATGGCAACGAGATCGACGACATTTGCGCCCTTCCAACAGTACTAGCCACCCTGCAACAGCAATTCCATACTCGTCTACCTCTTCTGCCGATGCGTGAAGCAGAAATCCCACTCAGAGCCGAGAAGATGCCCACCGAATCAAAGTCTCGTCGGGCTAAAACCCAGGCGAAACTGGCACATCGGAACCAGAACAAGAAACAAAACCGCAAGAAACGAAAGGCAGAACCTATAGAGGAAACCCCTATGCTCACAACCAAATTAACGCTTTTTGATCCGGTTGCCTTATTTGAAACTCTTCTGGCCTCTGACATCAGCAATGATATATACTGCGGGCCGGCTATATTCGTCGATAACCCTACGGAATTCTACCATGGACATTGTTGGTCTGGATCAGTTCGTACATCAGGCGGTAATTATGCCCACCTTGGATCCCAAGCTATAATCTTTCCTAGTAATTGGATATACTACCAGTGTACCAATAGTAACTGTCACTATCAACCTGCCAACGAAAAGAACCTCAAGACTACCGACCTACATATCGGACGCGTATATGGCGTTGGGTTAGACATGCGTGAAGAGTCTTGCACGGGAAAAAGTAAGACTGTTAAAGCATTACAAATTCAAGATTGTATCCACCAATATCGCGAAGATGAGCGGTTAAACAATCTTGAGTTAAACCCAGGACTCCATGAGAATGAGTTAATATTGGTTTCAGAAACCATATATATACCGGAGACGAATGCATGGTCATTGGAGAATGTATACCTGGATTATGAATTTGGGGAGTGTTTTGACAATCCCGAACCTCCCAAATTACGGCCTAATGCAAAAAGACAAACAAAACAGGATATACCTTGGCCAAAATATGACGTTCGTACAGAACCGTCAACTAAAGACAGTTCTGACAGGTATTGGTTCGCTCGTCGTATGATTGTGTCTGGTCAGAAGGTGGACAAGAACCTCGATGTACATGCTACGAAGGAAGTAACACCCCTCTGTCATACCCATCCCATACGCGCCGAATTAGAGCTTCAAACCTACGGTCGAGCAACATTTGAAAAAGAATAGGATCAACTCTTACCCAATGCAACACCTGTTAAAACCATTCCCTATGTGAATTTTATCGACGGGTTTAGTGTCTTCGGCAACTCATATCGATCTTTAATGGGCGATTATATTACACCAGCCGGACTATGTAAAGCGGATCGGTTTAGGCCCGGCAACATATATCCACTAGTACTTAGACCGCATGGGTCGAACTTTGCAGATGTCGTGAAGGCACTCGGCAGGCTCGGGATGCTAGATAAAGCAATAACATCGAACATCAAAGGTAAATGTACTACAGTTTGTGCGTTTGCCTTATGTTACACAGGAGATATGCCTCAACAGGCTGAAAACAGTGGGCTCAAAGGCCCTCGCGGGATCAAATTCTGCCGCTGTTGTTTTATTGCATCGACAAGGAACTCTCAACAACCTAGCACTACACTAGACTTCGATGTCGTTACACACGGTCGGTACCATCACCAGCTTAAGCGCATGCAAAAGACCATGGCCGACATACATGAAGATAAGGCTACAAAGGCTGCATATGGCTCGCAATGGGGGATAGCCAATCCAGCGCCACCACTTGAAACTATCTCTCCGGCTCTCGATTTAATACTCTCGCGTCCATTCGATACAGCCCATTCAGAATATGCCGGGTTGACCAACCTAATGCACAGTCTCATCCGTGACGGCGTACTAACTCCCTCAGCAGTAGATGAATACACACTCGAATTACGAGCATGGCCATTTCCACCCGGTGGGCGGCGACTACAATCACCAAAACATCATCTGGCCAGTTACAACATGTCGTCCCATGCTATCTGGTCCATCATCATCCCCCCCTTCCTTCGCAGCTGGCTCAGACCCCATCATATAAAAGCCAACTTTTATAGAGAGGCTTCTCAAGACCATGAACCGATTGATATTGTTATCCAAGCTTGCACGGCAATTGCCAAGAGTAACAGTCTTTTGATGGGGTCTAAGTCATTAAACACCAGTCGGATTGACACTTTACGAAGTATTAGGAAGGCTAGAGAACTATTCAACCAGCTCTGTGTATACGCATCCAGATCCTTGAATTCGCGGGCAGGGTCTGTTATGTCCGTCCAGGGGCAAGACAACCAGGGGACTGTTGGAGATGATATAGCTGCCTCAGGTCGCTCGTTACAGTATCTCAACGACACACTCAGACCAAATATCCATATCGCATCTCATTTTATGGATTTTATAGAGGAATATGGTCTAATAACAAATTGCAATACACTAACCGGGGAAGATTTACATCGGCAAGTTTACTTTATTTCATTTTTCCTCGCATAACACAAAGCCATACCTTCTATATACCCCCGTCTTACGGGGCTATCTAAATAACCACCAATATACATCTAAAGCATACCGCAATAAGGTCGAGCTGACATTTGATATCTTTAGATTCTATAAGCGCCGGGTCCGAGAAACAAACAAACATAATATCGAAAAAGCTCTTCTCAAAAAGCAGAATGTACAAATGACCATACGCTTTATCCTTCGGAACGCCTACAGCGAAAAGGACCCCGATATAACAGCCCAATTACAGGAGCTTTATACACAATGCCCCACCCTATTTAAGCAAGTGCTCTCTCGCGCTAATCGAAACGAGTTGGCTGATATGGCTGATGCTGATGCTAATGCCGATGATATAGAGAAGGCCTTTGTGATGTCTGAAAACAATACACACGTCCAAACCGTAATGATTAACCGCGTTGACAGGAAAGAGCTTATGCAAACCACACATCCCATTCAAGGCAATAACCTATTGCCTATGAAAAACCGCCAAATATTTCCTTTATTCATATCTAAACTCCGCGCAGCATATTATCGCGACTATGGCTATCCCATTTCGCACCCTACGGGATATGAAAATAGCGACAAGATCGCATGGTCCCATAAACTTGGGTTCAATGATAAGTGAGCACCTATGGTTCTTCTATCGTTATTAAATATTCTTTTATGTGAGGTCTAGCTAACAGCTTACTTACTTTGACATAATATATAGGGCAACCAGGGTGCGGTATGTCTTCAGCAGGGGCGATTATATTCAATATAACGGCGGAGACTGCTTTGGTCGTATCGATCAGATTTTCACATTTGACGTCTATGGTGATACTCACATCTTTGCAATAATTACGCCGTTGCAGCGAACAGGGGAGCGTGATAGGTTGTTAGAACTGGAAGTATTACGCGAAATGGAAGACGAGCCAACTATTATCGGGATTACAGCTATCGAGCCATTCAAACCATACCTGGTCGATGTTGCCAATGTTGGCGTTGTTAATGTAGACTGGAGCGTCCGTTGGTTATAAGCAAGGTAAGTACCTCCTATCTCTTAAGCCAAGTTAGTTGTAAGGCGTTAACAAATACCTCTGCAAGATATTTAAGGTAAGTGCGTTTACTTACAGCAGAATCTATCTTAACTGATGGTTATTGTAGGGTTATGGCATGGGTATAACCCTTCCGAGAAGACCCGGTGCCATATGGTATATGCCAAAGGCTTGGATTTTGCCAATTGCATGTAAGTAGCCTAACATCTTTAACAGTTTTGTTTTGGGGGGGGGAGTACTGCTTATAAGTTAACAGCTTTCTATATTTCAAAAGGTACATGTCCTACCAGCACTACAGCAAGTACCTCACAACCCAGCAGACAGGTATCTGCACAGCTATATGCAAAGTTTAATTGGCATATTAGACTTTAAATGTCCAAGAAGTGTTGGGATTCTGACGGTAAGGTAAAGTTTGACCCTATTCTGAACTGATACCATTGCGACGTACTAATCAGCCATAGGGTTATGAGGAAGGTTGAAGGGGCACATTATACTTTGAGAACGTCACGAGGTAAAGTTTCACCCTATTCTAAACTGATACCATTGCAACGTACTAATCAGCTATAAGGTTATGAAGAAGGTTAAGAGGGGCATATTATGCTCTAGAATGTACCAGGTAATGTTGGATACCATTTTGGGTTTAAACCTATTATTAAAACGTACCAGGTAACTAATTGGTTACAGGACTATAGCCAAAACGAAACGAGGATGCTATTGTGAAGGGGTAGGAGGTAGGCTACCTAACCTACCCAAGGTATTAGGCAAGTACTTACCCTTTATATCAGAATTGATTGTATGGTTCTAATAATATTTAAGATATTATACAATTGTATGTTATGGAATAAAACTTATGTATATCAATAGTTTTGGGTAAAAAAATGGTTTTGATATGTAAAATAATACTGTTGCATAAAATGATATCAATGTATGGAATAATAGTAATAAAAAAAATAATTGCAAATAATACAATCATATGGTTGATTCTAATGTTACCATTAAACGAAATGGTTTTAATACATGGAATGGTTTTAATACATGGAATGGTTTTAATACGTGGAATGGTTTTAATACGTGGAATGGTTTTAATACGTGGAATGGTTTATAGTACGGAATGGTTTTAATACGTGGAATGGTTTATAGTACGGAATGGTTTTAATACGTGGAACGGGGAAGGCTGATTCCGTTGTTTCCATTAGGTGGAATGGTATTATTGGATAAAATAGTTTTAGGTTTACGGAATGGTTCTCCGTACCCCCAAACCTCCGCTATGGTAACCATAAACCCCACAATAAGGTTTAAAGTTTTAACGTTTGAGCTAATGGGACGAGGTGGCCAATCTCATCGAATTATTTCGGAATGGAAATTCTTCTGATTTTAGCCCTTATAACCTTTACTTCGGAAAAGTAAAATTTTGACTTAGAAAAAAAAAATTTTAAACATTTTTTTTTTTTTTTTAAATTTTTTTTTTTTAATATATTCCGTTCTTAAATTTAAAAACGTTTTTTACGGCGGAATAGTTTCGAGTAAATAAAACGATTATTTTAAACCAGACCCACAAAAATCAAATCCAGACCCACTATTTCCGGATTCCAGCCAATCAAAGGCCTTGAAACCCGAAAGCGTTCTTTTATACAAAACCGTTCTTATTTTAGAACGGTTCTTAGAAACCCCCCCCCGCCGGTATGGTACCTAGATACCTCCTACCTAGGTATGTATCATCTCTAATATGGCATTAGGTACCTGTTTATTCATTTCCTCTCGGTGAAATATTCCAATTTAAACTCTGATTCTTCTACTCTGGCTAATTCCGCCGTGCGTCCGAATCATTAGTAACTCCCTACTCCGTTTATTCCCATCCATCCCGTAGCACCCTTGTGAGTACCGAAAGTAACCTTACTTCGTCTCACCGCTCAATTCCGCAAGGAAAAGCACAAACTCCATCTCCGCGGCCTCGTCTTCCGCGAACGCGCCGCGGAACCAGGCCGCGAGACTCGAGAGCTGACACTTGCAGACTCGCACGCGCTCGCTGCCGCAGATCCCGCCCCAGTACGGGACGGGCGTCCCTTGGTGCTTCCACACCTGGAAGGCCGCGTCCTGCTCCTTTGCTTCGAATAGGTCGATTACTTCGTCGCTGGTGGTAGCGTTTGAGGAGGATGCGCCCGGGGAGTCGGCGTCGCTGCGGCAGTTCGCGCAGCGCCCCTTTAGACGCGCGTAGGAGCATGCTACGATGGCGCTCATGAGCACGCCAGGGATAAGTAGAGGGTTAAGCCGCAGACGTGTGCGCAAGAGGGGACAGGTAATTCCGCTCCTGGCGTCGCAGTCGGTGCGGGCGGATTCGACGGTGAAGATGCGGCAGACTTGCGCGGCGTTCCAGAGTGCGGCGCGGGGACAACCGGTCGAAATCCAGCTTAGGAGGTGGGCTTGGGGCTTGCGGGTTGGGATTGCGGCGCCGGGGCGGGACTTGTAGTAATGCCCTTTGATACGTAGGACGTTCATGGGAGCGAACATTTTCAGTGTGGACATGTACATTAGTGTGAATGTGAGCGGAGCTAGGAGATGCTCGGTTCCGTTGAGATCGCCTGAGAAGTATTTCTCGAGCAGGGGGTAGTCTTGATTGCGCTTCTCTCGCCAGAGGGTTAGGTGTGGGTGTGCCATGTCGACGAAGATGCCGGGATTAATCACTTCGGCAAGCTCGTCTGACATGGAACTATGGGCTTCTCGTGCTAGTTCCCAGATAGTTGTCTGAGTTGCGCAGGTGCTTAGGTGGTAGTCAATGTCGGTGAGGCAGTACGGCAACTTTCCGCGGTTGGGATTCAGGGCGTCGCGCATGAAGAATGAAAAGAGTGCCTTTTCACGACCTGCTGGTTCGTTCCATTGGAGCTTGCGCCTCTCTGGTTCATTGGAAGCAGCCCATAGCTGAGAGGACTTCGGTAGAGGAATCCATAGCTCTTGATACCGCACTGAAGGAGGGTGGTCTAGCAGCATACTGAGATATGCGTCGACGCGAAGAACAGAAAACGCAAGTCTAGGCGTTGAATCGCACCGTTAGTGTTTGGAGTATGTTTGGGATGAAGTAGAGACTACCTGTTGAGTTGTTCTTGTATTCGCCAAGCAACGAATGGACAACCACTAACCAGGCCACTCATTTCGTGACATGAGTATTGGCCGTTAAAAACACCAAGATACCGACATGTTGATACTAATAAGCCTGTGAGGTTGAGGGCTTTTGCTACCATACCATCCGTAGTCTATGAATATCAATACCAGATAAAAATGGTGGTAGGCGTATACATCTCAACGTACCAACATGTATGTTGCGTAAACGATATAAAGTAAAACGGCTTGTAATAAATGTAACGGCGGATGTGGAAACTAGGTAGTGGGTATTAGTCATTGAAGGGAGGAATCCAGAGTAGGGTCAGTCTTTCACACACCATTCGAATCCGAGCTACTTCGTCGAAGACAATAGGAGCAAGTTTTTCGTGATCTGGTCCTTTTTCAAGCCAACTAGCCAATATAACCACGGATGCCGATAGAACCGGTGGAGTCTTCTCCAGTTCAAACGTTGGCGCGTGTAAGATAGCCCAGTACGGATGAATCTCTTGGAAGAAAAGTTCGACAAGCCTCTTGGAATTGGGTGAGTTCGCGTCCAGATAAGTCTGTGAATCTGCCACCACAGTAGGTCCAGGCGATTCGGAAGTCGTCTGAGGTTGTGTTGTTGGCGGCGACGTCTGCTGAAGAGACATATGGGTAATATTCGATGTGTTGAAGTGGGTTGGCACAAATCTAGCTGCGCTAGCATTTGATGTAGAATGGACCAAGCCAGTTGGTTGCAGGGTGCCATGCTCTTCATGAATAATGTTCAAGTCATTTGAAGCTTCCGGGTATGAGGGTGTAGCCGGGAATGGTCCCGAATTCCAACCTTCTGGAGTTGGTGGAAGCCATGTTGCTTGACTGGGACCGCTCGCCGGCATCACGATCGCTGGTTCAGTACTGGCCCCATGATGGTCATCTGAATCAATCCAACGACACTCTATCCAACTCGAAGCACAAGCTCCGCAAGGGGAATTCCCATCGCATTGGGTGCTCCGTTCACCGCAGGGCAAACATATTCTAAAAGTCAATCACGAAACATGTAAGTGATAATCTCGAGCTACCCGAAGTGTCACTCACCTTCTTGTGCCTGGCGGCTGAGAAACATCTGGGTTATGTTGTTTTACATGTCTCTTAAACACATCGCTAACGTCTATATTAGCACCATAATCATAAAACTACCTACCTACCTCCTATTTACTGTGTCGAGGCGGGGAGAGCCAATAAGCTAAGGATGATGTACATACCTCCGTGCGTAACGCCGCCCACATACAGGGCATTTATACTGATGCTCAGGATTGTGGCCTAGTTTATGTCGATTTAGATGCTCCTTTCTAGTGAAGCGTTTGTCACACCCAGGAAACGAGCATTCCCAACTTTTTGGTAACGAGGACATATCGAGACATTCCGCCTGTACTCCCGCCCCCTGTCCTCACACAGGCCAACAAAGCAAGACTGGACTAATACACGTCTAGTCAGCTAGTGACCTAACTTGATCGAGAAATTAAGATGTCGAAGGTTTCCGCAGAGTCCTCGTTGGCAGGGATATTCTCGCAATGCTATGAGTCCTCCCACCTAAACATATGTGGATGTGTGGATTGGAATAAGCATGTGGAATGTGGAATGGGAGAGAGATTTGACGGTGATGAAGGAGATATCGGAGTTGACTTACAGTAATCCGATATCACCGGCCAGCATATATTAGTCATGACAATGTGGGATTGAAAATGTGGGATGTGGGATGAAGCCTTTGCCAAGTGGGGGTGAGGTCGATTCTCTTAAAAGAGATCATGTAAATAATTAAGGGACCAATACAGGTACGTAGGCCGGTAAGAAGATCTGACCAATGTGGGATGCTGTTTTGGTGAGGTTCTGCTATGATGATATGTCTCCAAATCGTTTCAAGAACGATATTTTCCAACATCACCGCTCCTTATGGCGTCAGTACGCTAGGTAATCATCTGAGAATGACGATTACTAAAAGACAACAGTTTACAAGATGGAGAACGTAGAAGTATAAAGTCATCTTCTCGGACGAGAAGAAAGAAGAAATCGAAGCATATCCCTTCTCATCAGTAGCAATTACCTTCGAGACCTTGATAAGAAACACAGCTTCTCTCAACTTTTACCTATCCCATCTATCAATATGACTACAATTACGAAGGTCGCCATTGCAGGTGTAAGTGGGCAGGAAAAATGCAATAATACCCCTATCCATTTCATCCTCACTGATACCCTATAGGCCAAGGGAGATCTTGGAGAGCCAGTGTTTGAACAACTCTTAAAGGCGGGTTTCCAAATTACTGTTATAACCCGCAAAGGCAGCTCTCATATCTGGCCGTCCAATATTACCGTCAAGGAAGCCAACTATGACTCGCTCGATTCTCTGACGGAGGCACTTCAGGGTCAAGATGCTGTTGTCTCGACTATTACAACTTCGTCATTGAGCGCACAGATCAACCTGATTGACGCTGCAGTCAAGGCAGGGGTGAAACGCTTCATTCCATCCGAATTCGGTTCCGACACTTTCAACGCAAAGGCTTCACAGCTGCCTTGCTATAAACCCAAGATCGAAGTCCAGCAAGCACTGAAGAAAGCAGCTGCTGAGAGCAGTCTGACGTGGACCGCTGTACTCTGCGGACCTTTCTTGGACTGGGCGATCCGTGTCGGGTTCTTCGCTGACGTTAAGAACCGTACTATTTCATTGCCGGATGGAGGAAACAACACTGCTTCGAGCACGACCCTCCCGACTGTCGGCAAGGCCGTGGTGGGTGTACTGAAGAACTTTGAACGGACCAAGAATCGTCAAGTCTACATCCAAGAGGCTATCATCACCTTGAAGCAGATTGCGGAGATTCTCAAGAAGTATACCGGGACAGAAGGGTGGGTTGAGAACGTCACGTCTCTCGACGAGGGACTTCAGAAGGCTTTGGAAGAAAACAAGACAGCATACACGCCAAATGTCTTCATCTCGACTCTCAGGGTAGCTATGTGGGGTAAGGAATACGGCGGTACCTTCCAGAAGCTTGATAATGAGCTACTGGGAATCAAGCAGTTGAGCCCGGCTGAAGTGGAGGCTATTGTGGCCAAGAACATCCCCACGTACAACGCCGAGGGATGATGAGCAATATCGCCCTCCACGTATGGACTACTAATTATTATCCCTCGGAGATTGTAGGGGATAGAGCAATATCCTATCCACTTTAGATCATGTTAGTCTTGTAGTTTGCAGTTTGAAGTAGAATTTAGCTACCGAATTTCCACATATACCGACATAACGAAATCGATGAATTGCTATTAAAGTTGTAAGATCGTGAACTAATAGAAGCCCCGCGTCTAAATTACACAGCATTAAATAGGGGAAAATCAAGCGACTATGTCCGAAATTTACCCGTGCCAGGAATAAATCGATGTAATAAGATCCCGATGTATGAAATTATTATGATTAAACTCACCTACCTTTGGTAGATATTTAGCTGAAAATATGAGGCTACCAGATATGTAATCATCCATGATCGATATTCCGCCGATCCGGGACACGATTCCGAATCTTAAGCTTGAAAAGCTAGCGTCATAGTTGAATCTCGCGCCGCTATCCCGGCTTGGTTGGGGCTTGGCAAGAAGCAAGAATCTGGTGACGTTGTCTAGCACAGGATAGATTATGGTCTGGGGTTCATGCTTGAGCGGCTTCGTCCAATTTATTTCCGAGTTGCTGGGCTCTTCTGGGGTTCGCCTAGCATCACATGAGCCGGGATTTCGCGGTGGTCTTCGCTATCACCCTGGCTTGTTAATAGGGGGCCTGCCGAAAATAGATCCGGATGTGCAACCTCCGCCGATCGTTCGTGGCATCTAGTTTTCCCCCCAGCACACCACAACTTATCGAAACGCTAGGATGGTTATGGAGTTTGGGCCGTTCTGTTTCCGCTCAGAGCTTCCGCATCGCTAGCCATTGGAGGAGAATACTGGCTCCTTGATGATACCCAACCATAGCTTTTCGCCGTCGCGCGGCCAGTTGCTACCGTGTGATCCGTCTGGACTCCGGGGTTGCCACCTCTAGCATAATCATGATGGCAACCATCCTGATTATTTATAGATGAATCTGACCCCAGGTTCTCATTCGTACTTTTCAGGATCGACAGGAGCCCTCATCTCAGCAGCAGGACGTTATTCTCAAGCTTACAAAATGAGATACTCTTTAGTAGCGGCTACTATTGCCAGCGCCAGTCTGGCAAGCGCACACACGATTTTCGTTCAACTTGAGGCAAACGGTGCGACGAATCCAGTATCTCACGGCATAAGAACGCCAACTTATGATGGTCCTATCAGCGACGTAACGTCCAACGATGTTGCTTGCAACGGCGGTCCTAACCCGACCACGCCCTCTGACAAGATCATCGACGTCAAAGCTGGCTCCACGGTCAACGCCATCTGGAGGCACACGCTGACATCTGGCCCTGGTGATGTGATGGATGCGAGCCATCTAGGCCCTACCCTCGCCTACCTCAAGAAAGTCGACGATGCGACGACTGACAAGGGATACGGCAATGGTTGGTAAGTTAGATAGATAGGTAGTCTATCATTTCAAACGCGAATTTGGGCCGAATACTTACTGTTCGCCAGGTTCAAGATTCAGGAAGATGGCTACAGCAACGGAGTCTGGGGTACCTCAAAGGTTATCAACAACGAGGGCAAGCAACCGATCAAGATCCCAGACTGTCTGCCAGATGGTCAATACCTCCTCCGTGCCGAAATGATTGCTCTTCACGCCGCTGGATCCAGTAAGGGCGTCCAGCTCTACATGGAATGCGCACAGATCAATATCTCAGGAGGTTCGGCTACCAAGACGCCCACAACCTATAGCCTCCCCGGCATTTACAAGCAGGATGATCCGGGCCTCCTCATCAACATCTACTCCATGGATAAGAACAGCCAATACGTTATTCCTGGTATGGTTCCATTTTAAGCAGCTCGATAGCACTCACTAACACAGACATGGCTAGGCCCCGACCCTTTCACTTGCTCGGCAGCTAGCTCCGGTGGTGACTCCCAAACCACACCGAAGTTACCTGCTTCCACAACACTAGCAACCTCTACCAAGACCGCAGCACCCACGACACCCACCTCTCCTTCGGGATGTACTGTTGCGCAGTGGGCTCAATGCGGTGGCTCTGGCTTTACGGGATGCAGCACTTGCGCTAGTGGATATACTTGCAAGAAACAGGTATGTCACATTGATTCATTCATTATCGCAGATATATATGGGTTTTACTAACTTGCACGTTATAGAACGAGTACTATTCCCAGTGCGCGTAAAACATAATTCAGATACCGGGTTTAGAATAGTAATACGAAGTATCAGCATGTAGCTACGCCCACATTTTCTTATGGTGTGAATTGATTCGAAGAAGTGATTAAATATTATTGTTGGTTGATTTATTTATTTTTACCCCTGTTTTCTTTCTAGGATTTATCATCTCATCCTACATATGGGGCACTATCAGGGGCCTGACGAAACATATGAAGCTCGTAAGCCAGAGATACCCCTTCCCTTTCCGATGCCCCATCGTGTTTTCAATGCCTCTCTATCTATGTCTTAGTCCGTCAACCAAAGACATATCAAGGGCATTAAAAATCAAATTAATCTTGAATAGTTGTTAGCGATGTTAGGAATATGTGCGGCCTAGGAACGGCGCAAGATAGTTCGCCTACCTTTACGTCGACGATCGCCTCGAGTAGACATTCCACCGCCCCGGGAAGCTTCCTCTGGCTTCGGCTTCGGCTTCGGGGTTGGGTGTGGTCCCGGCTGTGGGCGTGGTCTCGGTCGTGGCTTGCCTTCTTTCCAAGTGATGTCGTAGCCACTTCGACCTTCGTCGGCGGGAGGTTGGCTGTCAGGTTCTGTGCCCATACTCCGCCCTTGGTCCGCCTGACCCTTACCAACGTGACATACTCTAGCATTGGATAACATGTTGTAGGTAAGTCTTGCTGCTATGAGTTTATGCAGAAAATAGAGTGTCGAGCTCAGTTATGACATCGGTGACAAGTTGTTGGGAAGATTTGATTCTGGATTGCCCTGGCCTACCATCTTGTTCAACATCGTCGCAGCTCTCATACACATATATATATCCATACTTTCTACTTCTTGTGCTACAACAAAATATCAATTCTTGATTAATTTCATCTACTTTGATTCGACATGTTAGATTTTAAAAGAGGCTGTTGTTAGAAAATGCAATGCCCACGTGATACGACTTGCTCTTCATCAAAGAGTGAAGCTAATAGTCTTCATTTCATGAGATAATGATTCGAACCCCTTCCTTTGTATCATTGTGCGGCTGAACCACGTGGCTTAATAAAGCATTCCATCTATACCTAGCCTTCCGAGACATAGTGAAAAGTTATAGCATCCCTTAGGTAGTTGTCATATATTGGGCGATCAATTATTTATATCTTCAATGTCGGTGACCTCGGCAAACTTGAATAGAGATGAGTAGAAAATGATAGGTAAAATGGCATTATCAACCACGTGGTTCTTTTTCATTTATCATTTCTTTCGTTGCTGAGATTATTACGCCGATACTACAAGTTACTTTAAATAGTTATCTAAGAAATTAAGTTATCCCCCGTTATATCACGACAGTCGGACATTAGAAGGTTCCAACCGCATGTCGCAATATCATCAGGCTAGCTTCTCTTGAGCAATCGAAGTTTCGTATCATTTGAGTCAGATTACTGACGTTTCCGATGTATTTTCTATCAACTTGATCAACACCCCTAGCCGATCAAAGCGGGTGAAGAATAAGCTATCAATATTTCCTAAAGCATGAGGGACGCATCTCTATCTGTTTCTCAGGGCCGTCATTTTTGCAGTACTAAAATAGTTTCAACAACGTTGGTTATCGCAATCTACATACTGGGCTAATATAGGGGTAGCACTACAGGCATAAAAATGAACTCTTAGTGGAGAGGAGGATATGTCCCTAAATTTCATTCCATCTATCCGAGACCTTTCTGAAGATGCTAGCTACTCTCCGTGCTTAAACCTATACATCAGCTATCTACGATGTCCTTTAAAGCCATTGCCTGGTGCCTAAATGAGAGACAAATGACCCTCCATCTCCACGCTCAAGGCTTGCATTGTAGATAACCTTCATGACGAGCTTGACAGACTCTTCAGGGGTGATTGGGCCCTTAAAGTGAGGTGCATATTTGGCGAACTTGCCGAACATCTTTTGGGAGTTTTCGAGCTCCTTTTCAGACTCTTTCACCAGGAAAGTATTAGCAAACACTACTGAACACGATAATGGATAACATAAATAATTTTGAGTATGGAGCCGACGGGAAAGTAGAACTCACTATTATCTGTCGCGACATTTTGTCCATCCGTCGCAACAACACCAGGCGATATACTGAAGAATAGAATCCCTTCGTTGTGAAACTGGGCATGGTACTCGACGACCGCGAGGTTGAGAGCTGCCTTGCTCGTAGTGTATGCCCCGGACGTATCAAGCTCAATGTCCCTCACCAAGTCGTAGTCGGCAATACCGGTCGAGATCGAAATGACTTTCTTGGCTTCTCCCTTCCGGATCAGGGGCAAAAAGTAGTTGAAGAGGTGGATATTTCCAACTACATTAGTCTTGAAGGACTTGAGCAAATCCTCCTCTAGACCTTCAGGATCGTCGGCCCTGATTGATTAAGATGCGTTAGTGAGTGGCTCTGAAGGTTCTCCCAAAAGAACTAGAAAATCGTACAAGTCGTTAAAAGTCAGGAAGCCCGATTTTCCAGAAATGAAAGCGCCATTGGCGATGAGATAGTCTAAGCTGCCTCCAGTGATCTTGGCAGTATCTTCCGCTGCTTTCTATGCACCATGTCAATAGTTCATCTCATGTGCTTGATTAGAATGAGCTATCTCACCTTCAGAGATTTATAATCTTCCAAATCTCCATGGAGAATATGGATATTGGAGCGTCCGATCTCAGAAGATACCCTTTTCTCGGTGGCGTCTTTATTACGAACAAGCCCAATAACAACTGCTGCTGGATCCTCAGAGAGCTGGCGTAAGAACTCGAACTATTTCACGATTTAGTACTTCTTTTCGACCAGGTCGTATATCCACACTTACGCCGAGTCCTCGAGATGCACCGGTTATCACGTAGGAAGGCATGTTTATTCTGGTTGAAGTAGTTCAGCTTGATGAAGTTTGGTAGTAGTTGGTACGTGTAAGTGTGTAAGTGTTGCTGGCTTGGAGTAATGGTCCTCCAACTACAGCACATGTTCATGTTTAAATAGTCTACAGGAGTCTACTGTAACACACCCCCAAAACAGTATATCCGTTTTGTAAGCACAGGGTTGCGGAGGGGTTGCACCATGGTATCCATCCTACGGCAACAAGAGGGAGATGATTTCGTCCGTCCGGTTCCGTAAACTCGGGTTAATGGCCGAAAATACTCCACCCATTGTTTACTAATCCCTCTATTTGGCATAGTATCCGCCGACTGGCTTCTATCACCGCTATTCTCGGCCAATTTGGCCTTTCGGATTCATTTAGGATTCCGGCAACCATTATTAATACTAATACTCTAATACTTTCTCGTCCGCCGACGTTGGACTATTCGGCGGACTTAACGTTATATATACAATATACACTTACTACTCTTCCCGATCGCAGTCATAAATCGTCTCGGCGGCTCATTGCTAATTGATTCTCTTTGCCATTACTTAGAGAACTAGCTTCGTATCGTAAGAGACCTCTTTTGTTCACCCTTCCACGTATTTTCTTAAAATCACCAACAAAGTATTCAATGATTACCTAGGTACCTAAGGCAACGCTGTAAAATAGTAACGTTTCTGAATGGGCAAATTGAAGTGGATTGCAACCATATCCTTACCTGAAGTAACACTAGCTCCATAGCGAGATGGCACAGACATGACTAGAATTTGCTCAGCTTCGATATGGAGAAGCAGAGAAGCCAAGCTAGTTTTCCGAGGTCAAGATCGTAACGCCTGACTCCTAAAGCAGATAGGAAGGTCTATCAAGGTGTGAAAAGTAAATTTAATTAGATAGTAGTAAAAATAATAGCACCTTAACTAAACAGTTCGAAGGTAATGGCGAAGTAACAGGGAACGACTAAGAGAGACTAATGCCAAGTTTACTGAGAAAGGCTATTCAGGGAAGATAAAATTAACGTACAAACACCACTCAATGCCACTGCGGGAATGCACTGCTAAGGAAAGAGAGTTTCGGGAAGGAATGTTGAGGAAATACAAAAAAATTATCATTCAAACGTCGTTTGCAAGTGCAATAATAAATTGCAAAAAGAAGCTCTCGATCGGGGAATCGAACCCCGGCCACCTGCGAACTTGTTCGATGACAAGCAGGTATCCTGACCACTAGACCAATCGAGAATTGAATACCTTCCTTCGGAAGATGATTGGATGTGCTGACTGATGTCTGATTCGTTTGTAGCTTTTGTTTATAAAGCAAACTGTTTGGCGTTACAAAGTTGGCTAGCATCTGCGAGAATTTTCTAGCCAGTCATGTTGTACCACCAACTCCGCAAGAGCTTTACCTAATTAGTTGTAGCGGGCCTTAGTGGTGAAGTCCGGTACAAACCGGCGCTGTAAAAAGACGCCTGGATTTTAAGTTTCACCGTCTTCTATGTATGAGTTCATGAACTCATAGCATGAACTCATAGAAGTGGAAGCTTCTATTCTTTAGAACCGCCACTTCTCATTCTTTCGCTTTGTGTAGCGACTTCACCTCCATCGTTTCACCATAAACTTCCAATCCAAGATGCATATTACCGAGATCTATATCAAGATTTAGGTTAGAATACTTACCGTTTGCTTCCAGTAGACGCTTAGACAATATCTGAACTTACTTGTGTAGTTTTTTTTTTCCTTAGTAGTCCACAATGGCCCACGTTCCGATATCAGATCAGTCCAAGCACGACGCTCAAGTCGTCTCGGAACACCTCCCGCCTGGATATTCGGCCGAATTTGTTGGAGTAACCGGGAGTTCTGCTGGTGCATCGTCCTCGAGCCCGGACCCGACAGATCAAGAATTAGGCGAATCCTCGCTAAAGCTCCAGGGAGGTGACATACACCGAGACCTCTTCAAGACCGCTGCTCGGGCCAAGATGCATGAGCGGGTGCATAAGCGGGCTGCAACTTTCCACTACCCCCAAGATATTATAGAGGAAACCGGGCCCGACGGTTTGACCGTAAGCGACCAATTAGCTCCGGGAGGCTTCCGCAGAGCTTTCATACGGCAAACGAAGCAGCGCGATATGTGGGCTGCTAGGGTCCCTGTCACTAGGAATTTCGTTGAATTTTTGGAGCTGTACGGGAGCTTTGCTGGAGAAGATCTTGAGGATTCGGACGATGAGGCAATACTCTCCGAGGAAGAAAGAGAAGAAGAGGAAGAGCCAAGCGAGACGAGACCGCTTCTTGGGCGGCGGAGGGCTTCGCGTGCACAGCGCTCCGCTACCGCCAGCACCAAACAGACCTTCTTTACCCTATTAAAGGCTTTCATTGGGACCGGAATCATGTTTCTTCCCAAGGCCTTCAACAATGGTGGCATACTATTCTCCTCTTTGACCATGCTGGCTGTCTCCACCGTCACCATGTTGGCGTTCCACTTACTTCTCGCCTGTAAGGCAAAGTACGACGGTGGTTATGGAGAGATTGGCCATGCAGTAGCAGGAAAGTTCATGCGCGGATTGATATTATTCTCTATCACTATGTCGCAGCTGGGGTTCGTCTGTGCTGGCATGGTGTTTGTAGCCGAGAACATGTCCTCTTTTCTGAAGGCCGTTCTGCACGGCGACAGTCCGTTATCCCCCACGTCTTTAATTCTCATACAGCTCATCCTTCTCATACCCCTGGCGTTTATACGGAACATAGCGAAACTCGGTCCTGTTGCACTTCTTGCAGATGCTTGCATCTTGCTTGGTGTAACTTACATCTATTACTACGACATTGCACACCTTGCATCCAATGGCATTCATGAAAGTGTCGTCCTCTTCAACCCGGCGAAGTACACCTTAACTATCGGGGCAGCTATTTTCACATTTGAAGGCATCGGCCTCATTCTTCCAATCCAGTCATCTATGACCAAACCAGAGCGTTTCGAGTGGCTTCTTGGTACGGTTATGTTCATCGTCACAGTTCTCTTCACTGCTGTTGGCGCTCTCTGCTATGCTACCTTCGGCGAAAACACCGAAATTGAAATCATCAATAATTATCCCCAAGACAGCAAGTTTGTCAATGCGGTACAATTCCTCTACTCGCTCGCGGTCCTTGCTGGAACTCCCGTCCAGCTATTCCCCGCCATCCGTATCATCGAAGGTAGAATTTTTGGCTCTCACTCGGGTAGGAAGAGCGTCCGCACGAAGTGGATCAAGAATGCGTTCAGGATGTTAATGGTTCTTGGGTGCGGAGCGTTTTCGATAGTGGGTGCTTCTAACCTTGACAGGTTCGTCGCGTTGATCGGGTCCGTTGCTTGTGTCCCGTTGGTCTACATTTATCCAGCATATCTACATTATAAAGGCGTTGCAACATCGTGGGAAGCTAAGGTTGGAGATATCATATTTGTGGTAGTTGGAGTTGTTGCTATGCTCTACACAACCGTCATCACCGTCGTCAACAGCTTCATGAGCTGAGCGTCTGTTTATCGATCTACTGTTGGATATACACGGCCGGAAGCGAATATGAAAATGAAACTTGGACATTTATGCATAAGTCACAATTGGAGTTATTAACCTTTCTAAGTAGCGATCATACCTTGCATTGAAATCATAGATAGGTATTCTTATCAAAAATTCACTAAAGGACATTCGACATCGAGTACGCGAAAACGTGACGACTAGCTCTCAGCGTTACGTTCTAATACAGAAATAGGGATTTGTATTTGATCAACTTAGCAGCCTGTGACTATCTTACAGATAATACTTACTATTTAATTAATTCTAGATAGTATCCCTCATTTACTTTGAATAGGTTCCAGGCCGACCCATTTATCGCTTTTAAAACCACCACATGTCGGTTTAATCCAACAAGGCCACATTGGCGAATAAGTTGAGATGCTAACTCGCGTTGGTCATGTCATGGCTACAGTTAAAGTAACACCGCGCATAGTAATATCGACCTTAGATAAAGGCTTGACTTCTAATATTATTTTAAATGAATGGGCGTGGCCGTCTAAAATTGATAAACCTCGTCTTTCTTACCAAAATTTCATTTATGGGTTATAACTTTGCGATTGAATTCGATCATATCTCTAATTTATTTACTCGGAAGCTTGGCATGATATTTCTTGAAATTTGTAGTATGGAATGACTCGACAACGACAAAGCGTATACCAAAACTATGACTCCATCCACTAACCGTTTCCGGCGTCGCTCGAATCAAGCCACGATCTCGAAGCGCAAGTCCCAACTTCTAGTTCGGGTCTTCACCCATGTAGTTCTCCTTCTTTCTCTTCCCAAGGAACATAGCTTTCAGCTCGTCGCGGAATCGGGTCGGGGTCTCAATCTGCGAAGCCTCGTAAGCATCGATGGCCGGCTTCTCCCAGATGAGATCGGCCTGCGCGGGAGAGACGAATTTTGTACGTCGGAAAATCTTCCAACCAAAAAATGTGCAGAAAGACACGATAGCCATTGTGTAGAAAGCAAAAAAGTTGCCGACGTCCCAGTGTCCAGGTAAGAACACCGAGTAACCAAAAGTGGCCTCGATGATAATCATCCACACCAAACCAATGTAACCACAGTATGGCTGGAAATAGCCGTAGTACGGTAGCGTGCGGCGATCAATGCCCTGCGCTTTAGTCGCATTGTAGAAAAAGATGTACGTCAAGCTCATGACAATGTAATTGATCATCTGCGAGCCCTGTGTAAGAGTAGCAAGCCACGTCACTACTTGCGCCGTGTTGTTTGACAGTTGTAGGAACGACAAGAAGGGGAAGACCATTACAAGCGCAAAAGCGTAGACCGGGATACCGTTCTTAAGTGTCTTCTTGAAGATTTTAGGCGCCTGGCCGTCGCAAGCGAGGCCGTATAAGGATCGCATCGCGCAGTATGTGTAGGCATTTCCAGCGCTAAAAATACTGGTGATCATGAGAGCGTTAATGATGTTGGGAAGTATTCCAACTCCAAGGTTCTGCATTGCGATGACGTAGGGTGAGCCGTTAGCGGTTCCCGTATCCGCATTCTTCAGCACACTATCGTTGTACGGGAGGACGATACCGACGCAGAGCGCACCGCCGATGAAGAAGATGGCGAATCGCCAGTAGACGGTCTTGAATCCGTTCTTGAGATACGTCCGCGGGCGCTCTGCTTCTCCAGCGACCATGGCAAGGTACTCGGGTCCAACGACAGTGAAACCTGCAGAGAAGACAGCGCCAAGCAAACCTTCAAATCGACCTAGTACGCCCTCGTGAATATACTCGGCGAAAGATCCTGGATCTGACCAATACCGAAAACCGTAAGCATCGTGTTTGGGGTTACCCCCACACATCGTGACTAGAGTGAACGTGTACAGGATGCAGATAAGCAGGATCTTGCCGCTGGATAGCCAGAACTCGGCCTCGCTAAACGATCTAGATTAGCAAAGATAGGTACTAATCACGATAAATAATTGGTCTGAGCGGTTGCGGGGTCGTGGAGTATAAATCTACGATATGCTAGACGATATGCTAGGGTTGTTGGGCTGGAGTCAATGCACGTACCCGAAATATTGCACGGCCAAAATGTTGATAGCGCTATCGTTCCATGTTAATTAATATGTCATCCAATGCTGTAATAGCCAGGAGTTTAAAGGAGGGTTACATACGCATAAAGTACAATGCATGCTATACATATGGCTACCGGGGGGATATCGTCCCTCCAATATCCAAGCACCAAGTTGATAGCAGATATCTCGAAGGGAATGAGACAGGCTTCGTAGAGGAAGAAGTTCCACCCTGCCATGAATCCCAAAGCCTCATCGACCCATCTGCCGGCCATTCGAATAAAAGATCCAGACACAGGCATATAGGTAACCATCTCGGCCATGGAGTTGTTCACCATACCAACCATGATAGCATAGACAGTGTACCCGATAAGAAGGCTTCCTGGTCCACCCTTGGCAAGACCACCGCCGATACTCACAAAGAGAGCGGTACCAATACTGCCACCGATGGCAATCAATTGGATCTGACGGTTACCTAGATGGCGAAGGAGTTGGTTCTCAGTTGAAACTTCGACCAAAGTCTCGCGAACGTCACTATCTGAGCCTTCATTCTTCTCATCACTCATGGCTCTCTGGGACTGTGGTGCAGACACCGGTTGAGACTTGTCTTGTGCTGCCGCCATATTGAGAGCACGACAGTGAACTCCGCTGAGAGAGCGGAATGCTGGACAGAGTGTAAGAAGATTGTTGGAAGTGTAGTGGCCCCGATATCATTATAGTGCGCACGCGATGGCGTCTTCCTTTTTCCGCGGTCGGAAATATAACGATATAGTATGGGTGAAGCAACGAAATGCCCTACCTGATATCCAATTCCTCGGCGAGAGACTGGTGAATAAAGGTAAATAAAAAGAAAAGAAAAAAATTAGGAAAGGAATGAAGGTGATCGACCAAGTTTAGTTTTGTAGAGTACCTGTATTACAGCGTCCAGGTACCTGTTGTAAAGTACCTATTTCCCATGACCGTACGGCGTATGGTAGTACAGTAACCTTAACCCGGCCTATGTCATCATGGCTTACAGGGGCTTTATAACAAAGGTGGGGGAAATGAGCCGCTATCGCCCCTCTCCGACAAGGGGCCTGATTGTCGGATCAGTGGGGGGTACACCGCTGTTCGCGTGATGGTCAGCCGGATCGGCTCAGCGCCGAAGCGCCGGGCAATGTGGTTGCTATCAGTCGGGAATCAATTAATTGTATAATGTTGCAATGTTTCGTCTGCCGGGTTTGTGTCTTTGCGTCGTTGCGATCGAGTATCTAGCGACATTGTTGCGACTAAGACCACCGGGATCCCGGTTTAGGTATAGGTCTTTGATAAAAATGTACATTGTACCATGCATTCTATTACAGGTACATAATGCATGTCATTCACACCGTGGTCCCGCCAAGGTTAGATACGACGCAGGCGAGGGGCAAAGGAAAATTAAATTTGCCCACTTAACATGCAGTATACTTGCTAAGTATTAGGTATTCCTCTCTTATTCGTCTAGTCATGCTAGGCTCTGGGCCAAGTCCTGCCAAGAAACCAATCAACTCTCTTTAGAATACGTATACACAGGATCCCCAGTAGTATTCAAGGGTTCAGCTCCGCCAGATTTCTCCAGGGTCTGTGAGCTGGGATGCACGATGCCGTAATTGTACCTGGAGTAGATAAGAGAGACCAGCCCTTCTGAAGAAACTCGCCAACGGACCGCTGTTAAGAAATTCCATTGACGCAAACATTGAATTCTTTCTATATGGTTATTAATATGCCTAACTTTGGTATAAACCTATCGTAGATTAAGTTTAGGTTAAATAGGGGGTAGGTATAAAAATATTATTAAACGCGATAAATACCTAGGTAAGCTAATATAACAGCATGTCTTCTTTAAGTACTTACCTATATAAGTATTTACTGGATTACAACCCAATCATTTCGAAGTTATAACTGTATTTATCCAGCTTAGGAGAATACTTTACTTAGCTGAACCCCTCCAGCGCTGATCAGAAGCGAAGTGGCACGTGTGCATGTTGTTTCAAGCGCTGATCTTACCCGACTTGTATCTTGACGGCCGATCCTCGACTTTACCGAGCCTTCAACGGTTCTCGGTCCGAGATATTGCGAGTGCCGTTTGTGTTGAATGTTGTCGTGTCAGTCGACTAAAGGTGCAACTATAACTTGGCGGCTGAAAAGAAAACGAGGTGGAATCATATACCACATCATTGGGTTTCACCGACCGGATTGTTTTCTCGATTTTCTTGTCCACCGGCGCCGAGCTTTAAGATTAAATGCCCTATAGACGGCTAGTTATAAGACGACCGGGGAAACGGCAGGAACGGCAAGAAACGGCATACATTATTGGGTAAACTTTCGGGGCAACAGCGGCCATTCAGGCCATTACAGAGGCGCATGCAGAAGACTGACTTTTAGCGTCGCAAACTTTTAGGGCTGAGCGGCGCTAGAAACCGTCCCTCGTCCGACGGCGCGGGAATTATACCCACATAGAGGTTAGAAGACTTCCAATCAGGTTTCTTAAATTACTGATGTACATAGATATTTGCTAATAGGTACACCGGCCAAGCAGCTACCGAATGTGATTTGTTATGTACCAAAATACATCTAATTAAATAAAGCGCATTGAATAGGTACGGATAAGAAATCAACTAATTGTAGCGAGTAAAGATGTTGGATTTCTAGCTGTTTCATATGAGCAGAAAGCCACATGCGAGATTCCGGAATGTACTTGGACTTTCTCATCTAACATCATTAAACCGAATTTCTTACAACAAAGCTTCAAAACATATGGCGTGTAAAAGCAGCAGGCATTTAACTTATGTTACTGCCACGGTAACTAGGCGGTTCAATACCCCTTATCCATCTCCTAGGTAGGTAGACATGTAACCAACTACTGGCTATAAGAAAGTCACAAAGGGGGTGGGCGTCTTAAATATATCATATACGCCTAATAAATTGTCAATAGTAAATTGTTAGTTAATATAAAGTATTCTTAAACCCCGTACTTCGAAGCAATGGATACCGTTTTAAAGGACCGCATCGAAATCATGTATTACACATGTAAAAGATATGTCATTCTAATTTTTCAATAATAGTATATTACTACTATGTTAAATGTTTTCTTATATTAATTGTCTTTCCTCATTTGTATGGCGATTCTATTATACATTCGTCCGGTTTAAATTTAATAGCTCTTACCAACACCACTATTTAGGTAGCCATAAGAGATCGTCACGTCAATATTATCCGTATGATAACTCATCTTAATGAATCCAAACACCTTAGGAGAAGAAATAATACAGTGAATAGCATAAAGAGGTAGCTACTAATATCATACTGCATTTCAATCCATCTCCTTTCATTATTGTGCAATTGATATTCGTGAAATTCCAGGGTACATAATTAGCTAGGTAGGTGTACCTGCCTCTACGCTGTTGAGCCTCATTCTATTTATAGCCATCTAACACGTCGATATCAAAGTCTCAACATTATAGATAGATAAAACTTTCAATGTCTCGGTAATATACTCTAATTATCATTGACAATCGAGAACCAATCAAATACGGGATCCACCCGAAGGGCGCTGGTATCACAAGCTGAAGCCCGCCTTGGCTCTCCGTGCTCGCTTCAGAACGGACGTCTATAGAATCTTCCTTGTAAACAGGTGCCTATATTTAACCTCACCATCAACTGGTATTATAAAAGTCTTAGCATCAAACAACTTCGGTTCACTATTTAAAACCTAACATCTAAGCCTCATTTGCAATTGTGTTACTTAATACTGTTCTCGCATCTCCACGATGATATCTACAAGAGGAAAAGGTTGGGCGAATTTCTACTTCGCCCACGGCAACTTAAACAACTACCATGCCTCGAACAATCCAACCGGACCTGTGAACTTCTTGTTTGCCGAAAACGTAAGTCGGTGACGGGTAGATTCTTTCTATAGCAGAAGTACTGATACAGCGTCTCTAGTGGCTTGTGCATCAAGACTTGATCGAGTTCATCAATACTCATGTATGACGCATGCCTATTAAACCTTCAACTAAATATTTCTAAGACTTCGGTGCCCAGAACCAATTCGATCCGCAACTATGCGCATATGGCGAAGGATATACCGGTACGGTACGGCTGCGAGCCGCCATGGCAAAACACTTGAACGCGCACTTCAAACCAGCCCACAAAATCGATCCGGAGGAAATCACTTTCGCGGCTGGGGTAACGGCTTTGAACGAAGCCAGTGCACTACTCACCTGTAACCCAGATAACCAGGAGGGTATCCTGCTTGGCGGGCCTGTCTATGGAGCCTTCCATAGAGACTTGACCATGAGAACTGGGTAGGTACCATTTCTACAATTATCTCACCTCCAATTCTGACACCTATGCTTTTGAAGCGCAATTCTAGAGTACGTAGATGTTGGGGACACAGAACAATTCTCCCCAGATTGCGTCGCTGCCTATGAGGCAGGCTTTGAAGCCGCGAAAACACGCGGCGTTAATATCAAAGCGCTGTTCATCTGTAACCCTCATAATCCCACAGGTAGGCGATAAGCATGGTTTCTAAACAATAACATATAGCTCATATCTTGTGTAGGACGATGTTATTCTCGTGAGACACTAGGTGGGCTTATGCGTTTATGTGCATCAAAAGGAATTCATTTGATAAGCGATGAAATATACGCCCTCTCGGTCTTCCGTCGAAATGACGGTCCATCTGAGGAATTCACTTCTGTACTGTCCATCGACCCGAGTGGGATTATTGATCCTGCTCAGGTGCATGTGCTTTACGGCATGACGAAAGTAAGTATATATACATCTTTCGCTTTCGACATGGCATAGTTCTGACGTTACGGCTAGGACTTTGGCGCTGCTGGAATGCGACTAGGCTGCCTTGTATCTCGAAACAAGGAATTCACTAAAGCAGCTCGAGCTATATGGTATGGTATCATCATTCACAAACCCTGACATGTTGTGCTTATGTCGACACTAGTTGTTTCTCCTCGCCCTCCCAATTTTCAATGGACCTCGCCGCCAAGTTTCTCGATGATCAAGCGTATGTGACGAAATTCCTCGAGAAGTCGCAAAAGTTATTACTTCAGAATCGCTTGATAGCCGAAGACCTCCTTAATCAGGCAGGTGTCGGTTTTCATAAGAAGGGGTATGTGAAATTGTAGTCCAAGTCTAGAATTCAAAATAGCTTCATTAGTCTAACAAGGACTTAGGAATGCCGGTCTTTTTATATGGCTTGACTTAACCCCCTTCTTACCACTAGGGGAGACTAATGGGGATGGATGGGAAGCTGAAAAATTACTTTCTCAACGTTTTGAGAAGGCAGGCGTTACAATGTCAACAGGGGGGCAGTACCACGCTCCGAAGCCTGGTAGATTCCGCCTCGTGTATTCCTTCCCAGAGGATGCTCTTCGAGAAGGCATTAGGAGGTTTGTGTTCATTTTTCATTCATCACAAGTATGGCCTGCAGCTTATACTAACAATAGTACAGGATATTGCTTGTCCTAAAGCAATAATATGATTGTTCGCTGTCAACGGCCTCCGTCTCGGGCTTTGTTACACTAAGGGTAAGGAAATATAGGTGCTAAAAGAAACCAAACCCATTGTGGTCAAGTACAATGCTCTTGTCTACCTGGACAGGCCTCTACAATTAGTGATATAAATACGTTGATTCTATCAGGGTGCTATTAAACGAACATATTCTGCAAGATAATCTACACTACCAACTAATCGACTTTGGGTTCTCGCACTTTACTGCTCCATCTTTGTTCAAAATCGCAGCGTATTAATACTTGATACTACTTAAACTATTTCTCTCAGAACAGACGCTATGGCTAATAGGCAGCTTATAGACGGTCTAGGTCTAAACTGGTCGACAAGCCAGAGAGATGAGTTCCTTGCCAAGATTAAGATAGTTGAGCTACCAAAACTTGAGTCGCCACACCCGCCAACTGAGCTTTTCTCCGCGGGAATTCCCGAGGAAAGACACCAATGGCAGGGGTCTTGGAAAGATAAGTCACTAAGGGACCCTTGGTATAATGAAGGATTGTGCCGGGAAACCGTGGACCTCGACTCTCATCTTAAGTATATCGTACCGCAAGAGGAGAGCGTTATATTCCGCGACATTGAAACCAAAGAAACCGTTCTTGTAGTTCTTCGTGACTTCATACCTGACGAAGACCTTCGAAAGGTAATGATGAGAGTGTGCCGGGAAATTGTCAAGAGTCATCAGGATGGTAAGCGCGAGGACCCAGGGATGCTCTGCCACGTTGGCTATACTTGTAGCCCACAAAATGATTCCCAGGTTCGACTGGCTGCGTCTTGTATAAAGTTGAATACGGATGAGGAAATAACCGATGAGACCGAGCTGAATAATGCGGCACAGGGCGTGGCTGGAATGGTGTGGAACTTGATGAAGTCTCAGTTCCCCCCTGAGATCACTGCCAAGTACAATGATACTATTCACGATAACGAGTTCCCTCGGATGGAAATCAGGAAGGACGACGAAACCTTCACGTTTAAGGTAGGTGGCGAAGACGTCACGTTCGACACAGGTGAGGACGGTTTAGAACTACCCTCGCCATCGGGAATGGCGGCTGTTTATTATGCGCGGCATACACATACAGAGGTGAACGGTAACTCTTGGATTGTCTCTTGCACCGTCAATGCCCCTGGCGATACTACCACCGGGGGTAATTTTTATCTAGCATCGTATGGCATTATGGTGCTTCCTACTACCAACACAGCAAGTGCATGGCGTCCTTGGGACTATTACGGTACGTCGCTTTACGAGAAGGAGTCGGGCCCTGAAGATCGAGCGGGGTTTGAAGTTTGTAAGGACGAGGGTTTAGACACGGACATGGTATTCGAAATCTTGAAATCGCTCAAGGCGGCTCGGAAGAGGTCTAATTGGCTTGAAGATAGCCGTAAATGGAAGGTAACGAAGGCGACCTCGTCGAAAGCTAGATCGCAAAAGGTGCATTCGCCGAAGTCAGGTTTATTAGAGACTACGACAGAACCCGCGTCGCCCCGGTATACATTACGTCCGAGAACTACGAAGCCTAACTACTGTGTCGACTCGGAATCATTTACAGATTCAGAAGCTTCTGACTCCGAATCTGAATTCGAATCTGAACCGACAATCCAAACGACCACAATCAGAATAATTGATGATACTAACTGTCGTAAGTATTATACAGTTAACATTCTCCCACCCCCTGATGTAAACCCCCAACCTGCCTGGAATTAAGCAAGCGACCGATCTGAGTAGACAAGTTTATAATTTAGTAAAAGTAAATTTGCAGTACTATAACGAGTTTAGTTCTTAGGGATGACATCAACTAATAAACAAGAAAAGAAAATTAAAGAGTTCTTAATTGGGTACCCGATACTGTTTTAGCTTCTAAGGAGCAATGTGATCCAAATGAAAAATAGAAATACTAGTAATAGTAAGGATATAAGGAATAAATAAGAATAGGGGTTGAATCATTGTTAGCTAAATCCTAGATTTTCTGTAAGATCAACAATGTGGCATAATTCTAAATTACAAGAGATTAAAACAATGAAATATATAATAACTCTCATTTTATTAGATGTTAATGGATAGAATCTGTCAAACGAATCCTGCGTAATCACGTGGTTTTTAGCTATTCTAATTGTTCTAATGTAAATTCATGATTTTATGAAAACTTCACCCTTACTATCCCATCCATCCATGTGCCAAATAATTCTACCGAACCTCTCCCCGGTAACCATCTCAAATTGAAGCACCCAAGCCGAAGTGCTGTAGTGGAACAACCCGCGACGAATGCGATCGTCTGATGTTGGTAGGAATATAAAGCTGTCGTAATGGTAGTGAGGAAGCGTATTATGCTAGCTGGCAAGGGCCTTTTACCCTGGCTATGGGATATAAAACCCGACCAGGTGAATTCTAAAGCAAACGAACCTTGCCCGGGAGGCCAGGACTTCGAATGGAATTGGGAACTCCTCGTCCGGCAGTGAAGTCGTGGCGTGGATAGGGGCATTCGCCTCGATGTTCCAAACCATATTGATATCTTTACATCCAGCTCCAGTCGCGAAGAAGAGTTCCAATACAATGAAGACATATGGACCTGTACTGGTTACCACAGTGTCCTAAAACATGTACCTAGAGGTCTACATAATCGTCGGTGTATATGGCAACTCTTGGAGGAGATATTTGTTGGCGATCAACTTCCAATAGCGGGAACGCAATGGCGACGGCCGAAATACGTACCGGCCAGAGAAAAATGCGTCGAGTTGCCATGGACCAAAGAGGGAAACCTTAGAGATACTGCAATATGGCTTCCATCAATAAACTGGGATGGCTCCTACGCCCGCAGGATCGGTGGTGAGGTATATAGGATACCCGAACGAAGTCCATTGCAGTACTGGCAAATAAGGGAGCATATGGCGCGAACGGCAGGGCATGGGAAGAACCGGCCGAACCAGCGTCTGCTATTGAAATCTTGGAAGTGATTCGCAAGCTCGGATATCCTTTATGGGTAAGACAAGATGAACAGTTCAATATAACATATTAAAGCAGTACTTCGCATATAGGCTATTCCTTAATCGTTAATAGATAGCCTTTGGCGGAAGTAGGGGTCAGTAAAATCCGAGTTGCAGAGTGAATGGCCTATTATTATGCTGGAAACTGTTGAGCTTGCCACATCCTAAAGTGTCAAATAGGGAATCTCTGGTATTGTATGCTTTCCAAAGCTGTTGCTCGCGTTTCTAGGTTAATTTCTTCAGATATTGTGCCCCTTCTATCCACTGTATTGTATGTAATATTCATAGCACTCTAATGCCAGCAAAGACAGCGATTGCGGTAAGGTACAAAGCTGCGCTCATTAAATAAGGCATACCTAGAACGCCTGCCGCAATACCTTGAACCCATAATGTTGCCATTAAAGGTGCCCCTACCAGAGAACCGAGAGTTTTCACCATCATGACGATAGAGAATATGTGCGCTTCTGGATCGGTTGGGTTTACCGGCTGATCTTCATCCTTTGGCGACACCGATCGAGATTTCAACAAGCCCATGGTAAAGACGGGTAACGCGGATCCGAGTGCGTACAATAGAAGAGATGGAAATAAGAGCCAAATTGTAACGGCTGAAGCAATGGCCAATGCACCCAGGACGGAGACGACTAAACAGATTCGGGCATAGCGAATATTGTCTCTGTCGGAAAGAGACTGAGATTGGGGCTGATTAACAGAGGCTTTGGACCTCAGAATGCCTGGGATCACAAAGGTAAGAAGTGTAAAATTTAGGATAGCCTTCGCGGATAAGAGGTATCCAGCTTTAGCAAAATCCCAATCGTATCGCTTTGATATGTATTGGGGTAAGAGCTTGGTATCGGAGCTTGCAAGGGAAGTGAGAAAAAAGCTAACTAGCAAAAGAATGAGGTTCATTGGGTGACTTTTAACAATATAATAGAGAGTACGAATGCGCTGAACAGCGGGTTTTAGGATGGATGGATCTGTTTCTTGAGCCTTCAATATGGGTGACGATATGAGAGGCTGCCGTTGCTCATCTTCCGATGCCGTTGGGATATGCGCCGGGTCCACCAGGAATGATACTGTGGGAATGGCCAACAGTAATAGGCAGATACCGATTAAAAATGGTAGGAATAGATTCAAGGTCATAGTTGCGCCAGCAAGTCCGGGGCCAACAAATGTGACTACATATGATACAGCGTTAATCCAGCTGAAATAAGTTGCCCTATATTCCTATTATCAGTACTTCGGCGGGGGTCCATATATCCGTAGAACTCGTACCTAGCGACATTGTCTTCTGTTAAACTAGCTGCAAGAGCATATATGATGGAATTGAAAACGCAGTCACCGCCGAAGACGGAAAGACTTGGGCCAGCAACGATGGCTTTTAGAGGCAAGCTCTCTTCGAAATAGCCGACTACAACGGCCCAGGCAAGCATAAAGAGCCTCGGTATAAGGTTGAGCCAGAGGACGGTCCTTCGGCCGTACTTCTCAGCTACGAACCCCAAAGGAATAGTCATAATAAAGTCTGTTTTATGTGTTAGTCGTTTAAACTGAAGCGATCTACCAATCTACCGTATTTAACTCGCCTCCGACAATCCACAAAGTTTCCATAGTCCCAGTTGTCCAAGCTAGGCTCTGTTGGATAGCATTCTTCTTACAATGCTTTTCGCTGATGTTTCCATCAGGATCGATGATAGAGGGATCGTGAATGATATAGTATTCCCGACAGAGACGCTTCTCGATGACCCGATTTAGCGGTAGTTGATAAAGAGTAGTCCCGAGATTGACCAATAGCAACAAAACCAGAAGCGGCACGATAGACGGCTTTGGATACGCGCGACGACGCGTCTCTGATATTGGGGCGCCTAGATCGCCATTTATGGAATCCATATTACCGATCTCATCAATCAGAATGTAGTAGATAGAGGCAAAGGTAGAGAGGTGAGTACCTAGTTGACAACAGCAACATTAGATGTTATCACGAAGAGTACCGAAGACGAAGAGCACGTGGGGGTTTTTGAGGTCAGCCGATAAGGGGAATTCGAGTTCGTAAAGATTATGGTTAAATGATATTTAGTCGAATCTAACCGTATAATAATATATTATTAAATTAAGCGGCATACCGAAATATTCGGAATATTTAAAAACATCCATGCGCAAACGACAGTCTATCCCATCTAACGTTAGGTACCTACCTTTTATATCCTTCTATTTCGGCGTCTATGTATAGTCATATCATCATTATTTAGCCTATTTCTAGGCGATATTATGCTCTAATTCATACTTCTCGTCTGCTGTTAATTCGGCCGACGCTCGGCCGATCCTCGAAGTCGCGGCGCAGCATAAAGTGAAACCTGCCACCCCGACGCCCGTCCAGAACCCAACTTGATATTTTTCACGAAGATCAGGGTTCTCTACTGCATGAGACCGAGCCCAAGTCGAGATGGCTAGCTCCGAGACACCTAGCCAAAACGCCATACCGAGATATCCGAGACTCGTGATGAGCCCAGCAGCAGTAGCTTGATGACGTTGGGCCATAGATGTTGTGACGAAGACGTTGGTCACATTGTATGTAATGTCGATACCAATGGTACCACATATCATCGAAGGAAATATGTAAGACCAATAAAGATGACTGGTTGACATCCCACTTGATCCGTCTTGCGCAGGTATGAGAGGGAATAGCAATACACAGAGCACATAGCCCATACCAGAAACGATCAGCAAGATATGTCCCGAAAGTATGTGTAAAACAAACCCTCCCGTAATTGCGAGTATGAAGCCACCTAGAGCCAGTGGTATAAACCACACGGCAGTCTGTATGGGGGTTGCGTCAAGAACTTCCTCGATACTGATTCGGATGATTAGTATGTACCAATGGAATAGATAGTCTGTAATAACTTACTAAAAGCTAGCATAGAACAAGAAAATCGAAAACACTCCGAACCCGCAGAATATGAAGGCAGAGATACGCTTCATATATTTTGGTCGGAATATGTCAGCTGGAAGTAACGGCTGCGCCGAAACCCAGCCTTGAACGTACACCGCAGCGCAGAGCAAGAGGGCGCCCACTATGAAGGTTACGTAGATATAAGGCGTACGCCAGCTATCCGGCGCATTTCCGCCATCCGTAAGCGCGTAGACGACAAGTGCTAATCCTGGTACAATTGTACACACTCCCCACCAATCCATACGCACGTCCGGGTCATTATGGCCAAGGTTTCGGGGAATGGTGAAGAAGCCGGTAACGATGACAGCGAATACGAACACAGAGCCGACCCAAAAGTAGACGGTCCAGTCAGCTAGCTGTCCGGTAAGGGCACCTATAATGATACCGAAATAGAACCCTACACAGGCGGATGCACCATACAAGCTGAAGACAAGATTTTTGCGTGGACCGGGTCGATACGTCTGGCCAAGGAGAGCAAGACCCGCTGGAAGAAACGCAGAAGCGCCTATGCCCTGCATCGCACGGCTTACTATTAGCATAGTAGCGTTTTTGCTAAAGCCACAGACGATAGACCAGATCAGGAGCCAGATGTGGCCGCCTAAAAACACACTCCTGCCACCGTACATAGCACAAAGTCGAGCAAACGGCAGAAGTAGGGCGGCAGTGGTTAAGTTTATCACTCCAGCCGGCCATGTTCGTTGTGACTCCGGGATATCTAAGGCGTTGGCTAATGCGGGCAAGACGATATTGAAGCCGCTGATAAAGTACTCGCTCATACATAGCGATGCGACCACGGCGAAAACGAAGCCGGCCTCGGCGGCCCAATTGGCAAGAGTTTCTGGTCGCTGACGACCGAGACGCTCGATATCGACTTTGCTCAAGGCTTCGCAGTTCCCATCTTCAGGGGTCTCGGGGGTCGAATCGAATATCCCATTATTAAACTCTGTTGATTCGGCCATAGCGTATCATACTCTATCGAGGACAACGGTTGCACTGGATTAGGTTGACCGATATTGAGCGGGTTAAAAGCAACAAGTTAGGGAGGGAATCAGGGAATCTCTTGAACTGATTCCACCGAATGCCATTGCTAAATACTAGCAGAAGAGACATTTTAAGTGTTTATGTAGCGGTCACCAAAGGAAAGACTTAGAAAAGATCCAGTCACCGTCTTGTTAGTGTGATAAAAAGTCACGTCGAACCTGCGGGAGGTGAATCTTGGCCACCATATTGGGAACCCCTATCAAATTATGCAATCGAAGATGTGGATGTTAACAAGAACGCCGGGTTCCATTTCCGGGGTATTGAAACTTGTGATTGGTTGATATTAGTAAAGCGGAAACTAAGGAGAATATTATACTGGACCCAACGATGCACAACTTGAGTCTTGGCTACCCTTTAGGGCATAGGCAGATAGGTTAAACAAATTGTACATGATGCTAAAGCTTAAACGTCGCCCCGTTGACTCCACTTGCTAAATGACTTTTTACAAATTATGTTGTAATAAAATATCCAAATAATATTCTTCATTGGCCAAACATCGTCGGTTTCTTATTCGCTTTATTACATAACTCCGGAAAGTCATCAAGGGTCCATTTTCAGATCTCTGATTTCTCAGCAAGACGGTGTCAGACGCCAAGCACATACATGTGAGTTGACAAGATCAAGGGGAGACTGTTATTCAAGACCGCACTTAGACCTTGAAGCAAACCACAGATCCCCGTCAGATCTAATACCCTTGATCTGGTAGCACCCGTTATTCATTCAAACAATCACTATTACTTTAGGTACCGTCACTCACGTCTCTTTTACGGCTTCGGCGCCTAATCATACCTCATGGTTGTGCCAAAGGCTTGCCATAACTGCCGGAGCCGACGCTTACGATGTGACCGATCTGTCCCCGTGTGCCATAAATGTACGAGCACCGGACAAAAATGCCTTGGATACGGAAAGCTGTATAAATGGGTTGACAATAAGACGCCGGGAGACCGAATATCCGCAAAGTCTTCGGTCTACTCCACCCCTAAAACTCGGGAGCATGTCAAGTTCCAACCGGACGATCCGGCATACGATGACCAATATGTGGTATTCCCTCAACATACTAGACTCTGTTCTCCCAATTTCACATTGTTAGATCCACTGTTCCAAGACTTAAACACATCATCACGACATTATCTTAATTATTGTAAGTCTCATTCCAACTTATGTATATAACCCCACTGCTGTTCACCGCCAGCCTAACAATATCTAGACACTACCCGTTTCTGTCAAGATCTCATTATTTATGATTCGCCCCGTCGTGGTGCCAATCCATTTAGAGATCTAATTCCCATATCTCACAAGTATCCCTTTCTTCGGGAAATCATCATTGCGGCATCCGCCTTACACTTCTGCAATGCTGCACGATGGCACAAAAGCCCGCGGCCCGCAGCCGACTCCCTAGTAGATGCCTTACATGCGCGGCATAGAGCTATTAAATCCTTACAAGATGTCATAGAGCATCGTAAGGCTTTTGGCGACATTCAGAACGATGATGCAGGTAGAGACGCACTGCTCGCTGCTGTGCTCTTTTTCGTCAACTTTGCGCTGGTTGATTCGGGGAAGGGTGGCTGGCGAGCTCACATGAACTTCGTCGGTACACTCCTTCGCATGCGGACATCTAGTCCTTCAAACCCAATAGAATTAGGACCAAAGCTAGAAGAAGATCCTGGCTTTAGTCCAGATTTTACGGCGTATGATGCGCTTATTCCGCTACCATTCGTGCATCGTCCTGCGACGTCCTCCCAGCCCCTAAGCATTCGTGATTACATTGCTTCAGACTCTATAGCTTATTATATCTGGAGTAGTGCACTTGACTCTCTTGTACCATCTAACAATAACTTCGTAACGGTACCCTCGGCATTTGATGGGGATGATATTGAAATCTTTCGTATCCTTCTCCGCACCGAGGCCAACAGTTATCATAGCTGCCCTTCCAGTTTGCTGTACGCCATTTATCGAACATCGCAGCTAGCAAGGAATATCAGATCAAACGAGACCAGTGTTTTGAGTGACAAGCAGATGCAATCTTGTCTTTCACTTTTAGATCAGGTTCAAGCTTTCGATAGCGACGCTTGGGCTGTTAAAGTATGTGCGCAGATTGCAGCAGTTGTCGGTTATGCAGACGAGACTGAGCTACACCATCGAAGACACATCGCTGCTACTTACCGCGCTGCTGTCTTCCTATATATCCTCTTAGTTGCTCCAGAACTACCACACCAAAGTCCCCACCGCGAGGGTAAAAGCTTTCCCGCCCTGTCTAGTACCGCTGACCTAGCTACTACAATTCTGCATCACCTTTCCTTCGTCCCATCCCATACTCCTCTATTTAAATTCGCTACCTGGCCTATATTCCTTACCGGTGTGGAAACGGCGGATGAGTCTCGTAGGACATGGGTGATCGATCGACTACGTGATATGAGGGACGTCTGTCCTTGGGGGATGCTTACATCGACGATGGAAACTCTTGTGGAAATATGGCGGATGAGAGATAGTTCATTAGCGACTAGGGGGTTAGTGACAGATGAATGTGCTCTAGGCGGGAAGTTCATCAGCACACTGGATCAAAATGTCAATAGCCACTGGCTAATGCAACTACAAGGCTTCAAGATCGATTGCTTGATTGTATGAAGTCGGATGCTCGCGCTCAGTGGTATAAGCGCCGAGTTGGGGTTATGACTTCTTACCCCTTACGAGGCATGGGTATAGAACAGATGTTCTACTATGATCCAGATAGCCAGTCAGCCTTTGGAACTCGTCATGACACTAATACACGAGAGCCTTATATGTAATAGTAAGGATGTATAGATCAGTTTAGTTCTGCTATGCGCTTTCTCACAAGCACGAGGCCATATCTCCTCGGGGAGCTCCGAATTCTCTTGAATTTTGCAGCTTAACTCCTTAGCCTTTCCGTTGAAACTTCTACACAGCGATCTATGCTTGACGGTAGTCTCCCCAGTTGTTGACAGAAGCTTAAGTCTTTAGGGTAGCCACATAGCCGTCAGTTAAGCACGGCGCCAAGCATTTACATTTCCTTGGCATTGGCTTCATTGTGCTTAGCTGCTTCTTATCACAGCCTTCATTTTCTCTCGCTAAAGTTGAGGATGAATATAGAATGGTGTATTGGAGTTGAGAGCATAATTATATCTAATAATTCAAAAGTAGTAAGTTATTGGCATGTACAAGTAAAAGAGGTAAGCATCAAAGTTCAAAGTGATTCATTGTTAGGTAAATATATGGTGGTTACCGAAGGTCAATACAGTATCTTATCAAATTCGGCATTCATAATCATTGTCAAAAAAATAAGTCTCAAGCTACTATTTATTCTTAAGATTTAATCGTTTGCCATGTCCCCGTAATACGAAACATACCAATAAGTTGCGCTGTTGTTTCGTGCGTTTGCATCTTGCAGTTTTGGTGGGATGTTAGTGACGCCATTGACTCAAAAAGGCACCAATGAAAGACTGTATAAAGTCGAACTTGCTAAGAAACGGAAAAGGCTTGTCACACTCTAGAGTTTATGTAGAAGTGAAAAGTAGCTGTTACTATCTTGGCACTTGCACTACTGAAATGAGCTTTCACAAGCTTTATGCTAGCGGGCTTGTGATGCCAATCTTACCTCAGGTTGCTGGATATCCGGCATTCTCATTCCTGCGACTACACTTCTTTGACCTTTTTGCTCCGACGCCGACAACAGCTTTACTTCTGTAGAAATTGTTTCTTTCCGGTGGATTGTTAAACTATTACGTTGTAATTAGGCTATAGCTGCCCAGGTAATAGACCGGACGTCGCATCTTACGATGGCGAACAATCAAGAGCGCGGCGAGGCTGCTTCTTACTATTACAATACACAACAGCCGCCCAATCAGTACCAGCAACCTCAATATGCTCAGCAGGGACCCCCAGCTCCAGGTCCGAACCCAGTGAATGGTTATGGTAGCGAGAAGCCCATGTTTGAGCAAGCCTTCAAGGTTGAGCGTCCCAAGTACAATGACATCTGGGCCGGCATTCTCGTGTGTAACATTCTACCCCGAATGCCCAACGCATCTCTAATTATTACTTGCTAGTTCCTCATTGTTGTCGCGGGTTATGTTGCTGTCTCCGGGATTTCTATCAATGGCTACGGTTAGTGAATACCATGCTCTCGTGATACCTGCCGTTGCATTCCCTCTGGACTAATTAGACCATAGCTTCCGCGAAACATTTCCAAGGCGATGGCATCTATGACTCTGGGTCAAACGTCGGTCTTAATACGAATACGCTTATTCTGTTTGTCTTTTGCCTTTGTGTCGCCACCGTCTTCAGTTACCTATACGTACTGCTAGCCCGCCAATTCCCCAAGCAGTTCATCTGGATAACGTAAGTATCAGCTCTTGAAGCTTCAAAAAGGGATATGAAACTAACGCGGGTAAATATAGTGGTATTCTCAATATCGTCTTCGGCCTCGTGACCGCCATATACATGCTTTCCCGGCACTACTACTCCGGCGGCATCGTATATCTGATGTTCGTAGCCTTCCTCATCTTCGCCTTTATCGTAAGTTAACCGTCGCTACTCTTAACTCTATTTTACTTATCGGTTGATGTAGACTTGGATCCCGCGTATTCCGTTCAGCGCTCTGATGCTCAAGACGGCTGTTGATGTCTCCAAGAGCTACGGCCATGTTTATCTAGTTAGCGCATTGGGTGGTCTTTGCGCGACTGCTCTCGCCGCATGGTACTCTGTGACCTTCGTCGCCGTGTATGCAAAGTTTTCGCCCGGTCAAAACCCTGCTTGCGCAGAGGGAGCCGGAGGCTGCAGCACCGCCAAGGTCACTGGCCTGCTTGTTTTCATTACGTTTGCGATGTACTGGATTTCGGAGTGGCTAAAAAATACCATTCATACCACCATCTCGGGAGTTTACGGTTCTTGGTACTTTCACCCGTATAACCTCCCCAAAGGCGCAACCCGAGGCAGTCTTAAACGTGCACTTACATATAGCTTCGGTTCCATATCCCTAGGCTCCTTACTCGTCGCTATCCTCAATTTTCTAAGACAGCTTTGCTCTGTTGCTCGACAGAATGAGGCCGCTCAGGGCAACATTCTTGGAACTATCATGTTCTGCATTCTTGGATGTATTATTGGGATCCTTGACTGGGCGGTCCAGTTCCTCAATCGCTATGCTTTTTCTTATATCGCCTTGTACGGAAAGTCTTACTTCGCCTCTGCTAAGGATACCTGGAACATGATTAAGCAGCGCGGTATCGATGCTCTTATTAACGAATGTCTCATCGGTCCTGTCCTTTCGATGGGCGCGACATTCGTAGGCTATGCGACCAGCTTGCTCGCTTATCTATATCTTGTAAGATTTCCTCTCAAAAGTTAGCTCACGAGCTCTGCTCACACAGTATCAGGTATTCACGCATCCATCATACAATGCTGACGGCTCATACACACCTGGTAAGTCATACGGCTCATAACATTTATGTTACTGCGAATGCACATTGCTTTCATATGGCATCGCTCTTAATACATACTAACTTGGTATAAATAGTTGTGGTGGCTTTTGCGTTCCTCATTGGTCTGCAGATCTGCAACGTTTTCACTACGCCGATAAGCAGCGGTATCGACACGATATTCGTGGCGACGGCGTGGGAGCCGCAAGTGTTGATGCGGAATCATCCCGAGCTATATCAGTCGATGGTCCAAGTCTATCCTCAGGTCCAAGTAGCTATTCACGCTTAAGTGGTAGGATCGTGTATTAATGGTAATGGTAATTGTATAGTTTTGAGAGTGGATGGAAATTGAGAGTTTCATGATGAGCTTTTGAATTTGTAATGTTAATAATGTTTTGGTTTTCGCGTTTGCATGGCTGAAACCGCTCTTTCGGCTTAGCGTACCAACTATAAAGATCGGTGTTAGGGGCTTTTTAAGGGCTCCCGTTCATAAGAAAACAGGGGAAGGGAAGACTGTATCTTATTAAGGTACGATAAGTTGTTATGCGAATTAATCAAGCAGTCAAGCCAATCAAGCTTATACCTTCGCGAGTTACTACCCAAAGTACCTAAACAATAACAACATTAGCGAGATATGGATTTGGAGTTGGAGTACGGATCCGTAGGTTGGTCCAGGCTACAGGCCTAGTTTAGTTAGCCAATTGCGGCGTAGACGCAAGTACACCTATATGTAACCCAACAGCCCAGCCAACATCTTGTTAGGTGTTTGGAGGTTTAGGAGGTAGTTGGTTACCTAGTTTAAAGGAGAAACTTATTAGGCAGGATATTCACATGAATTCTTTAAACAAACCACTTCTTATATCTATCTCTAAGAATGTATAACTCTAGATATATATTGTCCAGAGTTTCTAGCATTGTTAAAAGAATCATCATCATCCCTAGATCAAGATTTACAAAACTGAGATTTACGCGAGCATCTCACAGCATGGCTACTAACAACCCATTCGCAGCGCTGTTAGACCCTCGTGATATAACGGCTAAGCTTGCTGTCATACAGCCGGCTGCTGATTGGGATGCTCCTATTAAACTCACTCTCACGGAGGCGGCGTTGAAAGATACTTCGTATGAATGTATATCCTATGATCGTTCGAGCGTCACGGCCGTGCCCACACGAAGGAGTGCCCCGCCACCGCCTCCTGCCGACAAAACGATGACCATCTCAATCGATGGACAGGATCAGGATATTCCCCATCACCTCGAAAGTGCGTTGCGTATGTTTAGACGCAAAGAGAGGCAGCGTACCATATGGGCTGACGTCCTTGTAAGCCGCACCGTCGAAGAGCGCAGTGCCCAAGCCGACGTGCAGCGGTTCGTGTTGGGAAACGCAGAGCGAACGTTATGTTGGCTAGGTCCAGACGATGGGGAATCTACAACTAAGGCTTTTGAAACTATTCATGAGATGGCGCGTCGCTTCTGGGAAGCCTGCCGGCACGTTGGAATTGGACCTGATATGAGGCTATCTCAAGCGACACCGCAGCAAATGACCGGAATCAAGGATCATCTTTTCAGCTGCCCCTATAACGACCTGGATTCCTTCAACTTTCGTCACTGGGGTAATATCTACGACATTTTCGGCTCGAAGTACTGGTGTTCTGTACAAGCCATAGCCGACATCGTGCTTGCGAAGGCACCTATCGTCGTGTGTGGCCGAAGCAACATTCCCTGGGATGCCTATATCGCCGCTACTCGTGCTATGGTCTATTTCCAGCTCAAGTTCTTCAAGGTCCCGTTCCTACCTCATGTTTTGAAGGGCTTCCAAATCTCCAACGAGATCGAGGTCGCTGCGCGTAAGAAGCGGTTGGGCGAGGCTGTCGAGTTGTTACCTATGATCCAGACTGCTCGAGATTGCGACTCCAAAGACCCGAGAGAAAACGTCTTTTCAATGCTGCATGTTGTAACGCCGTCCGCGCGCACTAGACATCATGGAGCTGGTGCCCAACCTTTACCAAAGATCGACCATTCCAAGACCGCACAGCAGGTATTCACCGAGGTTGCTCGTTATTCCATACTAGAACGTCAGGATTTTATGTTATGGTACAGCGAACGCCCACCATGTACAAAACGTTTAAAGGGACTACCGAGTTGGGTTCCCGACTTCAGCGCCCCGCCGCCTCAATGCACAAGCAACTCTTTCTTCAATCCCAATATGGGCATGCGTCTCTGGTGGGAGGCTGTCCCTCACCGCTTCAGGAAACCTATCACTGTATCCGCCGAAGACAATGCCGTGCATCTTCAAGTGCGACCGCTAGATCGCATCGTGCATGTCTCGCCCGTAGTATTCAACGGGGGCAACTTCCGACGCCTGTGCTTCACCGAGTTCAACAACCTCCCGTCAGAAACATCCAATAACGAAACCCTTGCCCAAAGAACCGAGCGTTTCTGGCGCGCGATCCTCCTCAATGGGAGTGACCAGACAGGCGCAACCATGCGGGAGAGACTGCCACCGCCGTCTTCTCTAGGCGTGCACTTTGATAGCTTAATAGCCGAGGAAAGCATATTGAAAGCTCTAGACTGCACCATGGTCGACCTACAGACGCCCGAGAACGCGGCGCGCATACAAAACTCACCCGAGCTACTGGCACTGGTACCTCGATGCGACAACGCCAAGCCCTTTGAGGACTTATTATTAAGTAACGCCTGTGGACGCCGGTTCTTTAGGACTGCGGGCGGCAGGTTCGGTATGACTGCTATCGAGGATGTGGTAGCCGCCGACAACAACTTAGTAGGCAAAGAACCGCAGGACGAGGAAGGGGATGTGAGGGCGAATCTCGGTCAGTTGATGAGCGACCCCCTTCAGAACCTTTTAATGCAGGGATTCCAGCAGTACCTGAACCAGCGGTCCCCAGAAACCGCGCCTATACTTGCCCGGGCTATAAGAGGTGATATGCCAGGGCAGAACCCAGATCAACGCACGGATAGTGGCACGCGGGAAGGTGATATTATCGTAGCTGCTATTGGCGGATTCTTCCCGTACGTCTTACGACCTAAATCTCAGTCTCAGCAAGCAGGAGAGACAGGGGAGGAAAGCAGCTCGGGGCCTACCGCTCAGGCTGATGAAGAACCGTCAACGTATGAGTTTATTGGCGATTGCTATTTTCACGGGGCGATGGATGGAGAAGACTTTACTGCAGCCGGTAACTTCGATACAAGACATATTGCTATAGATTTATCGAAGATTGTTGATATTACAATTGTATAAGGGGGTAGAAGTAACTTAATTTTATAGGAATAACTTATATACGAAAAAAAAAATCAAAATAGGGAGGGGATATGATGTGATAGACTCCTAAGGCCACTGACATTAGAGGTAGAAGTGCATAGAGAATGTAAGATGGTCGACCTCGAATAATATCGAAAAGTAAATCTGCGTTGAGGACGCAACTACGCGCCTGTAGTAAACACTCAAATAACATACAACATATGGGACTAAGCCCTAATCAAGACAGTTCATCCTCCATCTTGGATTTTTCCTCCTCAGTCTACTACACACTCATTTACGGTGTGTATGTCTCCTCCGTGAGACAACTAGTCGAAGTTGATCCATCCTCTACCTTCCACCATCCTATCTTAGGTCGATTCGGTGATTTTCCCTTTAATACGCCGATAAAATTCCATAGCATAGGTGGTGATAACAAGACATACAGAGCAATAGAACAAAACCATAAAGTCCAGCCCACGTGATTGGTAACGAACCATCTTGACGTCTAATCCTACTTCTTCTCCTCGAAGTAGAACTTCCCCAACTTATCTCCGTCCTTCGAGTTCCCTAGAATAGGAGCGCGCCCGCCTTCGCCGCCGTCGAGACGGTCTCGCACGATACGTTCTGCCGCTTCTCGCGCTGCGGGACCGCCTACGCCTTCTCTAAGAGCGCTTGTCCGCGGCTGGCCCGGCTGAACGGGTATAGGCCCGCGCGTCGTAGTATCGACAAACACGTCGTCATCCGAGGTACCAACGTGTCCGCCGCCATCTACAGCAACGCCATCCACATACTTCGCCTGCCGTGTCTCGGCCGCGGCCGTCGCACTAACAGGGGTATCGCTCGCGGTCGCATCGCGTATCTCTCGACCCCGAGCCGTAACAGCCTCCTGGCTCAGTCCCGAACTACTACGTTCCAGACCCCAGATCCCCGCCGCGCCAGGCAGCGGCCTCCTGTGGTAGATAGGGCCACTAACGGTGCTATTTGCGCCCTCGCCAAAGCCGACGAGACTCGCGGTGCCATCGTCGCTCATGCGGTCCTCAAAGCCACTAACCGAACGGCTCGCCATGTCTTCATCCATAGCACCGGACGTACTATCCACATCCATGCTAATACCATCGCCGTCATCATCGACCTCCGTCAGCTCCGCGTCCATCTCGTCCTCGTCTTCCTCGCCGAACCGGTCGCCCGCTTCCGTGGTCGTCCGCGCCCCGACACTACCTGTCGCGGACGCAGTGCCAACCGTGCTCATCTTAGTCATCGCCGTCGGCTGCCCGTTCGAATCGAAGTACGCGGGTGTAAGGGCGGTTGCCTGTTGCGCGGCGGTTGTGGCGGTGGTCTGGGCGGGGCTGCCGCCGGGCTGCTGTTGGTTCGGGGCGCGTATGGTAGATACGCGCTCGAGGCCCGCAAGGCGACTGATGCGATCTGCGCGCTCGGCTTCGAGGCTATTTGTGGACGATTGGTGTTGGTGACCTCGGAAACCTGCGAGACCGTGATAGGCGTTACCTCGGTGGCCATCCTTGATAGCGGTGGTTGATAGGGCTGAGAGCGATGTAGTTGCGCTGGTAGGAGTACCACTGTAGATTGTAGATTGTTCTAGTTAGTAGTTGGTATAGAGGAAGATTGATGTTGATAAACGTACGGCATATCGCTTGGAGTGTCCGGATTAGATGGTGGGGGAGGGATATTGATGAGCATGGGAGCTGTCTGTTGTTGCGACATGTTTGCTTATCTTCGTATATGTTAAGCTAAAAGATGTCAATGGCAACGGATGTGATGTTAAGTTTCGCGTAATACGCGCGCCTTACTGCGAAGCTAGGATGTGGTTGATGACGATTTGAAAATATGGGCTGATGGTGGTTTGTCGCGAAAATGGAAAAGAGGTACCTAGCGTGGGGGTATCAAGATGAAGAAAACTGTTTTTCTTTGTTTTAATTAACGGTGGTGGTAATGAAGATAGGACCTCAATCGGAGATGATGGCGAGCAATTCTTTTGTCTGTATGTAGTAGAAGAGAACAATCGGGTCACGTAGATTACAACTTTACAACTTTGAATGATGAACATTGGTTGTTCCGTTCCTGCGCGTCTGTAGTGAACGTTTGTACTGCTAATTAGGTACCTACGGAATACAAACCCCAGCTATTACACAGTACGGTAGGTGAAGTGGGGCCTAGCATCGGATCCATAATCCACAAGCAAAGCTAGTAAAGTGGGGGATGACGTAGGGCTGTAATTAATCTTAATTGGCTCTAGCGTACGCGCCTTTCCACTTTTCGCTAGACACCAATCAAATCGACGTCATTTCGTTTACATACTGCCTCCACCCGCCCGCCAGCCCGCTTTCCCCCGACTTCCACAAGCCCCAAAGCTTCCATCCTGCCATCTCACTTGCTTCAATGTTCTATCTCAAGTCTCAAGACTTAGAACTCACCAGGGGTAAAATCGACACCCTGAAGTTCGTCGAGTAAGTTTATAACACTCGTAACAAATTCCGAGTGAGCTGGGTCTTCGTGAAGATAATACGCCCTGTCTTCGTCCGACTCGAACTCGAAGACGAATGCGTGCGTCATTCCAAGCTATTTAACATTGCAAAAAATTGTCAGCCGGAAAAAAGCTTTTATGCAAATAAGAGAGATACGATATAAAAGCGAGATATTACCTGCTTTCCTTCAGGGCTGTTGTCTTTTCCTCCACCATGTACCTTTACATAGGGTTTCTGCGATGTGGGATGGATGCAATTCGATCCTAGAGCCAGCATCCGGGCGCAAGCCTAAACACAACGTTAGTCCCTCAGCATCTATGTTAACTTTCATTTACTCTGGATTTCTCACCGCCTTGACTTCCTCTTGGGGTATAAGGTCTTTGAATTTGAACATGACAACGTGGAAGATAGCCATAGTGCAGATACTCTAGCTACGAAGCTCTTGGTAGTTAAGTAGAATCGGGTTGTTGTTGTTGAGAAAGTTTGAATGTTTTGCTCACGTTGGACCCGAAACTGAGATTGATATTTGAAAGCAACCCCTCGGCTGTAGCATGCACATTACTCTATACCCGAAGCTCTTTAAAGCTCCGATAGTAATCCTTACACTGCTTCATGTTATAAATTTGCCACTTTTATAATTGACATTTCCATTCGATTCTACAAGGAACTTGAAGGAAGTACGGAATATATCAATATGTTATCCTTACATACTGCAACTTAATATCAGACGATGCTAAGACTTGAATGCATCATACATCTCAATTAAATGAATTCAAATTTGATTATTTGTAAACTAGGCATAGGACATTATTGAGTTTATTGTGCTAATAAATATGCGACTTATGAATAGCGCAGGTACCTGTGGCAATAAGATTGTCTTACCCTAACTCCGAAGATCAAGGCTTCAAGCTTCCACTCATACGAAGTACACACATGGACATTCAATCCCGTGATCATCATCCCCCACATACAGACAAAAGAAGGATAAGCGATTTTGGAATCATAGACTGCATCGACACTAACATCTAAAGCACATCATGCGGAAAGTTGAGGTATCCGAAGATGAAGAATTGGGCGAGCTGGAGGATAAGACCGAAGCCCTCACCCTTCGCTCGAAACGTACCGAGAGGGCTCGGAAAAAACAGGCAAAGAGAGTAGAAAAACCCAGTCGCGATTCGCAACATCTCTTGAGCTTGCCTTATGAGCTCGTATTAGATATATTGGCTCTACTTCGCCCAAGCGATGTTTTTAATCTACAACGAGTTAGTAGAGCCTTTCACCAGTTCATTACCCAACAGGATCACCGGATTTCAAGAGCTATCACTAGTTGGCGCTACGTCTGCCTGGATAAATGCTTTAGATTGCCCGTACTTATGGAGAATATCGATCCCAGCATTCACGCGGTTATTCAAAGTCCCGAGCGACAGGAGCTCCTCATCATTCATAAGAAGCCTTATCAACACATCCAATCTCCGAATCCTGCGGAAATCTGCACCTGTCTAACATGCTTATTGCGATGGTCGGCGCTCTGCTTAATTGTCGACTTTGCTCACTGGCAGCGAAATCTGGATATTGGGGAGCCGATTCCTATGATCCCACGAGGCAAGCATCCAGCTTGGAATCAAAATCTGGTAGCGTCTAATGCAGCTATTGTGCGCAAAGCTCTGTGCAGTCCACTGTGGCACGCACGGCTTTTGGAAGCTCACTTAGACTCGACGACGAGGTCCATAAGTCGTCACGCTGCGAACAAGGGTAATAAGAGGCGGCGTTTCCGCATGTCGAAAGAAGACATGGAATCGGGTTCGGACTTGTTCTTAGAGAAGAGCGGACCGCCGAGCTTTGACTTTCCATTCCACAGAGACAACTATTACATGCTGGAGGCTTACCTCCCAAACAGAGGGTGGAGTGCAGAAAATAATAGGTGGATGTATGTGCCGGCGGAGCAACACGATATAGATATTCAGTTTATCGTTAACTGGGCGAAAAGGCGACAAAGACCAGCTTCGGGGTCGGGAAACGACATGGTATGGAAAGGGGAAAGCTCGAAATAATATCTTGTCCATTGTTCGTATTAGTTTATTCTCAATTTCAAGCCTGCTAGGACCATCAAATGCAACGCCGTATACCCCTTTTATCCCCGGGTACGCCTCGGAGTACTAAATACAGTCGCACCATTCACCCATCGAGAGTAGACATCCCCCTTTTCTTGACAAATAACTCTAGCCCGTTGACAAACTTTTCAAAAGAAAGCGCCTCGTAACGCCTACACCTACACCATCCTCTCGATTTGCATATGTATATGTATTTACACTCCGGAGCTCGCCGGCTCCAATGCCACCAACCTAGCTAGGGCCTCTAGTATTCCGAATCAATATAGCACACAACACAGCGCGCGTATGAAACTATGTTTGGGCTGGGGACTATTTTGTGTCAGAGTGTAACCTGATAGCTCGCTCTCGTAGGGAGTGTTCCCAACAGTCTCGCTAGATTGCCCGCCTCGTGCTCCATTTTGAAATCGCAACGTCGTTTCCTGTTCCTCCCGTAGGGAAGAGGCTCGAGCTCTAGAGTGCAGCATGATATCGCTCTGGCTTGCGTGATACATCTCCGTTACAGCTCGCTGGCTGGTTATGGGGCTAAGCATAATTTGCTCCGGTGGGCGCATATCGGAAAGCCAACACCCTAGCGACAAGGTGGATGTGTCTGTCGCGGTGCTCCGCTGCGACCCGCGCCGCGTTGTTGCGCTCCGCATCTTACGCCGTATACGATCGAGGTCGATCAGCCGCGGCTTGCTTGGGTTCCGCTGACCCGTCTGCGCCGTGCCCTTGATGATTGTGTCTTCGAAGCTAGATTCGGAGGGGTATGCGACGCTGTCCCGGATCACAACAGATTCCCGCTTAGAGAAGCGATCACTTCCGAGCTCTGGATCTCTGCGCAACATCCATATTTGAGGGTGAGTGGTGGCTTGTGGGCTCTGTCCAGAAGTAGCGTAGAAGGATAGGGTGCTGCCGGAGTCGGCAGCGCTATCGTGGCGTTCTTCCATAGCGTTGGGCCGAGCGTTTTTGACTTGTATTCTTCCCGCAGTATGGATATAGGGCTTGGGCTGTGTATAAGGCATTTTCCGCAACGGCGATGGTTCCTACGATGCCGAGGGGCGAATAGAATGACGCTGTTTCCACTGGGTCTCATGCGCAGCGATGCTCGTTAAAAGCGTCCCTATTGGCAGGACGCAGGAGAGAATGGATCATGGTCTTCGCTTGTTGTCACTTACGTGGCATGGACTCTGCGTTATTATCTGCCGCGCCGCACCATTTATAAACTTTGCGGTCATGGTGGTGCCGACGTTGGGTATCGACTCAAGACTCTTTCAACGTTGACGCCAATGACGCAGGAACAGGTTGGTTTGGGTCACAACATGATTGGCTCCTTATTCATCTGCTATTTCGTATAACCAATAACATAGCGACTTGCTATTTACCTAGGAATAATGGTAACTTTACAGTCATTTGTGACTATTCACTAAGTAATTCACCTCCCAGTTGTGATGGTTGTCACTCTTTCGGCCACGGAATGGGGATTCAGGTGAATAGCTTTTCATCCGAACCAAGGTCCAATAAGAGTGATTATGAGGTTTAGTTTACCAAGGATCTACGGCGTGTGACTCCCTATAGTTACAATCCGGGTGAGATTACGGCATATTGGAAAATATGTAAACTCTACTTTGCTATATGTCAAGTAGTATATATATTCCCTAAGCGCAAACTTAGCTGTATAGGTAAATAGATGCATCATATATTCAAGCTTAATGACGGAAGAAGAGACAGTCAATCAGTTGAAACGAAATTGAAATATCTGATCCGGCGTAGTATAAGACTTCTACTAGTAGCCGTAGATGCATATGTAATAGTACGGAGTTTTATGTTTAGAAACTATTACGTCAATATATTTCAACTCAGTCAACTCAGTCAACTCAATATTTATTATTCTCCAAAATATAAGATGTAAAAGAGACGTAGGGGTTAGATTTATGCAAGCTCATCTATTCAGCACCAGCGGTAAACTCGATATCTTGCTAGTGCAGTCTTTTACATCGTACATTTACCTCAATATCGTATCATATGTTTCCATATTTAACTATGCCCTAAGTAAGAACAATAGAATGCTTTTATTAAGATGTAATGGATTGGAAATCAAACTACTAATCTAGATATGTGGAAAGTATCTGTCATTAGTTCCCGAGGCCCTTCTTAATCTGGAGTTCCTAACTTGAATATTTAGCAGATCTCTTCGGATTTTCCGTAGCTTCGCAATCGATGTTTCGATGTTTCTAAATGCGATGGGATCGTCTTTAAACTCCTCCCTTACACCTAGAAGTAGAATCAATGCGCATTTGGCATCACGGATATCGTCCTTGATATACTCCTCGTATTCAACATCCATAAGGGCCTCCATGGTACTCTCGGAAAGACTGGTTTCGACTCGCAAGAGATGCTTCAGAACCTTATCGATATCCCGGGCGTACTCGATCTCGAAATACGGAATTGAAATATGAGTCCACATGGCGAAGGATGGTGGAGATTGACGTTGCGTTACGCTTGAATAGATTTCTGGAAAGGGTGGACAATACGAGTTGCAATGTGCTACTATTGTTGGTTTGGGAAATTGTGATGGCTGGTAGGAAAATGTTCAGCTGAGATTCTATTATATATTGTACCTTAGGCAGGTAAGCACCACATTACCGTAACACAAGGACAATGCGAAGAACAACACCTATGTTACAAACTACCCTGACAATGAGTGTATTGCAGGACCGAATGAATGCCTTTATCATAATTTACTCACCACGAAACTAGTTCCGTACCATTGCGCTACAAGCACCGACTGTTACATTATTCCGTCATCTGGCCACTGCGCATTCAATAAAGAAAGGTGTAGAACAATATCTAAACAAATAAACCAAATAAGGCGTTCCGGACATATAGGAGAAATGGAAATAAAGCTGAGAAGATTATGCGGGGGTTTAATTATTCCTCAAGAGATACGACAACTAGCTGTACCTAAGAGGTAGTTTTATATATTCAGAACTTACTTGTGTGATTTATTCTATGCTGAATGGATATACGAATCACCACATACTAACGCTAGCTATCACATCTTTGCGTTACCCCAGTATTGGTTAACGAACAGTTCAAGTTTCGCAACTTTCTTTCTAGTGAATCCAGGAAAAAGACCGAACATCCTGTACTATTACTCTCGACCTAGACATCGATGTGTCCCCGTAATACCAGGAATTTGCTAAATGACACATGTGTCATCGCCTCTTTATATTTACCCTTCTTCCGAGTGTTTTATCTACAGACTCTATCATTATCATAATTATCATCATCATCATGGCTGCGGCTAGGACTAAAGAAACCATCTTAAATTCCCTGCTCGAGGATGCTCGTCATTGGCGGGAGCTGCGAGACTATGTCTACAACCTAAACATGCCCCTATTGCTCAACCCGGAAGAATCACCTCTGCCCTGCCGCGAGACTCCAGCCGAGTTCGAAGCCATCAACTCGAGTTTTTCCTCCCAGATCCACGCCCTCTTTGAGGCGCTCAATGACTTTGACAGTTTAAGCAAAACAGAAGACGTCGATGGATATATCCACAAAGACGGCCTTATTTCGGTAGGGCGGTGCGGGAGTTGCACGAGCATATGTCCACCTCGCTAGCCGCAGCGCGCCTGTGGTTCTGGAAACCCAATGCTTTCTATGCCGACGAGGACCAGAGCATCGAGATGCCGGATCTCGTCCGTCCGGACGACGCCGATCCTCTCTCACTTGGTTTGCGAACTGTAGCATCACATCTTGAGCAATTCGACCTGCGCGCCTTTTTGAAGCCCGATCTATTCCGGGCCCCAGTGACATGGTCCCGCATGAAACGTCTGCGCGTTGAGTTCCATCCCTGGTGTCCCGATGGTACTTGGTACTTCGTCGGACCGCGCGACGATAACCCCCACCCTGACGGCGGCTTCGAGATCACGCGCGAGCAGCAGTATCCTCCTGTCGCCCCCAACGAGCGGGACGACAAGATGGACGAAGAGTATTTTGAGGACGAGGAAAACGAGGAAGAGGAGGAGTGTCGAACAGATATGTTCCGCACGGAGCCTCTGCCATGTAAGATCGAACCCCTCTTGTTAGCCTTTGCCGACGCTCTGAAGGGCATGCCTGCCTTGGAGGAGGCGGAATTATTTGCGTACCTAGAAGTCAAGAGGAATTTTAATCCTTATAGCATAGTCCTAAGCACCGGGCCTAAGTTTTGAAAATTGCTGACCGGAAATGATAGTGTGCTAGTAAACCCAATCGCAAGAGCGACAGCAAAGAGCCGGTGAAGCGTGACCTAGAGCCAGAACCAGAGGCTGTATGTACCTACTCTTAGTATTCATTTATTAAGCTGTCTCTAAATATTTCAATGATTTGATAATAAGTCAGACCCCCCCAACGACCTGGAGGATGGCGTTGACGACGATGGAGAGATGATTAAGGACGAGGTTGAGAACCCCTTTTCCGTGTTCAAGATTACTGGACTCCTAGATTTAAACATAATACTATTATAGAATATAAACAAAAAAAGCACAGTTAAACAATAGCTGAAGCAGTTATGCCGTGGCGTTGCCGCCACCACATTACACAACAGTAGTCAAACACATATGTAGAATAACGTCAAACAAGGTGGCGCACCTACCAGCATAATTATTAATAGAGACTGCGCCTATTATTTTGACGCTATTCTGGCACAGTACCTTATTATCGACCAGAATAGTACCCCCTATGTCTAAGACAAAGAGAAACCCGATTATACTACAGTACCCCTAAGCCATAAACTCAATATTTTATAATAATAAAAGGTTTTTATTATTCTCGGATAATCTATAATAACTATCCTAAAGCTTCTACTTCTCTCTAATACTTCGTGCTCGGGACCTACCATAGCTCATTATGAATTCACAACCAGATAGGCCTCCAAGCCACCAACTACCTTTCAGCCAAAGTGCAATGCCCAACCACCAGCATTTAAAAACCACACTCGGTCGATACAGACGGGTTTTGACAGGTCGTCCCAAATTACATAAAATTCCTTCACGCACGACTTCAGGTCAACGTGTTGGGGTTTCTAAGCTTGAGGTCTTATCAAATACTTGGAAGTATTGGAAATGGGAGATTCTGTCCTGCGTTCTTGTGTTAGCATCACCTTTGGTTATACTGGCTACGTTATATCCATATGATGGACGGTCTTTGCCTCAATGGCCGCTTCGGGTATCTGTGAACACATTGCTTTCGATTTACTCCATGATACTAAAGGCTGGCCTAACATTCGTGGCTGCCTCGTGCATCGGCCAGGCTCAATGGGGTTGGTTCTCCAAGGGGCGTCCGATTTATGACCTCGTTCGATATGATAATGCGCGCCAAGGCCCATGGGGATCACTACAGTTGCTTTGGGCGCAGCGATTTTGTCAGCCTTTAACGGCTTTGGGTGGACTTCTTTTTATTCTATCTGTTGGCGTTGATCCTTTTATCCAGCAGCTTATTGGCCTTTACGACTGTAGTACGGTGGTTGCTGATAAAATAGCCACATTGGCTCGTACAAACCAATTTGATGATCAGCTTCAGGTACCAACATTTGGTCGTGATATTGACGCAGCTATTTCACAAGGAATTGGAAAATTAGGAAACGGATTATATCCCGACTGCGCAACTGGAAATTGCTCATTTCCAAGTTCTTACGGCACTTTGGGATACTGCAGCCACTGTGAAGATACGTCGGATGAGATTACTATTGACACGACTTACATTCCTATTGAAAATTCAACCGTGGAGCCATATTACAATGAAACGATCATAATTAAATCTAGTCTTCCTGAGGGAATCTATTCGATAAACAATCAAACAGGGCCCTCGCGTCTGAACGTTACGTATTCAATCAACATTTCTAAGTCTGCTCCTCACGAGAGTTACGGGCCGAATGGAGTCGAAGTAGCTAAAATGAGCCTCTTTGCTGACAGTTACGACGACGTTGAAAGGCCAAAAAGGCCTGAGAGAATGACAGTCAAGATACTCGCTGGAAAGACGTCATTCTCTGATAGACATGTTGACATGTCCACCGGACGAACTATGAAGGGTTGTGAAAACGGGACTTCGGTTAATAAATGGAGCTGTAGGGGATACGGCGCGGCTACTTGTACAGTCCAACCATGTGTAAGGATAAATAATTCCACGGTAAAAGCAGGCCGCTTTACTGAGCACCTAATTACTCAATCAGACGATGTGGTATGGGGCCAAGATCCTGTACAACACGGAGGGCTTGGTATTATAGATACTGAATGCCTTACGCCCCAAGACAAAAGTACACTAGGAGGCTATGGGTATGTTGTTGACGAAACCCACCGCTGGCTTCCTTACAACGTCTCGTTCGATATTGGTTCAAGTAAATCATCAACTATGGATATGACTAATTCACTTCTTACCCGGAAGTGTTTATATTTCATGGATGCGGGTTTTGTATCCAGCTTCGGACCTTTTATTATAGGCGCACACTTCGGAGGTGCCTTACGCGGATTTGGCGTAAATGACGTTGAATACGGCATGACTCTTAGCAATTTCGATGGGTCGGATATTATAAAACTTATGTATGACTATGGTCGTATCGACTTCAACCACGTTCAAGATATGTTTGCAAACATATCCGAGTCCTTAACTACTTATATTCGGACTAATGGGGACAAAAACTATTCGGAGCCCGCCGTTGGCCAAGTTTTCCATTATGCTACCTGCATAAGGGTACAATGGCAATGGATCACATTCCCGTCGTTATTAGCTTTTCTGACCGTACTGCTATTCATATGGACCGTATGTTCTAAGGAACCTAGGAGCTTCCCGGCTTGGAAGGCGTCCCCTCTTCCTTGGCTCATGTATGGGCCAGAGAGCTCCAGACTTTTTGACCTGGACGAGTTGGAAGAGATGGGATATGACGCTGATGAAATGGAGAATATATCTAAGGAGGTTATAATCACTTGGAAGCTCTTACCTAATCCGCACATTCAGATGTAATCATAGCATTAATTAGACGGGGGTGTGGTTGGTGTAGAGATATTTAGAGGTGGATTTCAGGAGCAACAAGTACCTAATCTAGGGATTCCATGAGGATTTATTCGACCTTTGAAAGGCTTAAATTGGCTTGTAAAGAGATCTGGTTATCCGGCTAGAATGGAACTGAGTAATTGCTTTAGTAAGTATTAAATGCTGCGCTGTTTGAAGGCACACCTAATATTAACAAAAGAGTTAAAACCTGAAGCAACTACTGGAATAGCTAAAGTGTAATGATGATTTAAGAGGAACCATTCCGCCGCTATATTTACTCTAAAAGTACCACCTTTTGAAGCTGTACCAGTGCTAGGTAGTAGGTTGATTGGCAGACGCAGACACTTTCGGCAAAAATAAAGAATCATGTCAGGAACAGCCTAACTTACATCGCTAGATTTTAGAAGTGTTTAAAGACTGTTCACTATTCTGCACGAAATATTTTAAATATCGTAGATAATGGTTCGTTGCCGTCTTTAGATGTCTGAGGTTGTGAAAGGCAACAAACTTTGTTCCTAAGGTACTTAAACAAGCGTGGCGGACTTTACGACGCGCTGACGTGGTTGCGTGTGGATGGTTGCTGCACCGGTCCGTTTATTAGGCGATTTATTAGGCGGCTATGATTCTGTATGCTTTTTATTGACGGGCGTCATTGTCGCAAACATGATTCAGTATCCCCCCGCACCCATTACAACGGGATTGTATTGTGGCCCAAAGAACTGCCTGTGATCTTTATGCCTAATTGTTTATACGTCAAAAAAGAAGCTTTGTGTTGTCCGGCATGGCACATGAATTCTAACCTCCTTGGTTTTATTTTGGCGAGAATACAAATGCAACTCGGCAGGCCGTCCCTGCGCGTGCGCTTCTGTCGAAGTACATCATCTTGCGATATACCAGAAGGATAAAGACTTTTCAAAATACAATGGCGAAAGTACAAAAAAGCAACTATCTCCCTTACCTTCAACAACTCCTCGACACTCAAGGCGACACGGAGGGCGTGGCCATAGAAAGCGTGTGTGGGATCTGCCAGGAGAGCAAACTGGATATTTCGAAGAGCACCAGGGAATTCACTTCTTCTATCGAACCCCCAAGGGAACATCTCGAATTACATCGAAACTTTGTCGATTATATCAAACATGACATCGAACGGACTGTAGCTCTTGCATGTGGTCATGTTTTTGGCGATCGATGCATCAGGAGCCTCTTAGCTCAAGGATCAGACCTCGTCTGCCCGTCTTGTGGGTTTAGAATGGCATATCAAGGCTGCGGCCACGCCATCCCGCCGGCCCTGATTCCAGTTGAAGGCAACAATCCGATCCGGGACACATTTCCCTTGACGATCCCCGAAGGTGCGAGAGACCCGCAAAGCTGTATGGAGTGTAGATGGAGACATATTCGATCGCATATTCGGTATGCTCTTGCCGACGAGTGTGTCTTATGCCGGCAAAGAACACTCGCCCAAATGCCTTTAGACGCAGCTGGGCACCGGGCACATAGAGATCAACATATGAGCATAGGACTCAGACAAGCTTTGGACGACATCCTGGCGCTTATTTGGCCCGAGTTCGTGACACGCGAGACCAACACGTCCCTATCCAAGGCTTCGGCTGAAAGTGAGCGCCACCAAATCCACGTTTCACTGCTAAACGCCATGGTTCGATCGGAAATGGAGGACACAATTTGGTATCGCACCAAAGCCGGCAGGTCGACTCACCTAACTAAGGAACAGTTGAGGAGACATACCCGCGGGATGGCATCGATCGAGCAGACTCTTCTGGGCTGGCTCATGGACTCTACCCGAGAGCAGAGACGGATGTGGTAGATTATTGTTCTTGTTCTTGTTCTTGTTCTTGTTATTTCACCGATAGGATTTCCGGCCTCGACATGGAATGGGTGATTCAGGTTGCAAGGTTTATAAATAGGCACTTTGTATTCAATAAAGACATCGAAACACGGTCGATCCCTATCTTACCTACCTAGGTAACACCGCTTGGCCCCCGAGCTGCGCCTAGTTGTATATGGAGTAGTTTACCTACCTCCCCCCAGTCAGCCTTACGACCTTCCTTAGGTACTCCAAACCGCGCGATAACTATCGGGCGTTTTCAGTACCACGTATCATGTATGGTATTAGGTAAAATTTCGTGTTCGATCTAGGACTTTCCGCCATGCCAAGACGGGAATGCGGCAGGCTGCAGCTCTAGCAAATCAAATGCATCCTTACTTGGTGAAAATATTTCGAGCTGTGGGGTTTATTGAAAAGAAAGGGGCCGATGGCCTGCATTTCGTGATGTCTATCATCCTCCAGTATCATCCTCCAGGTATACTGCGGACATCGCTTAATATACGTCAACCAACCGCGTTTTTTATAATCCTCCACAAAACCATTCACGTCGCATTATCGATCCGTCTACAGCTCTAATTTAAACTACTAGTGCCGGCACATACAGCTTATGGGTACAAACGCAGATATCATAGCCACCGTATATTTTAAGACAATGGACAAAATGTCATGATGATGTGGCATGGCAGGATGCTATTTTCTTCTGGAGCCCAACTAGGTTGACACGCTGTGTAATACTACGATTTAGAACTGTTTCGACTTGGATTCACATCTGTAGGAATTGTTTATTAAGTGCAAGCTTTACGTTTCAGCTGGAAATAAAATTATCTTCGACTTAATACCCCATGTCCGTCACGAATTTAAATGTTGCAATGCCAGCGGCTAGGCAGCTGCACAGAAACTAATATATCTTGTTCGGGACTATGTATCACCGCAGCGATGAGTCAATGTCCTCTATATGGCCAAGCCCGTGTGACTACAGTATATATATGAACCCCTGGTAGGTTAGGACAGCGCCATTTTTGTTCGGTTCGTGTCTTGTTCTTTCTGGAGTTTCCTCAGTCCAATTTCTGTATATCCTGACCATACTTGTACGGTCAAACTCCCCTGTATACTTCTTTTCTTTATAATACCTCGACGTTCTTCTTCCTACCTATATCACAATGCTCAAGTTAGCAGTACTAGGGATTCGAGGCTTCTTGGTATGTCCCGCAAATATTTGCCCTTGCTATACTAGGTATTATCATACTCATTAGCGCTCAGCTTCTCTTCGGTGCAGTAGTACTAGGTCTTTCAGTGACTCTTGCGAAGCAACAAGTCGAAGGCGCCCCCCCTGCAGAAACTTCATTTGGAAGCTTTTGCGGCGCATTTGGTATACTTGTCTCACTGATAGGCATTGCCGCCCTGTTCATCGATAAAATTCCTAGCATAGTACCAATGGGAGCAGATGGTCTTGCCACAGCGCTCTACCTTGCTGGTGCCATTGTAAGTAAATCCGCAGGATAAATCCGGACTTTCAGGTTCCGTGGTGGATATAAATACGCTGATATCGTGCTATACTAGGCATTGACAGTCGCTTTAAAGTCTGTGCCGAGCTGCACGAGTGATGATAGCGAGAGCAACTATCAAAGGGCTATCAACAAACTCCTGACTGGTGGTTGTGGGACCCTTGCCGATAAAACTTACTGTCCAGGTTTACCTGATGATTTGAGTGAGTTGAAAGGTCGATGTCAAAGAGTGCAGGTCAGTACCTATTTATACAATAATTCCAATTCCAATACATTTGAGTCACAACACCAATCCATCCCGAGTAAAATACCTAGGTAGTTAGGGCATCTAGCTAGGATACTTACTAATCCCAAATCGTGTACTAGGCCGACTATGTATTCGAATATTTAGCCTTCGTTTTCGGAGTCGCCGTTGTCGCTTTGACATTCTTCTATAATAAGAGCAAAGGAAGCAGAAGCGCAGCCTATGTCTAAGGAGGCCACCCGCGGATTCGGAACTAATCATCGATTTGGTTAGATTCGAAGAAGCACACGCGCAATACGATTGGAGATGTTCACGTATATGAAGAAGAATAATTGTGAAACTCTTCGGATTCTTCGATTGATTTATTGTGGTATTTTCCGCTGTGGTCACTCCCTTGGAGATATGGAATCTAAGACAGTCGGACTACCTTAGGCCTACACGCTAGGCCCAATTCCCAATGTTCGCATGAGCTGGGTACATGTAATTTGTTATCATGTTATAATGTAGCTCTCCTTTCCAACCGTTTGGATGGAAGGGGTTTACCAATTACCCCCCTACGAAGGCTACATCTAATCAACTTAAATTAAGAACATAGTACTAGTTATTACCGTATAAATAGGATACATTTCCGAATTCAAGCAAGAACCAGTGCTTACCTCGTTGGGGGCAAACTATAGCAGATCTTTATGCATATTTTGAATCATGACTTTCATCACATTGTACTCTCAACACTAGGTACTTCAACCCGGTTTTCAGCCCTTCTATGTGGCGCCCCTATCTACAGAGGCTTGGCAATGGTTGGCATCCCCACTAACTTAGCATTTTGATACGAGTGTCTATCCTATTAGCTCATTGGTTTAACTCAATCTCAATACTTAATGCTGAGTATCTGCGCCTCCCAATTCACTGGGACGACGTGAGTGCTTGCGGTGGAAATTGGCAGTGTTATATTTCGTCAAGGCGTTGGCGTCTGCTTGGAATATGCTTTGAACTCAGATATTAGGACTGGAACAGATCTACATATAAAGTCTGTCGTCGAGAGGCTTTAAACCCGTGGCATTCTAATATCAATATATCCATTCCCTATTCTTTAAGCCCCTTAGACTTCGCACTACGTATCGTTTATTAAGATGGTATGCGTTCGTTTGAATCCTTAGCTAGAACGAAGTATGTTTCTGATCCGTGAATCCAGTTTTCAAGGGCGGCTCTGCTTGGCGCTATTATCCTATGCTATAAAAGCTCCATTAGCCCTCACTTCACAGAAACATTTCCATTCCAACTGATGATGTGAATAGGGCATGTATCTAACGGCTTCTCTACCAAGAATGGCCTCAAGTGGTCTCGTGCTATTCGAATGAATCAAATCCAAGTAAGGGTTGACTTTCGCCGCTCCAACTTACTCCTTAGCACAATCCCTTTTTAACTTAAAAGGTAGAGATTGGAAACCTAATGTGGTTTATTATATAAAGGTCATCGGTACACATAATCCTTATCACAGAGAGTCGCCGTTAGAGGCGCGTGAAGCGTAAGCCCAACTGCTTAATAACATCATAAATTATTATTCACACGCGGCGCTTGACGTATAAGCCTCGTACCAGTCTGTGCGCAGCTTCGAGCTTGACCTCTTCGCGGATCCGGAGGGGGGCAAGTACGCGACGTCGCTCGTGATTCGCAATTCGGGAACTGAGCTGCCGCTACAGGACGCGATGAACAAACCCGGCGTGAAGGTTCTCCATGTCTCAGACGCCGATGCTTGGCCTAGTTGCTATACACTTATTCAACGCTGAAGAAGTGGTCTCATGAACATCCTAATCATGTGCCGATCCTATTTATGTTAGAGTTCAAAACCCCTGAGACTGGGACCGGAGGTGGGGCTCCCCCTATTCCGTGGAACGATAGCGAGCTCTTGGATGATCTTGACGCTGAGATTCGCTCCGTCTTCTCCCCATCACAGCTTATCACGGCGGACGATGTCAGGCGCGATAATGGTACACTAGATCAGTCTACATCAAAGTACGAATGGCCCGACTTGGACTTAGCCCGCGGTCGTGTTCTCTTCTTTAATGGGTAACGAGCCGGGGCCAATCCGCGATGTCTACAGTGCCGGACGCCCGAACCTCGAAGGCCGCGTAATTTTCACGAACTCGAAACCTGGGTACGACGACTGCGCGTTCCAGAAGCTGAATGACCCACGGAATGGGACTGATCTAGAAAATATCTGGAGGCAAGTTCGCGCGGGCTACTGGGTACGTACGCGCGCGGATAAGCTACTGACTACAATTCTACGTAATGATACAACGTCCATGCGCGACTCGGTTTTTGCTAGCGGCGCTCAAATCGTCAGCACTGAATTTCCGACCTACAGGCTAACTAGCCGCTGGCACGTTGACTACGCTGCGCGGTTTGACGTTGGAATAGCTGTGCGGTGTAATCCAATTATTGGGAAGGATGATTGCGTAAATACGTTACTGGAGCCCGAGGATTGTTTACGAAATTAATCGCACAGTAGACTCGGGCGTCGTTTGTCGGGACTGGAGATTTGATCAATTGCAAAAGTGAAGATATTTTCATGAGAAGTAAAAATAAGAATATTATTCTTCATGTGTCTTAGGTACTAAGTATTAGGACATTATTGTAATCTGTTTCGTCAGGGTATCTGTATCAAAGCGCATTGCTGCCCACTAGACCGCGATGCTATCTGTCAATCTGATATCCCGACTACTAGCACCGACGTATAAGTCATATCGGCCAGCTTGTACGATCCAACCCTGAGTGACAACATCCCACACACTTAAATCACGCCTCGTAAGTTCGAAAGTGATCTCGGCGGATTCTCCTGGGGCGAGAGGAACTTTTTCGAAGCCACGCAACTGCTTCGGCGGGCTGTTCGGGATGCCGAGGTAGAGTTGTGCTACTTCCGCGCCGGATACCTTGCCGGAATTGGTAATCGTCGCATTAACTATAGCCACAATATCCCATAAAGCTTCGTCGTGACTCGGAATAGAGGATCCTTGTGGCTCTGGCGTAATACTTAGGGGCTCGACTGAGAGCGACGAATAGTTAAATGTCGTGTACGATAGACCATAGCCAAATTCGTATCGTGGTGCTATATTATTCTCGTCAAAGTGGCGATAATCGACGTAGACCTTTTCAGTAAAATCACATTGCGGGTCTGTCGTATTTGACGGGCCGCGACCACACGGGGCGTATACTGCATAATCACTTTCGTTCTTGGCCAACGTGTATGGTAGCTTTCCCGAAAATCCAGCCTCTCCATAGAGGAGCTGGACTAAGGCTTCTCCGCTGTCTTGGCCGGGTAGGTGAGCAATAATTGTTGCAGTGACGTTAGGATGATCGATCCACTGATCTACGAGGCGAATGCCTGCGGCATGTATGACGACGATGGTGTTTAGACACTTAGAAGCCACATTTAAAACGAGCCCGTCGCTAAAGTCGTCGTGAAGCCCATCTCGATCCCAACCTTCAGTGGCAATAGCATTGATGAAGACCAAGCAAGCATCCGATGCCGCATTGACATCCGGATTAGGTGAAGTCAAGTCCCAGTTGACCCATGTACCATCAACTCTTGCCCTCTGCTGAATGGCGCTCAATGGCTGCATAAAAGTTAATAAAAATGAAGAATAAGAATTTCAGGCTCCTTACGTCGTCGATATAAGCTGGTCCATTAGCACCAGCTCTTCCACCAGTCACAATGGTACCTCCTTTAGCAGCCTGGTTAAAATGATTCTCCGTGCCTAATACTGCTTGGCCCATTTCTGAGGAAGAAGTGTAACCAAGTTGAAAAAGAGTATCCGTGTTCTTAGTATCAGGGATTGTAGCATCATAACCATAAATGGACAACATAGTCGGGTTCTTCTCAAAAGGCAAGGCATCATTATTCTTCACCAGAACATGCCCGGCTATCGCACCTTCTAATATAATCGGCTTCGATTCAGGGGTACGGGCATCGACTTGCTCGTGAGGTAAAGTGAGATTCTTCATCCCGATACCTGGAACCGGAAAGTTGCTGCCGTTTTGGCCCACAAGGTACCATGCTGCAAGAATCCTAAATGCATTTGAGCTGACTACCTAGTAATGAACTTGGACTCAACTTATTTCTTACCTAGTAGCCATGTCTGTGACTCTATCCTCACTAATAGATCCGTTGTGAACCGCTTCGGTTAGGTTGTTTCCCCAAAACCCACCTCCAGGCATAATCACTATGATATCGTAAGTCAGTAACCATAGCTCGGGTTAAGAAGCTCGTAAGTGTGAGGGCTTACTGTCTAGTCCCGCGTTCGCGCTCTCGAGATTGTGTTGAGCGTTCCAGTCAAGGAGTATGAATCCGTCAAATGCAAGTTCGGTTTTAAGAACACCGTTCAAGAGTTTGCTGTTCTCGCAGCCGTAGGTGTTGTTGATTCTATTATAGGAGCACATAACCGAAGCCACACCAGCTCTCACGCCGTCCATAAACGGCCAGAGGTAGAGTTCATGAAGCGTCTTATCATCAATATTTGCCGAAACAGATTCAACCCCAAAGTATGGTCGTCTGTACGTCTCCTGTTCATTGGCAATAAAATGCTAGACGCTGGAATTAGCAACTCGATGATATTCTGATACTGTGCATTGCATTCATACCTTAATATTCGCAATTACACCAGCGTCTTGGTGCCCAATGATTGTCTCCGCGTTTAGCTGTCCAGACAAGTAAGGGTCAACAGAGAAACCCTCCCAATTACGGCCACCTAAAGGAGTCCTCCCTAGGGGACCTGCATTGGGACCAAGCACAACATTGACTGATAAGATGTAAGCCAGCTGTCCTAAGGCGACTATAAAAGGCTCTCTGTATACTTACCACCTTTGGCCTTGAACTCATAGCCAATATAAAAGGCTCTTTGGTACGTCAGATTCTTGTCCCAACTAGCGCCGACATGGATTGCCGACGGATATGAGTTAACGAGGTCTGCAGCTCTAACCCCATTACCTGCGTCGTGCAGGCACATACCCGGCCACTCGAGTCGCGGGACTGTTCCCGTGTTACCGGCGCAGGTATTATCGCCAAGAGTGAAGCCGCGTGTGACGTTGACCTTCTCCTCTAACGTCATCTGGCTTACAAGACTGCTGGCGCTATCGTACGCGTCGGCCCATCTGCCCGCCCCCTTCCCAGGTGCTATGAATATAGATAAGTGACCAAATCAACGCGACTATTAGGGCCTATATAGACTTACGTGAGGGGAAAACCGGTGGTGATTGCGCATAATTGCCTGTAGGACCAGAGGGGGTAGATGCGACAAGCGGTAATACGAAGAGGGCCGTTAACAGCGGAGAAAACATAGCGGCCACAATACGAGAGCCGGTCTTAGATGGACCGAACCCTAGGTAACTTTAGACAGCGCTTTTAACCTAGGAGGTCGAACTAGACTTTTCTCCTAAGTGAGGCGGAAGCCCATGTTTTTAAGTATTGCGATAAACCCGGGATGCTTGCTTTTATGACATGCATGGACCCGATGACGCTCCGCTCCACTGACTTGGCAATTCGGCCAGTGCGGCATAAGATTCCAGAAATGTTCACCGCTCCGGGTTCCTTGCTCGTCCCCATCCCCAGATTATGTAGTGTAATATCTTCGGCAAATATATGCAAACAAAGCGCAGATCTATCACATGAGTTGCACCATTTTCGTACCACCATGAAAGGGGATCAAAACTCAGAAGGACTAAGATTGCAAATACGAGTATTAGATAGACTAATTAGACACTCGTTATATATAGCTAGAAGCCCCCTAAATACATCTATCAATAATATAATATTACATCTAAGAACTCAATGGTTGGATAACATGCGCTTAAGAAAATAGACACAGTTTATAACATATCAACGTCTCTAGACTTTTCAGCCGATAGGTACACGAGTATTTCCTTTATGACAAACTTGACATACAAACAAAGACACATGGAATATTTTTTTTAGTCATACTTAATAAATACTCGTCGGAAAAGGAGAGAAAGGAAACCTCGAGAGGTTAACCTCGTTCTATATCCTATAGAGTCTATTCACTTAAGCTTATCATGTTATCATAAAAGAGAAAGTCATGTATCAGGTAGGTAACGTATTTTTGACTATCTACTTCAGAGAGCGTCGTTGTCTATAGTTACCTCTATCATTATAATCGTGGAATATCTAGTATCTAGGTACCGATGTATATACAGCATTAATCATTTCGGTCAATTGATTCAATCTATACCTAAGGCAAACAAGATTCTGACTACCGCAATTCATAATCTGCCAGCTGACAAGATCACATATTCTCGAAAGGTCGCAGTTCAAAGCCCCGGGTCAAATTCCATTTATAACTAATGACGCAGTGAGTCGTGAATGCTTTGCTTGATACATAAAGTCATAAAAGTAACCAACGTGGCTGATATACAAAGAAGAACACCATTATCTTTCGGTTTTAGGGAGTTACGTGAGTAGTGTATCAAAGGCTTTGTGTTTGTGACCACCTAAAACATGCTACAATATAAAACTTTTGTATAGCAAAGTGTAGATTGTTTAGAAACTACGAAGTTCTTTTCCAATCTTATATAGGCGATCACTAATCTCGTATATCTTCCAACAACAGCGAAGAAAGAAAACCACATTTTGATCAACTACCTAGCATCAATTGTCAGTAGTTATGGCCCCCTTTCTACTCAAAAATCGCGCCGGGTGCCCGGAACAGGACTCCCCTGATCTAGTAACCGCCTCTCCTTGGTGCGAGGGGATATTCTCAAGGGAATACTTGCCTGCATCCCTTGATTGGCCACCCAGAGGAGGGAGCCTTGCACCCTGGATAGCGGTATTTATCTGCGCGCCCGCAGCCGTAATTCTCCTACTGTGGTGGATATGGGCATGTGTTCATCGCAAACGTCGCAGTTGAACAATTGAACAGGGGAATTATACAGACCGCCGTCAACTATTAGCGACCCCATTCCGAGTGGCGCAATAGATGAATCATTAGAACGCAAGATTTAAGTAGATATCCTTCCATGATAATGAAAATTGACAGGACTTCCCTAATCGCAATTGAATGAATATAATACCATGAGCTAGATAAGTGATAATAGTTTAGCCACCACGATCCTACTCGGGACGATGGGAAGATACTCCCTGGTTTTACGAGCCAGGGGCTAATTATACGATAGTGTTAGGTATGAACGATGTACAGCCCTCTCAATCTCATGCCAACCCGTGGACAATGAGTTCCAGGAGAACCGTTTCAATAGATCATTCATCGAAGGAGGGACGCGACGGCATGCTACGAATCAAGCGGGAGGATTGTTCCATAGAATAGCCCTTCATAATTTAAATGAATTCCACATTGCGATAACTCAGTCTTGCAGTTATCCCTCGAGCGCCGATCATATGAATCTTTTGTGCGTGCTTGGACTGAGACATACTACAAAATCATGAGTCAGTCCAATCCAACTACTGAGAATCAAGGGGCGATAGGTATGCAGTAAAATCAGGGTTACCCATTCCCTTGAAATCATACTGAGAGCTATTCAGATACAAAAGCCGTCAGAATCCTCGAGTTATTTGGGAATATTCACTCAGCAACATCGACCAACTCGTCACTCATTCACAGCCACTCATTTAGTTTTGCACTCGTATTTCAAATATAAATTCAACCATTCAACCATTCAATTTCTATCTTTCGAGGTTTTTACTCTTTCCAACCCAATCAATCAAAATGCAGCAACGCGCAATCATCGCTCTCATCACCCTGCTCGCAGCAGCCGCCAACACCGCGCCACTTAACTCGGTACCCGGCGCCGGAGCTCTTGCACACCCCACTGGCAAGGTCATGGGGCATACCGCCCGAGCCGCCCCTCACACTGTGTCTGGCGTCACTGCTGGCGGCGCCGGCATGAAGGGAGAATCCAAGCAGGGCCACAAGTCCGCTGAGGGTGCTCAAGGAGCCGTGAAGGGTGGCCAAAAGGCCGGCGGTGCTGGCCAGAAGGCCGGAAAAGCAGGACAGCATGCCGTCGAGGGCAGCCAGGTAGCCGGCCAAGAAGGCCAAAAGGCTCATAAGGAGGGTCAGTTCACCGACAAGGACGAACAGCAGGCTGGCATGGCGGGCCAGAAAGCTGGCAAGCAGGGGCACAAGTCCGCTGAGGAACAACACCAGTCCTACGAGCACGGCAGTGAGGGCAGCCGGGCCGGTAACTACGGCGCCGACAGGAGCGCTTCCAAGAAGGGCGTCGCCCACAACAACAAGAACGGCGCCAACAGTGCCGACAGGGCCTCCTTGGACATGGCCGACGGCTTCCAGGCCGGTTTCGAAGGATCCAAGTCCGGATTTGAGGGATCCAAGGCCGGCTATGAAGGCTCCAAGCACGGCAACCAGGGATACAAATCAGGCACCGAAGGCTCCCGCTCTGGATTCGAAGGCTCGCAGGGCGCAGCTGAAGGATCCAAGGTCGCAGCCGAGGGCTCCAAGGCTGGTTTCGAGGGCTCCAAGGGCGCTGCTGAAGGATCCAGGGCTAAGAAGGAAGGCGATAAGGAAGAAAGCTCGCTTTCTGGACTTCTCGGTGGTTTCAGCGGCTTCGGTGCTAACTAGAGGTAAAGCCACCAGTCTTTTCTTATAATATTCTAATCCACATCTTTACTGACCATGTTAAGGCTATGCCACCGATCCTTATCAGCATCATTTGTCCCCCGTCAATGGACCTCATACACGATGGAGAGCAGAGTTTGGAATTGGAAGAGTGAAAAAGGGATGTCCAGGGTATCTTTTAGTGGAAGTTTAGTCTTGAAGTAACAATTGGTTCTGTGTTGTGTGGTGTATTAATAGATTCTGATTTCCATTCATTTCTAGCCTTAACTGAATCCTATTATCCGTTAGCCCCTCCTCGTCACCATCCTTTTCTTAGAAATATCTTGATCTTCTTGACTGATTGCTATATAGCCTCTAATTCCCTCATTTAACATGTTCTATCGTAGTGTGATGTATCCAACGCCTCTAATATATCAACCCTTCCCGTTGTATTAGCTCTACCGTCGTTTATACCTAGGTACCTAGGTAGCAATACCGCTTATAACATAGGATCTCGCTATAGTCGCAGTACTTATCTCTAATACTATGCCTCTTACTTACTTACGCGATAGACCTTTGCTTGAAATATTAGCAATTAGAGTTTTAAATTGAGGGCCAAGTGCATCAACAACGATCGAGATATCAGGGGGTTCGGGCCACGCCTGCTCCTCCTGTCGAGTAAGAGCATCTGGGTCCCAAGTCTCTGTTTTGGCGACAGATTCGGTTTTTCCGAGAGCTTTTATTCCCTTCACGTCCTTCCCACTCCTTGGAGGGCCTCTTGGTGTGTTTGGTGTAACGATAGTCTCATCCAATAGGCAGTGCCAACGCGTTATGTACACCCCTGGACCGCCCATGCTTCCGCACGTCTCTTTCTTTTCGTAGGAATCTAGGCCATCTATAATACTCTGCATCCGTACTATTGATACGTTTTCTGATGTAGAGAGATATTTAACGTGGTCATCGATGATGGCCTTGACACTATTCTGCTGGTCGGGTGGAAGTTTACCAAACAGATCCTGCAAATTCGTATCCATTTCTCTGGGATTACAAGAGTTTATACCTTGATTGGCCCGTCGGAAAGTCTCGAGACTTTTCTTAGCCCAATTTAGCCACGTTGTCCGTAAGTCCGGACACCCTTCAGCGAAGTCACGTAGATAGTCGTAGGCCAACTGGCGGTTCCGTTTTAATAAAGCGACATAGTCCTCAACGGATGGCGGTGTAGTGTTGTTCTGTGCTTTGCCACTATCTCGCTCCTTCGGCTTGCTTGTCTCTATCAAGTCCGTCAAAAAGCTCTCGACAGAGCTAAGATGCTTGCGTATGTCAACATTCTTGTGAATGTCTCGAATCATAGGTTCGAAAACGGACACAACATCTCGCACGATAGTTGTAGTTAAATCCGGGGTCTGGCGACAGAGAACCTCGGTAATTTTCTCCCTATCTCGGATCGCGAGTTGAGCTGAGTAGTATTGTAAACATTGGGCATGTTGCTCCTCCGTCAGCGATTCTAGCGACGCCTTATCCTTGACCTCTAGGATAGCTACGATTATGGATTTTTCATCCCTCTTACTCAATTCACGAAGTGATTCGTGTTGGTCCCTAGAAGCTTGTAGGTGTGCGTCGATTGCGGTTAGGCACGATTCACCAGGTCTATCTTTGCTTCGCTTGATATTATCGATAGCCTTGCGAAACTCGCTGGTATCCCATTCTAACACTAAAGATATTATCCTAAGGATGATTAGGCTAGCTTCTCCCGAATCTGTTAGCAAGTACGCACCTTTGTAAGAGGTTCATCCCATCTGATGCATTCTGTGTCAAGCCAAGCCAATTCGAAATTGCGCCGACACTGACTTTTGCTAGAAAAAGCCTAACCATAGCGTTGATCATGGTCCCGGCATTTCCAACGCGCAGTGTTTGTCCAATTACCGTATATGGGATCAACCCATGAATGTTATTGATCAACTTGAGTAAATAGGGGCCTTCCGCTGAGAGGACAAAAAGATGGTGGAGAAATGTAGCCACATATATTATAGCGAGATTAACAGCAGCATCGACTGCTGGTGAATGATCCTCGAGGTTTGCAGTCTCCGTGAAGTGATCGAATAACTCGTCGATCAAGTTCCCGTAGACTAAATGCTGAACCACGTCATCCCAAGCCCTAGAAAGGTCTTCTGCTTTACGGGTGTCATATTGACCATGTAGGTTCGGTAGCTCATCATTTGGTACACCATTTAACAGACCCCTAGTGATGCATTCGTGAATGACTGAGGCGGCTGAGGCCAACCGTTTCCTACTACCCAGTGTCCCTTTATCGTAACTTTCTGACAGTTCTGCCTCGCCAAATCTTCTCATAATACCTCGGAACTTGGTAGTCCAGAATTCTGAGGGAAGATCTCTGACTCCGGGAATAGGAAGAATTAATCTGGTAAGAAGAAGTTGCAGCAGTGGAGATGCTGATTTTCTGTTCGTGTTATTACCTCCGTCGCGAGCTAGAGGATCAAATGGATACCCATATTGCTCGATAGCTTCGGGGTTCTTAAAGCTCTCAGCTTCCGAGTAAGTCTCGTGGTGAACAAGAATGTCGACTAAAGCCCCTAACTGCTGCGGAGACAAAGTAGGAGAGGACATGATAGGCGACTAGAGATTATGGGTTAAGAAAATCCAAAATGGAAGAAACGTATTTGTTTAATCCATATAGTATGGTATTAATACATTACGACGTCTTGCAGTTTCTTATGCTGGGGTTTGAACCCAGTACGAGACTAGGTACTTGATTAGGTGCCGAATTAGTTTTATGGGAGTAGAAGACTTCTAAAATTTGAGTCTTTGGGTAACCTTTCGGGATAAATTACTGACGTCATATGGAATAAGTGGTTTCAACTTAAATGTTAGAATGGAGTACATGTGCATGCTAGTAAATTGTATGGGCTTTTATGTACTATGTAGCAGCTGTTAAACCCGACGCGAACAAAAACCAAAACCCACTGTTATAAGACGCATATTGAATTTCTTCAACTCAATAATATTAAGTACATTTACCGTTATTCATTCTAGCTATTTCATCTTTGCGCCCTTCGTAATGTTATATTTAGCGTTAATATATTGCAGTTTCCCTATTCAATTCAGCTCGAGGGCGTGATGTTGGTGCCCCATTTTAATATTGCATAATATGTAGCTAGGTGCGGTAAGCAACATTTATGTACCTAAATTTATGCAATTCATTATTTCGCAACAAATTATTCACCCGACAATCCCTCCCAAACACTCCGACTTCATCCACCATCATAACCTCAAACCTCAAAATGACTTATGAGGACAATGCCACCAGGCCGCGATGATATCAATAGCTCACCCCGGGATATATATACTGGGGTTCTCCCTGTAATACCATCCGATTTAGCTTCAGATAATCCGTCGCGCAATAATGCCGCAACTGCCGCGTCCGCCGCCGGTGTTCGAGCCTTGAGCGCCCAGGCCATCGCTTTTTACTTCAGGGCTCCCGTCAAGGCTTTCTTCCGGACACGGGTCGACTACCTCGCGTACGCCCGGGGTGTGCACCAAACTCAGACGGAGTTACTAGCCCGCGCTGCTGCTAACAGCCAAACTGCTTCGAGGCTGGGCCTCACTTTCAAACAAGCATGGATGTGGGCACGAGGCACCACCCCAGGCTTACTTGCGTCCGTCATTCAGCAGCATGGATGGAGCATCATACCACAGCAGATTCTCCCGCCTCTTATGGCGAATGTCGGAGTTGGCGCTGTGCTGTATACCAGCTACTTACACATCTTAGCGCAGCTACATGAGGAAACATCAAGAGCGCCGAAGAGGATATTCCCTCCGCCAGACCCGATCCATACCTTCACTGCAGGATTCATAGCCGGAAGCATTCAAAGCGTTGTCGCAGCCCCACTCGATGCTATACAGGCGAGATATGACCATCGTGATCTCATTTCCGGTAACGAGAACGGGAAACCGAGGAGCATGTGGGCGTTCTCAGCAGAAAAGCTTCGGGAAATAGGACTGCGAGGGATCTTCGCGGGATGGGGACTATCTTTCTTAAAAGATAGTTTCGGAAGCGCAGTTTTCTTTAGCACTTTCGAGTTTGTGAAGGCCCAAGGTTTCTACCGGTTCATCATGTGGTATTATGGTGGACTGCACCCTGACGTTGTTGATGTGTTGGCCCAAAAGAGACCACCCACTCACAAGAGCTCGAACGACAATACTACGAAAGATGGTAGCCGTCCAGTCGTCATACGCCCGCACTACGCAATTGAGCCGATGTTCCTACTATTTGCTGGCTTCACGGCCTCACTCACCCAACAACTAATCCTTCATCCATTAAACCATATTCAAGTTGAACACTGGGACCATCTAGAAGATCTCGATGCTAAAGCGGCGAAGTTGAGAAACTCAGCAGCCGCGAACCCTGATAAACCTAGGCGCAGGTGGCGCATGCTCCGAGCTTATTATCACGCCTACCAAGAAACTTGGACTAAGTGCACCACTGAAGCAACCTCGGAAGGAAAAGGTTTGATACGGTGGTTATATCGCGGATTTTGGTGGAATACTAGTAAGTCTTTCCCTACCGTAGACAAGCCAATGCCTAGGTCATATCAACTTGGTGGGAGGTATATCTAACAAAATTACTACAGTCCGACAGGTGCCAAGTACTAGTGCTGGTCTAATTATCTTCGAACTTGTCCGACGTAAATATGGAAGCGGAAATGAGCCTGTGCGGGTTGCGAAGGACGATTATGAAATTCTCCTAGAGTAGATTTTTGATAATGGGTTTCGGCGTCTTGGGCTTTAGGTACAGGGTAGGAATTCCCCACTTGGCGAGAGACTTCCTTTTCAACATAGCGATGGATATGCAGCTTTTCTAGCATTTTGGTATAGACATAGATCACGCACACGCGGCCAACCTTATCTCCCCTTATTTCCAGCACTACGAATAAATGGCTCAAGAGGAAAGACTTGTCCTTCTGGTGTAACACCTTCATAAAGTTGTGCCCAACGGTACCTCCAAGCCTCGGGAGTTGGCCAAGCATTTTCTGGGTCCCGCAGCCATAAACGTAAAAGGTGGCGGCTGTATGAAGAAAGAGGGTAAATTTTGTCAGCAACACAGATAAACTCGTTCACAGCTACACGGTTTGAAAGCATGCTTACCGCTTCTCTAACGTGTCGGTAAATCCGTCTCTTGCGTGGAAGATGGCGAGGTTGTTTATATACTGGATATCTCCTTTTTGAAAGTCGGTATTCACGCAGTACTTCTCACCTAGAAAATGGATTGTATCGAGAGCTTCAGCTTGGGCCTCCGAAATAGCCGGAATGTTAGAGCTACGTGGGAGAGCACCGAAGCCGACGAAGTATCGTCGGCCATATTGTAGGGCCACCCGCTCCGGGGATGAATCCGTCGCAGGGAAGTGATACAGCAGCGGTCTTTCCACGTACTGCTTATCGGCTTTCTCAAATCTAGGGTGCAGACAGGTAGTTATTAGTGAAACTGATACACCTGCATTGCTTTAATCTCGGAAGAATCTGATGGCAAATGAGACCACGTCTTAAGAAATAACTCACACTTCCATATCCCAACTTTGAGACAAGGTATGGATAAGGTCCGGACGAGTAGCAGCAATTTCGTTATATACCCGCCACGTACTCGCTAATTTGCTAGCACCACCCGCTGCCGACGTCTCGAGGGCGAACAAAGACACAATATCGCCGGAATCCGTGTGGAAGACCTGCTTGTCGGTAGTATAGGCCGGACTGCCGATGGAGCCATTATTCTGCGACCAGGTCAAATCTTTGATATGGCTGAGGACCACATCAGCCTTCTGACCGTTATACTTGTGGTCCTGCCGGCCGCGCTGAGCAGCAATGTGCGCGGAAATGCCCGCGTAGATGATGACGTTTTCCTCCCGGGAGTGGTCGTCGACACGCAGGCCGCGAATCACGAAGAACCCGTGCCCGTTGTGTAATTCTGCAGACAGGCGGCGTAGTTCCGCGTGGAGGTTCGGGAGCGGGAACGTCTCTGCAGTGAGATGGCCCAGCGACAAACCCAATCCTTCATAAAATTGGTTAGTAAGAGATCACGACATATATAGGTATCTACCTAGAAGAACCATAACCTACCCTTGAAGTGATCTACAGCTCGGTCTATCTCATTAAGCTGTTCGGCATTGAGAACGTAGGTCCAGTCATAAGTGTCTGCTACTGTCTCGCCTTCCCAGACTAAATCCCCCTTCAATTGCGCCGGGAAACCTTCTGGTAGTGTAGTTGGCAAGTTCCCCTCTTTGAGCCGACGAGCCGCTCGGGCCTGCCACTTATCGTAGTCCGGAGCATACGAGATATCGGGCTGACCCGGCGGTGCGGGCGCCTTCGGCGTCACAAACGTAACTGTGGTTGTCGACATACTTACTGTTCTTGGGGTCGGGGTAACTCGGCTGGACTCGCTTACTCGTGTACTTGCGCAATAAGATTATTATTCTTTCTGGACGGCATTGTCTACAATTATGTCCCAATAGGTAGTGTGAAGTAACCAGGTTGGAGAAATGAGCAACATCACACCAAAATTGCGTCATCTGTTACCCTCCAATACGACTTGAGAGAGCTCTATCTGGTTATATTCTATCTACTGCAACATAGATAACGATATTCAAAAATAGGTTCATTGTAGCAAGGGATCTATTGGAATGAAAGACATCAGTCTTTATTATATTGTTTCAGGGGCATTATGCCAACCATATACATCGACGGTTGTTCCTTGGTTCCCCGCATTTCCCTTTGGACGTACATCAAAATATTTTGGTTAATTAGGGGTTTCTCGCTGAAATTGGTACTTGATATAACTTTATACAACTGTAATTTTTGAGCTGTTCAAAACGGTAGCTGATATTTTCCAGTAGCCATAATCTCGTGGCTTTATTACAGAATAGCTTTGTAATTGTTTACTCTCTTATATTCTTTAAAAGATAGTCATTATATGATAAAGGATTGTCTCGCCGCGTCCCCAGTATTACACAATCCCCAACCAGAATACCCGAGCGATGACTTCTGGTAAACACTGTGATTCAGGTCACCAATATACATCTAGGTACCTAGGTAGGTACACTTATATGCTCCATTAAATCCCATGAAATATCTCGAAGATACGCTTCCGTGAGCAGTAACTATTAACGCTTGCTCCATGATCACATCTGGCCACCAGTCGTAATTACGGTCGATTGACTACAAGAGCTCATCTCAAGATCGAATTAGAAGGCGTTATAACCGCCTACACGGGGCTTTTCTCTTTCTGAACTCGTCGTCCGGATTTAAAGGGGATTCCTGGCGGGACAGTTAGGCCGATTAGTGAATTTAGATTGGGTCGAACACTATATCAGAGACCCAACATCTTGTCGAGGCCGACGCTCACGTTTAAATTCCACTTTAAATTTTGCCACCTCCTTGTATATACCAAAGAACGGATGCGACGCTAATCCTATGACACCTGTTATTGTAAGATGGATGGTCACGACCCGAATGTAGGGGATAAGAAGTAGCTGAGACTAAACTCACCGGCAGACGTCTTGAATACTATACTACCAAGTCCTTGTATGAACCCTTTAAAAAATCCGAGGAATCCGTCTTTTCTGGCGCACTTGTAAGGCAACACGAACCAGTCTGTACAACCATCGAGAAGCCCGTACAAAAAGGCCTGCAGTGAAACAAGTTAGAGTCTATGGGTGAGGTGAGGTTATTATAACTCTTACCTGGACGGCAGCAACGATTCCCGATGGGAAACCGGTGATCTGAAACCACTTCCGGACAGTAGTGTCGTTATATAGTGTCGGGGTGAAATGTAGCGCCTTTGCTATACCGTGCCCAATAGTAAAGGGAATTTTAAGCATGCCAGCGATAATCAATCCTACCCCCCTAATCATATCCCACCATGACGTCCAAAACGGATGACAACCTTCATCGACGTCGTTCTCTTCATCGTGTCTAGTATTTGTAACTTCAGCGTGCCTCTCCCAATACGGAGTGCCTCCGTATGTTTTGACTGATTCGTGAGATCCGTTTAGAGGCGGTTGTCCATGCGAACCGACATTGATAGTGCTGCCAGCGAGGTCATCCATATCTGCAATAAACTTCATGCCGTAATCTCGTCTTCCTGTGACGGACATCTTAGAAGTAGTAGCAGAGGGTGGACGCTCCATTTTGAATGTTTGGCGCTTCAAAATGAATCAAAGCTGTTATACTGCTGCCTTGGACTACATGCAGGTTAACCTGATTTAAGTCGAGAAGCGGCCTGACGATTAAGGGGAGAGGGGTTCGTAAGTATAAAAGTATAAAAATAAAATACGATAAAAGGTACCAAAACCACGCGTCTTGGCTTTAGAGGAGAGGCGGCGGAGTGTCGATCGCTCAAGGCACCGAGATTATCGCGGGGATGATTGGTTGAATAACAGAGGGAATTGGTGGGAGATACGCTGGTTCCTCGCGCATCGTACCCTGGACTGATATGTCTGATGAAACCTATCGTGGCGCAGCGTATCATTGTCTACACTCCTCGTTTTTTCGACGACATACGATTGTTTATTTATTTTTAAGTTCTGACACTTCAAGGACAATTTGTCTGCCCGGGTGGTAATGAAGTGATCACCATCAAGTTAGTTCAGTTAGTTGATGGATGAAGGATGAGAATCCCTACTACATAGATCATCATGATTATTACTTTATTCTCCGCCAAGAAAGCGAATTGAAAAAGGTTATTGAATATTATTTTCTTTGCCGTTCTACTGCTCATCCTTTCGATCCGGCCAAGCGTCATATAGCCCCTCGTGAACAGTCACGTCTCCAAATACCACCTCCCCTTCACCGTCGTGGAAGAATCTAATTTCTCGGGAAGCAGCATACCAAGATCTACTAATGAGTTAGAATTTATGTCAAAGATGAGGAACCAAGAAGTAGACACTTACCGAGCCCAAGTACTTAGAGCGAATCTCCCATTAGCATGCACTTCGACAATAGAATTATCGACCACTATAGTCAAGTTAAGACTTTCTATCTCCTGCTGGCCATCTTGCACCAAGTCAAACAGACGTAGTCGACCTGCTTCGTTACGAGAATCGATACCATTCGTCGTCTTCGCCGCGGCACTGGAATTGCTGCGGTCGATGATGATAGATTCGTTGGAGAATTGGTAGTAGATGGTCGTACTCTCGTATTCAGAAGACAGGATCTGGAAGCCAGCTCGTAAACCACTCTCGCGACAAGCTTTCGGGAAAGAAAGCGATGCAGTAATCACATAGAATTTGCTTTCGGGAATGTTTTGGAATGCTATAGCGCCTGGTGAGTTCAAGGTCCGACCCGGTTCAATCGTAGAGCCACCACTGGTTAATGCGGCCAGGGCCTCACGCGCGATCTCCTGCTTTAAGGTCACTAGCTCAACGACACCAGACTCGTTACTACCAATCCTCCACGATCCGGTTTCATGAACAAGTTCATTATCGACAACATTGCTGATCTTTCCGACACTCAACTCACGCGGGAGCAGGAGTGCACCGGTCCAATTTTGCTGATTAGTCGGGAAGTCCAGAGTGTCGTAGAAATCTCCCGTTAGCCATAAATAGGAGATGAACCGATCGGGGGCGCCGCTTTTCTGAGAGGCTTTCGAGGTTGCCGGTAACTCCTTGCCAGCAGCAGCATATGCAGAAGCTCCCCAGTCAAGCTTTCCGGCCATAGTTGGTTGAAACTTGAGTTTTCCATCTTTGTGAGAAATGTTCCCAGCTGCCCAAAGCATCTCGCGGAAACCCGAGACTTGCGGCACAATTGGGTCCAACGACCATTCAGCGCCTAAGGTTGTGAAGATTTCGCCTTCAGCATTGTAGCCCTGCTCATCCAAGGAGAAGATGTTGGCGACTTCAAAGTTGTACCCCCACCGACCAGCCCAGTCACCATTACCCCAGGTTGTGTTAGCGGGTTCATGCCACCATTGACCTAACTCTTCCCAGTACTGGAACTCTGGGTCGTGCTGTCGGTAGAGGAACAGACTAGGCCCCTCTCCATGGACGCCCCCAGAGATAACGGTATACCAAGTTCCAGGAGCACTTCCAAGTTCGGTATCGAGCTGGCTGTTCTGGAAGACGAAAGGGTCGCGGAAACCTGTCACATTGACTGCGAAAGGCGGTGACGGAATGACAGGCCCTTGTTCAAGTTTCGTGAAGTTACGACCTCCGTCACGAGATACCGCCAAAGATTGTGTCTCACTTCCCCGTGTGTATGGGATAGTCCATTGGATAGGTAGGAAGCTCACAGATGTATACAGAAGGGTAGGCTTGCCATCGATGCCACTAGGGATGACCGACCCATCGAATACTGCGATTGGATCATTCTTCCCGCCTGCTACTATGAACGGCCGTCCGTCTGGATTGGCATCATGATACGTAACAAGATCGTCTGTCGTGGCACCAGCAGCACCGTTATGCAACCAACCGACATGGAAGAGCCCAGTTTCGGGGTCGGTATAATGCATACAGGGATCACCTATCTGCCCAGATGGGGGAAGAACATGCGCTTTCGGCCGCCATGTTTCGAAGAGAGTCGAGTTGGCGAGAGTTGACAAGTTTGGCGGTGCCGCATTGTAGTCGATGTCTTGCCTTGCGACAAGGGTTCCCGCCAAAACAGCTGGTGTGAGCTTCATCGTGTCTTGAGATGTTGAAGATGAGGCTCCCTCAAGATGAGCTCCGAATCCTGAGTGGCTAATGAGCACATCATTATACGCACTCATCTATAGTATTTATATAATGGTTCGTGGACCTTTCGGTCTAATTTTCGTAATCTTGTTCCGCCGCAAGGTCACGATGTGACTTCGGAATGCTTGGAATTTGGAGATTCTGTGGGGTTTGCGGAGAAGTCCGTTTTGGGGCCAAGGGTGAAGCTGGAGATATGCGGAGTATTATTCGGAAACTAACTACAATAGATATAGCCTCGGCCTTATTAAACAATTACTCATTGCTTTAACCTAGTGCTTGGAAATCTTGTCTCTGGGAAACTATTGAAGGCTGGTTTAGCAGCAGCTCCGCAGCATCACCTATAATAATCTTGTCATGAGGTCGATATCGTAAATATTAGATTCTTCTAAAGTACTAGGCATATTTTCTTATATTACACTAACATCTATAGATGATACTAGGTAGAGTGTAAAAGGCATGATGAAACAATTTCTTTTTTTAACTACCTGTCACCGGTGGAAAGTCGCACTACAAATATCCACGATGCACTTGAACCTGAACTTGAATGGAATACTTCTGTTTGATATAGTACGTTAGCAGGGCTTACGGAATAGTCTTACAAGCATACAATAAGTCGGGACACTGAAAAAAATATACAACTAACCTATTTACATGTAATCTTACTGCAGGAGGCGCTAGTAAAAGAAATGACTTGATCATTTAGGCCTGAGGAAAGGATGTGCTTCGGTATTGAGCACATAGTCGTCAAGATTAACGACGTCAGGAGTCGAGAAGAGCAGGTAAAAATATTTCAAAGTCTCTGCTAACCAAAAACTCTGTATTTAAACGTCAGTATTATAAGATAAATACCTACGCATATTCATACTCACCTCCATATAGTCATCTTTTGGTAGGACATCTGCCATGCGGGTCACGTCCTTTACGGCCGCGTGAGTCCCCCGATCGGTCTTAGTTCCGTTCGCGATAGCGGTGAACATATCCCATCCTATGTCTTGCCAAACTGTGTTCCCGGTGATGCGATACATGATGAACACACTCTCTATCGCCTCGGGTCTTAGGATATACCGGGGATCTTTAGCAGTGGTGAATCCAAGAGGAAGATGACCCTTCCCTATATTATCAGAAATCAGTAGGTGTCAGTTAGAAGACCGGAAAATAAATCAAGTTGACTACTTCGAAAGCTACGAGGAAATAAATAGTTTAGGATCTTATGCGCCAACTCACACTCGCGTCGCTTCTGCTTTTCCTCGTCGAATCGCTTCTCATCCCACTCGCAGTCTTCAAACGACTTGCAAGCTACCATATTCAGTCGTTCGGGCATCATCCCCGTTGGAAATGATCGATACCCGTACACGCAACCAAGCGTCAACTTGGCGCCAATATTGATGTATCCCGGGCTACCAAATAATTTACCACTTAGCGCATAGACTCCACCAAGATAACAAGCAAGATGCTCAGTCTCCTCGTCCAAGGTCACCTCGCCTGTAGCAGATACACTGGCACTACTAGCAATAAGCATCTGCATGTTGTTAGGCACCATGGGTCTAAAAAGCAGGTTATTCTTAGCGGCCTCCAAGAACCCCTTAGACATCGTCTCGTACTTCGGCTCCGTGCCCCCAAGAAGAGCATACTCCTTGGGAAGATACTCGTATAAGCTGTCAGCACACCCAGCAAGAGTGTACGAGTTCCCCGTTATGACATCTTGGGATTTCATAGAGACGTAGGTAGGCCACAGACCCGGTATCAAAGTTTGGTTTTGACCTCGGTAGAAGACATCCATTACTCTTGCAGCTGCATCATAATATTTCGGGTCCCCCGTGAGCTGTGAGAGTCGCGTCAGTTCAAGAGACAGCGTCCCTGGAGAAGCCGAGACCACAGAGGACTCGACAGAGAGAGGTTTCCCTGTTTTGGCGACCTGAAAATCGATGAAGTCGACGGGCATCCGATTCTCTGTGTTGAAAGCTACGTAAATCAAGTCTCCAAGCTCGATAGCTTTCAAACGCAAGACATCTCGCTTGCTAAGGTCATACGTTGCAAGCAGACCTCCTAAGTAGCGAATGTTCGTCTCGAAGGTGTTGACTCTTGTAGAACTAGATCGACCGAAGTCTATCTTGGAAACTGCATCGACTGCCTCGTTAAATTCCTCTCTTAAACCCAAGATCCATAAGGTGTCGAGGGAGTCTACCAAAGTCGCAGCCCATCCGCTGAATTGGTCCTGAAATTCCCCGGAGATCGGCTTCAGTGCATCCTTCATCCACGCATACTTCTTGTATGCTGCCCAATCATCGAGGAAAGTTTTCTTCACATCGAGGCGTCTTGCTTCTCGAGTCTGTCTATCGGCAGACGCCTCGGAATGAAATTGAGCCTGAACAGGTAGGCGACGAGGCTTCCCCGCTGGCAAAGGAGTTATTTCTTCGGCAGGAAAATGAAAGGGAACGGTGCTCCAATCGAAGCTACTTCGCTTTAATGCGATCGGAGGAGATGTTGCATCACTGTTCATATGCCGTTCGAGTCTGGTGAATTCCGAGATCCACAGGCCCGAAAAAGAAGCCGACAGCATCCACCATATTGCAAGGGCGCCGGTAAGAAGGATTAAGGTACGTCTATGCTTGCGAACTTGGCGATGCATTATAATACACGACCTGCGTAACCAGACGCAAGAAACTAACCAATTGAAATGAATTCAAGTAAGATACCGCAACGGACGACGAAATCATTATGTTTGCAAGAACGCATTTTCAAAGTCTGACTGTGCCAATCCCCAACGTGTCATTTCCAGTCTTAGCCAAGGGGGAAAATACGATTTCACGTAAATTACCCAGAATAAGGAATTACCCAGAATAAGGTCCAACATTCTCCAACTAGCGCTGATCCCGGGCCCAATGAGACAGAGCATAGCGTCCGAGGGGCTAAACGAGATAAGAATCGGCCAACCGGCCGGGGTCTAAAGGGGCACGGAGCTCCGCCAAGAATACACGGACCATATTACTCATCCGTGCCATCGTGCCAGACGGTTGAATATCGGATCGGTCCGTACAAGCTGCACGATGCACCGCGAATGCTAGATCAAAACAACCGAAAGTTCTCTTATATAAGACATAACTACACTTCACCTAGGTTAGTAATGTAATAGTACAGAGAGATTAGATCATCTCTATATGTTAGATAAGACAGACCTACATTCTCTATAAATTCGCCATCGTCAGGGCCAGCTATACTCACGAACATCGAGGCTTCGATTTAGTAGGTAGTTTATTGGTAGGCTCACAATTACAGTATACCGTTAAAACAAACCATTAGGAGGAACACACTTAATATTCATGTAAAGAGCGAACTGTAGTAGTAACGGCTAAGATACATAAGAAAGTCGTTGACATCGTCAAAAGTCCCTTCTCTCAAATATGAAAATGAGTCTATAGACCCTACATGGTGACCATTCGAAATATTCAGCATCGTAGTAGAAAAGTATGTAAATCGTAAAAATTCAAAGCGCTTGTTTTTTCGGTTATGTCAGATATCGATGCTTAGTTCGTTGAGATGATCCAGCTATCGATAATAACAACAGGCATAGCCGTAGCGGACTATATCTCAGATCAGTTGAATCCATGGCCTTGTTAGATCGAGCCGAATCCGACGTTTTGATGATCCGGCTGCATAGGGACCTGGTACTGCTGGTTGAATGCATGTTCCTCAGTGTTGTAATACATCAAAGTTGAGGGATGCATCATAGCTACATGTTCATCAAGATCCACCTTTCGAAGGTAACCGTCATATCCCATTTTAGGACAACCGAGTACGGGGCAAGGATAGGGGGGCATCAAAAGCATAGTAGCTTGGGGGCCAGGCGTGACGGCGGCCTTCTTGGACCTCCTGAGCTTGTGCTGGCCAAGTTTGTCCGCCGTGTCGATCCTGTGATAAACTTTCAAATGCTGCGTAAGATGATCTCGACGGGAAAAGGCGTTCTCGCCTTGGTGGGCGTAACAATACTCGCACGAGTACTGGGCGGCATTGCGAGACTTAGAGCCAATGTGGCGGTTGAGGGCATCAAGCCGAGTAAATGTGGTGCCACAAATATATCCGTAAGCATTATGTCCCTCTTTTTCGCCATGCTTCCTGAGTTGCTCATTTGTCCCAAAAGTTTTATAGCACGTGGGACCAATGCAGGTCAGGGTTCCTGAAGCAGAAATATTTGTACATGAAATGGCCGGTCGATTACAAGGGCTAGAAGCAAGGGACCAATCAGCTTTTCCGCGTTGACAAAAAAAATTACCTTCCATGCTCCTGCAGCTGTGCTCCCAAGAATGGGGCAGCCTGAGGAGCAGGAAGACCGTTCATTGGGCCATGTTGAAGGTCGTCATATGCAGTGTCGTGCTGAAAGGTGGGATTATTGGCCAAGGCATCGCTTCCCAGTACGTTCTCATGTACCTGGTTGTAGTCGGCCATTGTGATGAGGCTCTGAGCGTTTGGATAAGGAGAGATAAGACAATATGGCTTACAGAATAAGGTCGCGCGTGCGTAGCTTCGAGAGTGGCCACTAGGGTATTCTTATCTTTTGACTTAGAAGCCCCCTTTAGGCATATATTGGTTCTTCTTGAGTACATGAGAGGTACATATCTGGCTGGGTAGGGTGTTGTAGGGTGGAAGTTATGCAGCTTACGGTGCAGGTACTCAAATACATGGCATTTCAGTGGTCTTATTGGCCAAAGGTGTTCTCAATGCCGTTGAGAGGCTTACCGGGGGAGCATGAAAATGTCATAGCCAGAGCTGATACCACCAAGCTTCTAAGAGAAATAGTTCATCTTGCCTAACAAACTGTCTCTTGATATATCTTGCATGCAGCCACTGACACACCCCGTCCGGTATTAGTACCTAGCTAAAAGAGGAGGTGTTGAGACGTTTTTTACTACTTGAGGTTGTTTATTGAGAGGCACCCATGTATAGAAGGTCTTATGATAAAAGCAGAAAGGCTCAAGAGTACCAATCTTGACCATACAAGATGAACTATACAGACCTATCTTCATAACCTTGATTTAGGTTCCAGCCGCTATCAACCATCGTGTCAACTCAATACTAGTAAAACCAAGATACCCCTTAAGCGTCTAGCATAACTTACTACGTGTTTTCATAACTCCGCAGCCTTTTTTTCATATATTATCATAATATTTATTAATTTTCAGCATACTCCGATTTTAGCCTTAAGCTATACCTACCCGTTCAGAGCACCTCAGCCTACGAATGCCCGCCAGATAAATGGAACGCCCATTGCATATTACATCTGCTACAATAGCTACAGCCTCTTGTTATAATTGGTCACGTCTAACAACACATTCCAACCCGAACAGACTTATTGTCATATGTGTAGGTACCTATGGACTTCATCAATAGGCTTCTCATCCTTGGATTAACCATGTTAAACTTCGTAGATTCGTCGAAAAGTTATATTAGAACGGGTCGGAATCCCCTTGTTCCACACTGACTTTTATATTATCTGACTTCCCAAGTCCAGATCAGGAGTAAATTGTAGTTCTACGCTTCACAATCTCCCAATATATGTACCCACTGAGTGAACACCTAGGTCAAGGTACTACGTTATGAATATAGGTATTCAATAGTTATGGGGTTTTGCCCTCTAAATGACTATTGATCTGTTATTTTCTTAAAGGTAGTTGCCTCTCTTTTCGGTCTTGCATTAAGGGAACAACATGGCAGCACTAGCTCAATATGCATCTTCCTACTTCAAGTAGGTTGGTTGTATATAAGTGAGAATCACCAATCCGAAACCCTTCATATGGCCACAAATGATTAATACGCATGTTATTGGGTCCCACGTGGTTCAGTTGTTTTAGTCGATAGTGCGAGGTTATTTGTAGCACCCCTTGAGCCTAATAGAGCACTTCAGATAGGAAATCTGTTAAACGTGAAGCTATATGAATAAAGTAATCTAAGGTTAGGCAAAATAACTACCACCCTTGTCATTCGAGAGATCAGCAATTACACATTGGACTAGACCCCCCGCGCCGAGGGTATGAGGATCAATTTTGCCGGCATTTAATTTTGCGGAGAATGCTTGCCATATTAAAAGGACTTCTGCAGGCGCAATGTAAGAAATATTTCTTACCTAACTCTATAAGATCTATTGGAGAGATTTGGAAAATATAAAAGTCAGTAGGGATTCAGCGAGGAAGGTGAACGATGATTACTATGGTTCGCAAGGCCATCGGGGCCAGCTTGTCGGTGTTAGCGCTCAGCTCTACGACACTGGCTGAACGCTGTGAGAGACCTTGCTTAGAAGGCCTGATCTCCGACTACCTCAATGCCTTAGTAGCCCACGACCCATCGAGTTTGCCGACGACCCCGGATGTAAAATACGTAGAGAACGATCAAATATTACCGTTCGGCACTGGCGAGTGGCATATCGTGGATTCGCTGGGAAAGTACAACCACACGTTCTCTGATCCCGAAGCGGGCCAGGTCGCGACTATCACTACCATTACTGAAAATGGCGTCGGTGCTATCTATCTTGTCCGCCTCAAGATAGAAGAGGACGGAAAGATAAGCGAAATTGAATCACAAATCACACGTGATTCGGGCGGCGCGGAGCTCTATGAACAGAGAGGTCAGCCGGAAGCCGTTTGGTTCGAAGCTGTACCGCCCGAGGAACGGATTACCCGAGACGAGCTGATCTCACAAACCAACAAGTATTACACCGGCATGCAGGGAAACGACCCTAAGGGTGACTACAGCTTCTTCGACAAAGAATGTAATCGTCTAGAAGATGGTCTTCAAACGACAAACGTCAAGACCGGTGATCCTTATGGCCACTCTAACGATACGGCATTCGCTTCCCTGACTTGCGAGGAGCAATTCCAGACAGGATTTCTTGGCTTTGTCACAAGAATCCGGGAACGTCACTTTCCCGTAGTGGACGAGGAGCGCCAGGCCGTCTTTGCTATCACTACTCTGGATCATAACGCCACGGTGAAATCGTTGCCTAGCGTGAATGGCACATCCTCGCCAATCCCGCGTTACTTCGAAACGCCTCGTTCGTTGAGAGCCATGGAGGAATTTCGCTTCCGTGGCGAGAAGCTTTATCGCATCGAGATGACACTAACTGAAGTTCCTTATAACATGCGGGCGGCATTTCCCGATGTTCCACTCGTAGATCTCAGCGGGCCCGGTACAGACTTTACTACGTATCCGATTCCGTGCGACCAGGTCTGTCTCGAGAATGTAGTGGGAGATGTACTCATGGCGATCCGGGTCCACGACCACACGCGCTTACCCCTAGCGAAGGGTGTACGCTACTCAGAGAATGGCCAATTTATAGCGTTCGGAGATGGCCTATGGGAAACACTAGAAGCGATTACTTGGATGGACAAGTACGGAGCAGTCTTATCCGATTCGGAAAGCGGGACGGTTGGCTACTGGGGATTCAGTACGGAGCACAGTATACCGGGAGTCCTTTCGCTACGTATCAAGGTCGACAACGGCCAAATAACGGAGATCGAAGCGAACGTTGTGCGTGGAGAAGCTACCGATAGTCGTGGCGGAACAGTAACGCTTATGCGCCCGCCGCTTCCAGTGGAGTGGGAGGGTAATGCCACAAGTCTCCTCGATCCTGTGTTCCAGGAATATAGCACCAACGGTGAGATTCCGCCAGAATTGTTGAGTGCATATTTTGATGGCCTAGAAAAGCATTCAAGCGAGGGAGTGCCATTTGCAGAAGGCTGCACTAGGCGTGACAACTTTGGCCAGGGGGATCTGACTTGTGCTGATCAGCTAGATGGGAAGGGACCGGCTCCGAATGGTCTCTCTAACACTACAACAACAGTGCGTGATCGGCGAATCCTAGTCGCGGATAGTAAGAGAGGTGTCGTGTTGGCCGTGGTTCTAGTGGATGAACCCGCCAACGGTCCCGGTCCACTGTCGCCGGCAGGTCGTGTTCCGGGGACTTACATGATTCCGCAGTTGATCAAAGTTGATGGCGGGTTAATTTCTCATATCGAAAGTGTGATCAAATGGGTTCCATTTGGATACACGTCTGCATGGGCAGAGGCGAGTGAGAAAGTACCTTAGACAAATAAGTAAGGGATCTAGAGTTGTTGTTTTGAGAAGATGTTTAGGAATGAAGACTTGGGAATTAAACATCATCATAGAAAGAGGATATGTACTTATCACACATAGCAATACTTTTATGAAGCAATTATCAGATATATGCAGACTTATGCAAGTATCCCTCTTCAGGCCCCGCACCCCGCACCATTCACCGTTGCAGCGATGGGCTGATGGGCTGATGGAGGGGCATCCTTGTAACTTTTCAGGCCGCGCCAGCCCTAATATCTTTACTTTACATCCTTTAGACCTGCGAGCCGGGTTGTGTGTTGTGTTAGGTAGGATCACCGACAACACTACCTACCTGTATATAAGTAGTCTGTAATTGTTTACTTACAGAGTTACTCCTATTCGGGCTCTAGAAAGACTTCTTTAATATAAGGAGACTTCAAGGTCTCAACGCAAACCCAGAATGCAGTCCGGAATATCTGGTATTATATCAACCCCTATTCTTGACTTAAAGATAACTTAGCTTACTTTCGTGAACTTCAGCTTCCCAAGAGCTCGTCACTCAGTTCAACAAGTTCTTGGGTGACCCGGCACAATTTGGACTTCTCGTGACTATCACCGGGGAGACCCTGACGCCGTCAACTACGCTCCCGCGATCCTCTCTATCGAGCAACTTCGATACCGACCTTCCGAAGCTGTCCTCTCACATAAAACCTAACGAACCTCTCTATATCATTCTACGCAGATATGACATAGCTCCGTACCTAATAGCTGTTACCTATGTGCCCGACACCGCCAAGGTACGGCAGAAGATGCTGTTCGCGTCGACGCGGTTGACGCTGGTGCGTGAGCTGGGATCCGACCACTTCCGTGAAACAATCTTTGCGACCATGGCCGAGGAGCTGAGTGCCGAGGGTTTCAAGAAGCATGACCGTCATAATCAAATTGAGGCACCCTTGACCGAAGAGGAGAGGACTTTGGGTGAGGTTAAGAGAGCTGAGGCCGAAGCTGGTGCCGGCACGGGTGTTCGTGAGATCCATCTCAGCAAAACCATGAACATGCCTGTCGCTACTGATGCTTTGGTCGCCCTAAGCGCTTTAGGTCGTGAGGAGGGAACTGGACTAGTGATGCTTGTGAGTTCTTCGAGCAATAGAATCGGGGAATATGCGTACTAACTAAAATGAAATAGAAAATCAACCCCGAGACCGAAGTCGTAGAGTTACTCCAGGATTCTTCCTCGCCTTCCACAATCCCTGAGCTCGTGAAGAGCATTTCGGCAACTGAACCTCGCTTCACCTTCTTCCGATACAAAGCCACACCGCCGAGCGGAGGAGACGAGAAGAACGTCATACTCTTCTTCTACACGTGTCCCGCCTCGGCAGGAACCAAGTCTATTAAGTTCCGAATGATGTACCCGCTAATGAAGCGTGCCGTACTTGAGGTGGCCACAAAAGAGGCAGGGCTCCATATCGAGAAGAAATTCGAGCTTGAGGATCCGAGCGAGATTACCGAACAGTCCGTTACGTCCGAGCTATTCCCAGAGGCGGAGGTTAAGACAGCTTTCAGAAGACCCAAGCGGCCTGGCAGGTGAAATGTCCTATACGGATTTGTTTCCATCACATAGTTACATAGCATATTGGCGAAGGTGAACTTGGAATTAGCGAGAACCCATAGGAGATAAGGAAGCAATGCGATTATATTTCGCTATGTTTC